CCAATGCTTGAGTCGATCACTCGCTGTTCCATCTTCAAAAGGTGACAGCAGCAGGGCGTCGTAACCAGAGCAGGGCTCCACAGCTGCAACCTCCACTGAACTCTCATCATTCGACCGACTCTGCTCTGAACACACCTCACTCATACGCTCTCCTGCTTCTGATCCAGTCGTGGTATCACTGCTGTCATCGATCCCATCCACTATCGGCTCACACGCTACTGGAGTCCAGGCCGGCCTCTTCCTTGTCCGAACTTGGATAGTGCGCGACTTGTTTCCATCTCCAATCGTAATAGTCCCCTTCGGCCAACTCTGATCTGCCCAGGCCTGTAACAGCCACGGTCTTCCCAAAAGAATTGGATAATCCAGCTCGTGTCCAACCATCCTCAGCACCACGTAATCAACATAAAAGATAAAACCGGCAATCTCCGTCTTCACCCCAGTAAGTACACCAACCGGTCTCGAGCGAGAATGATTCGCCATGCAGACACGAAAATAAACTGGAGACGGCTGCTCCAACCCAAGTTTCGACACCATTTGCTCAGGCATTACGTTGATGGCAGCACCTCCGTCAATCACGCACCCCTTCAAGTGCTGACCTGAAATCTCTGCATCTATAATCGGATTCTCTGCTTCGATCATCGGCCATGCTGCATTCACTACCACCTCTCGATGGGCCTTGACTGCTGTGGCCACCACTTTCCTCAGACTTGGTGCCAGCTGTAGTAATTGCGCAAATGTGATACTCGGCTTCTGATTCTCTAAGTCCTTGAGCACGTCGTAGGGCTGAGTTTCCAGATTTAGCACCTGCTTATACCGGCGAGATCTCCGCTGGCCCATCTTCAACGGCTCACCCCCAAAATGTTCCTTGAATACCTCTGCCAGCCGCTGCGGCGTCGAGATGCCCACCTTCCTCATAACCTCTTGTGGATCCATTCCACCACTCACCTGGTTCGCGTCCGTTTCCTTGCCGTCATTAGGGCACTGAATAGTCCCCGTGATATTCTTGGCGAGATCTCCGCCATCGGCTATCGGCGCATCCTGAATGCCGCCTCCTTCCAGACCTAAGTCGATCCCCATTTTTTCCTTGTGGCGCTGCTCCTTCCTGTTTTGGCGAGCTATCATCTCTGGATCCTCCTGAGTATGCGTCTGCTCAATTCCCTGTTCAGCCCTTGTTCTTGGCTCATCTCGGATGTACAACCCGCGGTCCCTCCGCTGCAACTGTGCTCGTGTGTTGACATTCCACACAGGTGTGTCCGCTCGTAACTCTTCAGAATTCACGAAAATGGCTTTAGTATCCACCACCTCTTTTCCCTTGTCCTGATTTTGACGCTGATTTGGCACTTGCAAGCGGTAGGGGCAATCCTCCTGTCGATGAAGTCCTGTGTCTGGCATATCCCACAGATTGGCTGATACTCTTCAGACTTCTGTGCATTCGGACAGTTTGGCGCGATATGTCCAAGTTCCCCACACCGGTAGCACACTATCGGGCCTCGGCCTCGGCCTCCGCCTCTGCCTCCGAACATTCCCATCCGGCCGCCACCTCGGCCTCCACCAGCAGTCTGCTGCAGCATTGGCCCCGAGTTCTGCACAGCTCCTGGAGCTCCTACGTTAAAAACCGGGTACGTCTCATATTGCTGGTGCTGAACCTGCTGCTGGTGGTGAAATTGTGGTTGAACGTGCTGCTGTGGAAATTGTGGTTGAACGTAATAGCTCGTGACTACAGGTTGCTGCTGGAACTTGGGCGTCACACGAGCTGGATGAAAAAAACACTTCTCAGGCTTGTGGTCAAACTTCCCACAATAGGGACAAGGAGCTTTTGCTGGAACCAGATTTGGACACTCACTAGGATAGTGGCCATATCCTTGACACTTAATGCACCAGATCTCAGCTCTCTCATGCACTGGCCGAGTTGGAGCTCCCAAACCTTGAACTAGACTCACTTGGAGTTCTGCCATCTTCTTGGTAAGTGTCTCCACCACATCTTCTTTCACTTTCGTGAGTTGGCTCTCAAATCCGGTCGTGTTTACTGCAGGTAACTAGAGAACTGACGGCTGGACCGGAATCAAAGGTGGAGCTGCTACGGCTCCAAGCACACCAGTCTGGTACTGTGCAATATTCGGTGAGAACAAGTTACCATATGTTACTGGTGGAGTTGCAGCTGCAATGACATCCGGGCCTGTTCCCATGTTGCTGCGTGCTCCACTGCTGCGTTCAAATCTGCCGGTCTTTGCACCTTCACGTGGAACCCGATTTCAAATGGCAACCCATTCAAGAACCAGCGGACTTGGTCGTCAGCGGCAGGCTGTGGATCTTTCCTCGCGAGCAGCCTCTTGTAGCGAAGAACATAATTTTGCAATGTCTCTCCAGGTAACAATTGAATTGAATTTAGCTCATCACTGATACGCTGCTTGAATCCCATAGGACGGAAAGCATTGAGAAATGCTGTTTTGAGGTCTGCCCAGGCTGCAAAGGCTGCTGCTGCATTCGCCTGACCATACCATTCTGCTGCTGCTCCCAGCAACGTCGCCGGAAACAGACGGACTCTCACAGCATCTGCCTGCTCCTGATTTGCTGTGCTGACATTTTCAAAAGCAGTTACGTGAGCGTCTGGATCGTCAGTCTGTGTAAACGTTGGATACTTCATCCTCGCGTTGGCAGGCTGTGCCATTTGAGGATTTACTGCTTGAGGTGTGGGCGATGCTGGTTCAAATGGCCCCCACTCCTCCCAATTCAAACTTGAGTCCGAAGTCCTCGGACTAGTTTCAGGGCTGGTTTCAGGCGAATTCTGCAACAGTCTCCTCGCTGCTCGTTCAGAACGGCCTCGATTCTGCTCTGCCCTTCTAGTAGAAAAATCTAGAAAATTATCCCAGTCCGGGGATCTACCCGCCAGACCGAGAACCAACTGTGGCAAGGATGCTTACTGCAGATGCCCGCAGATGACCGGCCTTTTCCTCAGGCCCGGTTTACTGCGCAGTTACTGCGACTAAGCCCTCCCGGCTAATGCACCAAAAATGTGGGGAAAAATACACGACAACCAAGAAAGACAGGAAAGACTCCCCTAGGGCTTATATTTCAGCAGTAACTACAAATCACTCATACTGAGTGCGCTGGGCCTGCAGTAACTCCTCTATGATCACACGTAGGTAACGGTACCACACTTGACCACAGGTTGGACAAGTAGTTGGAATTTGCTGCTCCTCTTGAATTCTCAGCTCCTCGATCGCACACCTTATCCGCATGTTGTTGGTGACGCGATCAGCGACGGGATCTCGACGGCCTATAGGAGGTCTCACCATCTTCGAGCAAAAAGAACTCCAGAACCCGAGAGAAAACAAGAACTGTAAAATAACTGAATGGCCGTACCTAATTTCAAACTCCCAAAAACTTAAACACCAACCAATGGCTGAAACTTTCCCAGCTAATAACTCTTCATCCACAACTCCGATCGACTTGATTTCACCACCAAAGAACTGCCCTTGATCAGATCTTCAACTTTCTAGAAAACAACTTCTTCAAATTCTCACTTCTGAAATCCGTCACTTTTTCTCTCTCTAGACGAAATATTCATAAGAAGCTTCTTCAGCGAGCTTCTTCATTTTTCACCTTTTTTCTAACTCAGAAATACGTCAGTACTCACAAAAACAACCTCAAGTATGAAAATACAACCGTATATACGGTTGACAACAGTCAAGGAGTAAAGAATAGAAATATAATATTATATATTTATCATCTTTTTCTATTTATTAAGGAGTTAAACTCTAAAACCTTTGAATTAGCAAATTATCTCTTAAAATAAGCATTTTTTCTTTTTCATTGGTTTTAATATTTTATGTGAGTTTTATTGTACCTCATAACAGTTTGAACACTCTAATATTAGCAGCTTCTTTAGTTCCTCTTCTTTACCTTTAGTCAGATTTTGATATTCTGTGGAAGTCATATTAAGTGTTCTAACAATCTAATATGACACTTCACTCATAATTTCAATAAATGGCAATTTGAATGAGGAAGCTATAAAACTTGGATTGCATGTCATCAATTAGAAAGTTGTTATTAGTACTAAAAACATGCCATGTAACTTGTCCAATATTCCACTTTGAATTCTTGTATAGCCTTGACTAGATATCTTCTTAGTTAGACCTCTTATTTGGTTCTCCACACTTTTTGAAAATATTGATCATGTTTTTTAGGATTTTGATTTTTTTATCCAGCATTTCACCAACATATTCAATGATAATGATCGAGTGCACTACCATCACTAAATTGCAGCAATTGCACTAAGGCTCCAAGTTTATATTGGAATTCTTCCACATTAAGAGTGAGTAACTCAGTTATCATCTCATAGTTGAGTTGGAGAGGAATTTTAGTGTAGCTTAAGATCAGTTGTGAAAACATTGTGTTCTTGAGCTTGTCTAGGTGCAGGCTGAATGTTTTAGAGTTGTCCCACCAATCTGAGTGAAAAAAGGCTTGTTTGACATCTTTTGGTTGTATTTGTGGAAATTTGTGAGGATGTTGTAGTCAGCCATGGAAACATGATGATCCTAGGTGTAGAAAGGTGTCAAGCATCACCCAGGAAAAGAAAAAAGTGAGTTAGTGAAGTTGTGGTGTAAGAGGAGAGTGTTTGGAGGAGTTGCCATTACTTAGACAACCAAGAATTGGCATCTGTTGCAGTGTATGACACCAAGAGCTGGGCTGCATCACTCCCATCTGGAAGAAGGCCATAATTAGGCCAGATTGGGTGCACTTAGGGCAGCCAGAGGCAACAAAGAAGCAACAACCAGCTTTTAGAGCATGTGGAATAACACGAGATAAGTTACTACCCTCCCATTGCCACCACATGAATTAGTCTTTGCTTGGACTGTTTGCCCCTGAGGTACAAGCTCTTGCTCCATAAGTCTAGAATGATATTGATATATAGATTATACATACATACATACATACATACATACATATATATATATATATATATGTATATGCAAAAAATCTTTTTGCCCTAATGAAAACCCCTGGATGATGCTACGGAGGAGCGTGCGCTTGGCGAGGCGCTGCTGTGGCGCTGCCCTCCAGGATCACATTCCATGGTATGTCCGCAGGAAGATTGCCAGAGACGCTAGCAGCGATGGCGTAGAGGGAGCGAAAAACGAACTCATTGCTAGGCCGCGAGAGAGTGATGGCTATGGGGCTAGAGTCGCAATGCAGGGGCATTTCGAGAGGGGGCCTCTGGAAAGCCTGGAAAGCGGGCAAGAAGATGAGAGCGAGGATGAGAGCGAGAGTGAGAGTCTGGAGGATTTGGGATACTTGAGTGATGTTCTAGCCAGTAAAAAAATCGAGTTAGAAAATTTCGCTAGAGGTGAGCTGAGTGACCTTCAAGACAGTGAAGAACTCGAGGAAGAAGAGTCCGTTAGCAGTGAGGTGAGTGATCTTCAAGACAGCGAAGAACTCGAGGAAGAAGAGTGCGTTAGCAGTGAGGTGAGTGATCTTCAAGACAGTGAAGAACTCGAGGACGAATTTGAGGAAGAAGATCATCAGTTTGAAGAAGACGAAGAAGAAGTAGAAGATGAGCTTCAAAGACAATTTCGATCACAGTCGACCCAAGCTTCGGATCAACTCCTGCTGATTGCCGAGACATCATCAGACTCTGAGCCAGTGAGTTCTGTTTCTTTCCCTTGCTAAGTTTTTTTTTTCTATTTCATCTACTGTTATACAGGAAGACGAGGCTCCACCGACGAGCTTCTTGCACAAGCTGACGGTCCGCGAGGTTGCAAAGATTTTGAGAAAACTTCGTGGCATTGATCTCAAGATCTTGAACGTCCAAGCACGGTGCCAGTGGACAGACTACATGGTTTTCGTGTCTGGAAAGTCCACGAGACATATCAGGGGCATGGCGGACAGTATAGTCGCAAGAGTAAGTCACTCTCCATCCTTTTTCCCTTCATGTTTTTCATGGTCTACTTTCCAGGTGAAGAAGAAATCCACAGAGGACAACCATTTGGAATTCCCATCTGTCGAAGGCCGCGCTTGCGAGCACTGGATGGTCGTCGACTGCGGTAACATTTTCATTGATCGCTCATTCGTTTCTTCGTCCAACTCGTGTGCCTTGGATCTCCAGGCAGCATAGTCGTGCATGTCTTTAGCGAGGAGGCCCGCGCGCGCTATAATCTGGAGCAAAAGTGGGGAGGAGAAGAAGTACTCGTGGACGAGCAGAAAAAGGAAGAAGAAGAGCGAGACCGCGAGAGGGAGACGAAGGAACAAGGTGCTGCCGCGGCAACGTTACTTGGCCAAGAAACCTCGAAAAAGAAAAAGAAGAAAAAGGCAAGCGCTCGACCCGCTTCAATCGCTCCTCTTGTTCTTTGCTAGCTTCACTTTGCCATGGTTTATATATCTATCCAATATGAAAGAGCAGGAAGATTATAAACCAGGGAGAGAAAATTGTCTCCTCTAGATAGTACATTTGTTTGATCTTTGCGTAAAGATGATCTTTTGTTTCATCGTTCTCGATGTTATTTTGCACACCAACTTCTGGTCTAGTTGTTATCATCGCCAGGATTTGTCGAGTGCTGCTGGAAGAATCGCGCATCCACGATGAGCCTCGCGATCTCCCACTGCGTCTCGTTGCGCTTCTGCTGCAGCTCCTTGAGAACCTCGAGTCGCTTCTCTTCCAGCATCTGCCGCCGCTGCTCCATCCTCTCCAGCGCGTCGATCATCATCTGCGCCACTTCTCTCATCTGGTGCTGCTGCTGCTGATGATGCTGCGGCTCCACTGGCGAGGAAGACGAGCCTGGAGCCACCACACGCTTACGTTTCTTCTTGCTTGCTTCTTTGCCATGGTGATGATCTTGATGAGACCACTGGTGTTGTTGCTGATCCTGCCCCGGAATTCCAAAACGTGGTGGTGGCGGCGGCGGCGGCGGCAGCGTCGGTGGCGAGCAGAACGACGACCGCATCATCAGCTCCTCCTGGATCCCGTTGAGACCGACCAGAGCATCCTCCGAGCCTCCAATCCCGTCGTCAAACTCGGGGTGGTGATCCACGAACTGATCCGGCGGCGCTGGGACTTTCTCCGCGAGAGTAGCCGCCGCCGCCACCACTTTCGTATCAGCGCCGCCACCGCCAGCGGCTGTCTTCACCGTGATCCTCTCGATGCGGTTGTACCACTTCCACTTGACAGGGGTGCCGAGCCGGCGCTTCTCACGGACCGTCTTGAAAGTTTTCTTGAGCGAGTCTATCTTGTTCTTGCAGCGGTTGTAGTTGTAGACGGGCTTCCCAGCTGCGCACTGAGCGTTGAGGCCGTCCACCACCTCCTGCCACTCCTTGGCCCGCAGCGTCCCCCTCTGGAGTGCCAAGTACCTCTCCGTGTAGAGATCCAGCAACACCAACGTTGCTCGGTCGTCCCACTCCTTCCACGCCTCCACCGGCGTTGCCGCTGCTCCTGTTGCTGTTACCGCCACCCCCGCGGTTGCCGCATGCGACCCACCGCAGAATGCACCGTTGCCGTCCCGCAGCACCCCGCCGCCGCCTGCGTCCGCCATAGCCACAAACGCCCACCCGCTTCCGTACACCGCACCCCCTCTCGTACACCTCCTCCTCTTGTAATATTCCGCATTGTCACCTATAGCCTGTGATATACCACTGCTTTGCCGCATCCTGAAACAGTCCAGTCCAGTTGAGCTCCTGTTTGATGTTCATGAGAAGAGAAAGTGTTCGATGGTCATGAAAAATGAAAAGAAAGAAAACGTTACCCTGGATAAGAACGAGGTACGTCAATGAACCGAGCGTCTGCGAACTATGTCGCCTACAACAGCTTGTTGCAAGCTCTGGCCAGTGGCCGATGTTGCTGTCAGGATTTCCAAAGGCTCTCGCATTGTAAAAACAACTTCTTTCGTTTTCCCGAAGTACACCTGGAAAAATCGCTAGTTGGGAGGATGCATCGGTGAGAAATATCTGTGATACCTGGTCCAAGCCGTTTCTCAGTTTGCTTTCCATATCCTCGATCATTCTACCCATGTTTCCAAGGTGGCCTTCTGTCGAGGGAAAATCAGCCTCCATCTGTGCCCATTCAATTTCAATTTCAATCATCATCTCTCTGGCAAGTGAGTCTTTGCAAACCTGTCGAACGATAGAGCCAGATAGACCAAAAGACATCGATGGATCGTCTTTCGTTGTGAAAGAAAGCATCACTGTGCTTGTAAGACAGTAGTGGGCTTCTCCTTCCTCTTCAGATACCTCCAAAAAGGCCAAAAAAAAAAAAAAAAAAAGCTGTAAGGCAACGAAACGATGGAGAACAACTACCTCAATAATGTGAATAGCATCCCACAGCCCGTGATCTAAGAGTCCACGACGTCCTTCTCCCTTTCGCGACCCATCTGAGACAAACAAGTATTAAAAGGAAGTAACAATAAACAAGATTATCGACCTTTCTTCACAAGAAAACAAGCCGCAAAGCCACCATTTTCCTCGGTTTCCCACATATACACTGATGAAGTGCCACCTTCATAGTACCTACGACAAAGAATTTGGAAGACCACTTTTCCAGCCAACGAAAAAAGAAAACACGATCAAACTCACTGGTCACGATAGATTGCAAAAACTTCGTTTGCTTCCACTTCCAGCTCACGGAGCTTCTCCGAGGGCATTGCTCCATCCTCGAGAGGAGGATCGTATTTGTTAGACCAAGGAGACCTGTAAAACACCATCTAGAACATAAAAAGCCCGAGAAGTATAGCACCTGTAAGAATCCCCGTCTCGATTATAGTCGCACAAGAGATACTGTCGCCCAGATTCATCATCCCACGCTTCCTAGACGACGATCACAGAAGATAGAGTCGCAAAGATTTCGCCTTTGGAGCAAACCTGGAGTGGCTGATCGACTTTGGAGAGAAGATCGGCGGAATGGTCCGGCAGGAGGACGAGCAGCGAGGCGAGCGCCATTTCCACCTCCGCCGGCGGCATTCGTCGTATAAGATCCATCGCCGCGTCCATACCTCCCTCCCTCGCGCTCTTCGATAAACCCTAAGCGCTTTTTCCAACAGTTCAAATTAGTACCACAATGTAGGGTTCTTATCTTTTATTTGCATTTGCGATGCTTGCGCTCCTCTTCTTCTTCTCGATCGCGTGGGCGCCAGCCGAATCCAGGGGTGGAGCTGGAGCGGCTTGCACAGACTCCAGGTCCTCTTCGTTTCCCTTCTGTGATGTATCGCTTCCCGTGCCGGATCGAGTGGCGGATCTGGTCGGGCGCATGAATCTCTCCGAGAAGATTGCGCAAATTGTGAGCAATGCGTCGGGGATTCCTCGGCTGGGAATTCCAGGCTACCAGTGGTGGGAAGAAGCTCTCCATGGCGTTGCGGAGAGCCCAGGAGTCAAATTCGCCGCCCCTGTTCCTTCGGCGACGAGCTTCCCTCAGGTTATTCTCACTGTGGCCTCGTTTAATTCCTCGCTATGGAACAAAATCGCCCAGGTACGATAGAAGGATTCTGGCTTGAATGTTGGTTGTTTTCCATGGAGTTTTTCTTGCTCGCGATTGAGTGATTGATTGATTTTGTTTCTTCTTTCTCGCGTGTAGATTTTTACTTTCTTGCTCGCGATTGATTGATTGATTTTGTTTCTTCTTTCTCGCGTGGAGATGCTTACGTTCTTGCTCGCCATTGATTCGTTGGTTTTGTTTCTTCTTTCTCGCTTAGAGATGTCTAGTTTCTTGCTCGTGATTGATTCATTGATTTTGTTTCTTCTTCCTGGCGTGGAGATTTTTACGGTCTTGCTCGCGATTGATTCATTGGTTTTGTTTCTTCTTTCTCGCGTGGAGATTCTTATTCGATTAAGTATCCATGCAGCTCTTTGTTTTCTAGTGACATGGTTGATGATTCGAATGTCGTTACGCGTTTCTATCTCGAGGCTTGCTTGTGAGCGTTTTGTTTGTTCGGTTTGTTTTGCATGTAAGCTTGACGTTTAGTTTCTTGGCAGGCTATATCGATCGAGGCCATCGCAATGTACAATGCCGGAAGGTCAGGTCTCACATTTTGGAGTCCAAATATAAACATCTTCCGGGATCCAAGATGGGGAAGAGGCCAGGAAACCCCTGGAGAAGATCCGTTACTCTCGAGCAAGTACGCTGCTTACTTTGTGCGGGGCTTGCAAGAGGGTGACTACGATGAAGGCACAGCGATAAGTACCATGCAAGGAAGTCCTACGAGGCTGAAGGTTTCATCATGCTGCAAGCATTTCACGGCATACGACATGGAAAAATCTGAAGGTACAGATTGTTTTCACTTTAATGCACAGGTAAAATGAACTGCTTGAAGTTAATTCTTTCCACCTTTGTTTCGAGTTAATGCGTTTTAAAACAGGTAACTGTTCAGGATTTGCAAGATACGTTTGATCCACCTTTCAGAAGCTGCATCGTTGATGGCCAAGCTAGCGGACTTATGTGCTCTTACAACAGAGTGAACGGAGTTCCAAGCTGTGCGGATTATACATTTCTTACAGAAACAGTCAGGAATTCCTGGGGATTTGAAGGGTATGTGATCATGTAGCTGACTAATCTATTTTTCATGTCTTTTTTCTTCCGTCAGATACATTGTTTCAGACTGTGATGCAGTTGCACTTCTTTATGAATATATAAACTACACAACCACAGCAGAAGATGCTGTCGCCGATGTCCTATCAGCGGGTAACGAATAAAAGTCTTAAACTCTTTGTCGGCATACCTTCGTCCTACATTGTTCCAGGAATGGATTTGAATTGCGGAACGTTTCTTCTCAGACACACTGCTGCTGCCATTGAACAAGGAAAGGTGACAGAGGCGGCAGTAGATCGAGCTCTGTCGAATGTTATGACAGTGCGCATGAGGCTTGGTCTCTTTGACGGAAATAGTGGTGAAACGTATAACTCGATTGGACCTGACGCTGTTTGCACCCCAGAACATCGGCAGTTATCTCTCGAAGCGGCTGAGCAAGGAATCGTGCTACTAAAAAATTCAGGAAACGTGCTACCATTTCCGAGAAATGATTTGATGACTATAGCCGTGATAGGTCCAAGCGGAAACGCAACTGAGACGATGCTGGGGAATTATGCTGGTACGCGGCTTAAACTTTACATATTGCTTTTCTACAAGCTTTGTCATTTCAGGTGTTCCGTGTCAGTACATCACACCTTTCCAAGGACTTCAGGAATACACCAAGTGCGTCGTTTTTGAGCCTGGCTGTAAAGACATTATGTGCAACGACACTACGCTCTTCTTGGCCGCTGTGAGAGCCGCAGAAAACTCTGATGCTGTCGTTATCGTCGTTGGACTAGACAAGGACCAAGAAAGAGAAGGCCTTGATAGAACGAGCTTGCTCCTCCCGGGAAATCAACAGGGTTTGGTGCTAGAAGTTTCCAAGGTTGCAAAGGGACCTGTTATTCTCGTGGTTATGTCTGGCGGGCCTATAGACGTAACCTTCGCAAAAGAGAATTGCAAAATATCAAATGTCTTATGGGTGGGATATCCCGGTGAGGCGGGAGGCAAAGCGATAGCACGAGTGATATTTGGAGATCACAATCCAGGTACGGCTCCTTGTACTCTTAAGCGAGTTTCCATGGAACTCTTTTTTTAATTTTAATTTTTTTTTTGTAGCTGGAAGGCTTCCTATGACTTGGTATCCTCAGGCGTTCGCAGAACATGTTTCAATACTCAACATGCATTTGCGTCCAAACACTTCAACAGGATTTCCCGGCAGAACTTATCGCTTCTACACCGGAGAAAACGTCTATGAATTTGGCCACGGCTTGAGCTACACCAACTTCACCTACACAAACTTTTGCGCGCCGAGTAACATCACCGCTCGTAACACTGTGGCAATTCGAACACCTCTTCGTGAAGACGGAGCCCGACAATTTCCTATAGACTACACTGGGTGCGAGGCTCTGGCTTTTAAAGTGGTAGCCTACATCAGCAACACAGGGACACGAGATAGCGACCATATCTCGCTCCTGTACGCCATCCCGCCAGCTGCGAGTAGCAGTCTATCGCCTCCCAGGAAGCAGCTAATTTCTTTCAAGAGGCAGCATTTAATAGCAGGACGGTGTGCGAAAGTGGAGTTTGATGTCGATACCTGCAAGGACCTCGGCCTGACGAACGAGGCCGGGACGAAAGTTCTTGTCCACGGTGATTACAAGTTAAGCCTGGGAGATATTGAGCACGTAATCAGCCTGACTCTCCTCAGCTGAGGTAAGTTTCTATTTTAGCTATAACCAATCGAAGCTTCGGCTGATAAGCAGGTGGCATTTATGATAATGATCCAGAGAGTGCTCTGTCACAGTTTCGGTGCCTTAAATTTCTCAGGAACCCCGTGAGATAAGGCTCTTTTTATCACACTTCTATAAACATTCTTTCAGGTGGCGATCGAGCTCAGTGTTCTTGGATCCTTCGGTCTCGATTAAGAAAGGAAAATGCCGATCGAGAGGAGCAGCAGCGGCAGCAAAGCTCATGTAGTTCTCTTCACTTTCCAAGGGAAGGGACATATCAATCCCTTCATGAATCTGGCGAAGCAGCTCGCCAAGCTTGGGGTCTCGGTGACACTGCTCTTTCCTTCGAAGTCGGCTCTCGCTATGGTCACTTCATCGGCTATTGAAGGCCTGGACATAAAGTTGGCAACTCTTCCCACTCCGGACCTCCAGCTACCAGCGACGGTCACCATGCCGGGCATTCGCAAGTCTCAGACCAACAGCGTTCACTTTGACACTTTCGAGGGCCCTCTCCGGGATTTCCTTTGGGAAATGCTAGAAGATCCTTCTACAGTTTCACCATCGGCAGTAGTAGTCGATCTTCTCTTTCCTTGGACGACATCAGTGATAGACGAGCTCCGGATTCCCAGATATGTCCTCTACACAGCCGCGGCATCACACTTGGCTATCGGTTTGCACCTCAACGCGAACAAGGAAGGTAAAAGCTTGGAGACACTGGCTATGGAGGCCGAGAAGGAAGGTGTCATCAGAGTCCCCGGACTTCCACCGCTAAAGTGGAACGAGGTTTCCAAAGAGCACAAGGATAAGAGTGACACCTTCTTCGCCGGGGGAGAAAGCTACAGGCGGTTTCTACTCGGCTGCAAAGGGATTCTTCTCAACACTTGCTACGAGCTCGAAGGAAAGGTGATCGACGCAGTGCGAGCCGTGTATCCGGAGATCAAGCTGTTTCCGGTTGGGCCTCTCATTCCAGAACATCTGCTCGATCAGTCTCAGATCAAAGCAAACGCTGATAAGTTTCGCAAGTCGACGTTCCTCCAGAGTTCCCGCGATCTTCAGTGCGAGGCGTGGCTCAACAAGCAGGAAAAATCATCAGTGCTCTACATCAGCTTCGGGAGCTGGATCGGAATCGTGGAGAAGCAGATGTCCGAGCTAGCTTTGGCTCTCGAGTCGAGCAAAAAGGCCTTTTTATGGGTGCTCCCAGTCCCCGACCCCGAGGCCGATACCGAGAAGTTCCTGGCGAGTGTTCTTCCGAAGGGATTCCAGGAGAGGACCAGCGAGCGTGGGCTGATCATTCCGGAATGGGCGCCGCAGCATTTCATCCTCTCGCATCCAGCTGTGGGAGGATTCCTGACACACTGCGGCTGGAATTCGGTGACCGAGAGCATATCAGTAACGGGGGTGCCGCTCTTGTGCTGGCCATTCGTCGCGGATCAGCCAGCGATTTGCCGGTTCGTGGTGGACGGCCTCCGGATCGGCGTGGACATCCGCGAGAACAGGGAGGGGATCGCCGAGAGCGGGGAAATCGAGCGCGCTGTGCGCGAGGTGATGGAGAGCGATGATCTTCGCGAGAGAGCTCGATCGCTCAAGAACAAGGTGAGAGAGAGCTTGGATCACAGGGCCTTCCAGGTGTTTGTGGAAAGCTTGAAGAAAGAGTAGCAAGCATTTAAAATTTAAAGTTTGAATTTAAACTGGAGGTTTCTTACCCTAAATATTCGCGCCAGTTTTGGCGAGATTCGAACCCCAAATCCAAAATTTCCACGCGGGCGGCGCGCTCCACCTTACACTTCCGTACCCGTCAACGCACGTCGAGCCAATCTCATGCTTTTGGCTATGGACGCGCCTCACAGTGTGTGTGTTTAGGGCTCGGCCAGCGCCTAGGGTTTGTGCTCGATCGGGGAAGGGGACGATGCGTACAGCGACAGCAGCGGGGGTGTCACGAGTAGCGGCGCTCGGATTATCGGCAATCGGCGGCGCCGCGGGGGCAGCGAGGAGCTCGACGAGGAGATTTGGCGGCGATTGGCTCTGGTGGTGGCGCCCGGAATGGTGGTCTGGGGGTTCTCCGCGATCGTTGTAGGGGTTCGTTAGGGTCCAAGCAAGCCAGCAACCGCTCCGCTCCCACACCTTCCAATTGATGCTGTGATTTCCACTCCGCCATGCATGGCTCTGGATCGCCCCTCGGCAGCGGTCCTGGGCGATTCGTGGAGTGGGAGGAGACGTTTGTTTCCAATGACCGTGGGAGCAGGGTCGTGCACTACTATCTCAAGGATCGCCAGGGGCAGGCGACGCTGGCGGTGGTGGGCACCGAGCGCAGCGTCCGGCATATGGTGTATGTGGTGTGCGACGATTTTCTCCCGCTTGCTGGGCTGGACAAGAGCACCACCGCGAATTTCAAGTGGCGTGCTCGTCGTGAAGTTGTGGACTGGCTCTCCTCTTTGCTATCGAAGTCTTGTGCGTCCTCTCCTTGTCGCTCGAATTCTCACGTCTCAGGTAGCGCTTTCGTCTTTTGCTTCCTTTGTTGGTTGTTCTCTAACACGATCGCATTGTCCAGTTGAGACTGCTGCCACGGAAGACAGTCCAGATGGTGGGAAGCGTCTTCACGTAAGTTACACTAGCTCTTGCTTTGATTGCTGGGCTTTGCTCATATAGTTGTTTTACAGGACTCGAAGAAGTCCGTGACGAACGTTTTCTGGGTGGGATCGAGCTGGACTTGTCGCAAACGCTTGAAGCATTACAAGTCCTTTCGAAGGAACGGAATTACAATAGCAGTGGGTGTTATTTGATATACTTTCTGCGTTTCTTTTTGACAGGGTGCTTGCTTGTACGTAGGTGAAAAGCTTTGTTTTTGTGATGTCCGAGGAGAACGAGCACCATATTGCGTACATAGAGGACATGTACGAGGATAAAAAGCTGAGGAAGAAGCTCCGTGTTCGATGGTTTCATAAGACCAGCGAGCTGGCTTGCAAAATCCCAGCCCCGCCACCTCATCCGCGAGAGGTGTTTTTTACTCAGTTTCCGCAAGTAATTAGTGTTGAATGTGTAGATGGTCTTGCTACAGTTCTGGCACCCGAGCACTTCGAGAAATGCCCGCTGTTTCTTCCCGATTCCCAGGAGCTCATTCACGTTTGCTCGAGGCAGTTTGACAACGACGGGATTAAGCCGTTAAACATCTGCGGTGTGGAAGGCTACTGGGAACAAAAGGCTCTCGCAGCGCTTGGTGTTTCGTCCTCTCGGGGATCGCCGGACTTGGCTAGTGATGACGACGAAGACGAAGAGAATGGTGGTGGCCGGGGGCCGCGGTTGACAAGGTACCGTAGGAGAAGAGTTGATAAAGGGCACAGTAATAGTTCGACTCCGACGACTGATGGAGAAGGGAATGGGTTGTCAGACGTGGATCCGACGAGAGCGAGCTTCGAAGTTGGCGACAAGGTTGAGATACTCTGCCAGGACAGTGGTGTGAGGGGGTGCTGGTTCATAGGTGTGATCGTCGGTAAGACGTCCAGGCGCGTGAGAGTTCGCTACGATGATCTCCAAGACGATGATGGCAAGGAAAATCTCGAGGTAATCCAGTTTGGTTTCTGAGCAGTAGTTTTACGCTGTTGGTTTTGTTGCTTGTTTCAGGAATGGGTGTCGACGTCTAAAGTAGCACAGTTGGACAAGCTGAACATCCGGGCTCACAGGAGGCCTGCTCTCAGGCCTTGTCCCGCCACTGGCCCGGAAGCTGTGGCTTGCTCGTTTGGCACCCCAGTTGATGTCTGGTGGAATGACGGATGGTGGGAAGGAGTCGTGATCGGCAGGGTAACAGCAAATGAAGTTCGTGTCTACTTTCCTGGTAAGAGTTTTCTTTGTTTCCATGTCGTTTAGCTGCGGGCTGACTTCGTATCGTTTTCGTTTCTAGACGAAGGTGATGCAGAGGTTTTCAAGACATCCGATCTTCGTGTCTCGAGGGACTGGGTAAACAGCCAGTGGTGCAACGTGAAGGCCGATCCGGAGGCCGTGTCGGCCATGGGAATCGTGTGCGGCAGCAGGGACCCGCTGACGGTGTCGCAGAGTTGTAGATATCAGAATAGATATGAGGAAGGAAACATAGACCGGATGATAAGCATAGTGGAAGCAGCCGAGGAGCTACGGGAAGAGGAAGATAATGCCGACAAGTTTTTGACCAGGTGCTCGTCCGACGATTCCAGCCGCAAGAGAAAGGCCGGAGGAGGCAGCGGAGAAGAGGAAGAAGCCTGCGCTGGCGATGGTGGCGGTGGCAGCGGCGGTCTCAAGTGCAAGCACTCGAAGGAAGCTAGCGTGGAGGAGAGTGACTGCGAGCTAGACATGGAGCAGGAAGGATGGAACAACGTAAACAAGAAGCCGAGGATCGCTAGCAGCGCCGCCGCCACCAACGCTTCCATTCGCAGCCCCTCGCTCAAGAGTTCTTCCACGATGTTTGGAAGTCCACTGCCGCCAGTGGCGAGCCTGGTATTGTCGAGGTGAGTGAGTGTAGTAGTAGTGTGGAGCGATCGATTTTTAGTAGCAAGATGAAGCAGGGAGCTTCGTTTTTAATGAAGCGTTTTTTTCCTTCATAGATTCTACTCGTTCTTTTTTTCTTCGTGATTATGGTTTCTGAGAATTCTTTCTTTTTAATCATTGCCGTCGGTTGACTGTGCACTGGATGTGGACACGTGACATTAATTAAAACTTCTAAAACATTAGAATGGTCGCGAATTTTCTTCCGGAGAGAGATATTCCAGAGCGCTCACGAGAATCATGCTGGAGCAGCGTCTCGATCGATCGGAGCTCCATGGAGTGAATGCGTCCATCCCGCTCGATCAGGTATGGAGGAGCTAGGCAGGATCCAGTGGAAGCAGCCGTGGCGGCGGCGGTGGCGGCGAGATCTCGCCTCTCTCGTATCTGGGTTGTGCCACGGCGGCGCTAGAGCTCACGGGGGATTGATGGACGAGGAGGAGGCCAATCGAATCCGGCAGGAAGAAGACGAGGCGATGGTAATTTGATCCATGGCTGAGAATGGGAGGGATTATCGGAGTCCCGGTGATCGAGTGCGTCTACTTGGCTGGCTGTGCGCACTGGGCTTGGAAGCGCTGCATTCGATCCGGAGAAGACGATAGTCGAGGTAATTCCTTGCGATCCAGGGTGATTGATTTTCTTTCTTTGCCACTGTTATTTTCGAGAGTGATCTTTCATTCTTCTTTCGAGTGATTGATTTTCCTTCTTTCTTTGCGTCAGCTTTCATACTGTTCTTTCGAGAGTGATCTTTCATTCTTCTTTCTTTGCGATGGAGTGACTGATTTTTCTTCTTTCTTTGCGTGAGATTTCATAATGTTCGTTCGAGTTTCGAGAGTGATCTTTCATTCTTCTTTCTTTGCGTGAGATTTCATACTGTGTGATCTTTCATCTTTTCTGACAATAAGTTATAACTTCCAGGCTGGGCCGAGGCCGAGTTTGAGGATTTCAAGCCGGTTCCACACATGTGTCGTCTCGTTCTCGCGGTTTACGAGAAAGACCTCGCGAATCCACGCTGGGCTCCTCCGGGTGGCTATGGAATCAAGCTCCAGGACGTGGTGAAGAGAGTGAGCTACAAGGACACGCGCGGCAAAGCGCCACCTTATCTGATCTACTTGGATCGCGAGAACTGCGACATTGTCATGGCGATCCGGGGCTTGAATCTCGTCAAGGAGAGCGACTACGCGGTGCTACTGGACAACAAGCTGGGAAAGCAGATGTTCGAGGGTGGCTACGTCCACCATGGATTGCTCAAGTCGGCGGCCTGGGTTCTCAACAAGGAGGTGAAGCTTCTCAAGCAGCTCGTTGTGGAGAATCCTTCGTTCACGCTCACTTGCACGGGGCACTCGCTGGGATCCGGGGTTGCGGCTCTTCTCACGGTTTTGATCGTCAAGAACAGGAACTTGGTGGGAAACATTGCGAAGGAGAAGATCAGGTGCTATGCGATCGCTCCTGCGAGATGCATGTCGTTGAATCTGGCTGTGAGGTACGCCGACGTGATCAACTCCGTGATTCTCCAGGTAAAGGATTGAAACTTCTCTAAGTTTGTCTCTTGAAAGAAGATATACAAGTTCCATGCAGGATGATTTTCTTCCCAGGACTGCGACGCCTCTAGAGGACATGTTCAAGTCCCTCTTCTGGTGAGAGCAAGTTTAGTTCCATGTTCTCGTTTCTAAGTTCTTTCTTCGTTTTTTTTTACAAGCTTGCCGTGCTTGCTTTGCATCATTTGCGTTCGAGACACCTTCCTCTCGGAGGCCAAGATGCTCAAAGATCCCCGAAGGCTCTACACTCCCGGAAGAATCTATCACATAGTGGAGCGCAAAGTTTGCAGGTAGTTTTCCTCTCTTTTTCGTCTCTCGTGGTGTACTTTCTCATCTGGATCAGCGTAAACTTACCAGGTGTGGAACATATCCTCCAGTCGTGAAGACCGCGGTTCCCGTGGACGGGAGATTCGAGCGCATAGTTTTGTCCAGCAGCGCTACCTCAGATCACTCCATCGTGTGGATCCACAGAGAAGGTGCCAAGGCCTTGGAAGTACGTGAAACTCTCGATTCTTTTCTTCCAAGTGAAGCTCTTGTTTGTTCGATACAGCTGATGGAAGAAACAGCGACAATGCAATCTCCAACGCCCAACAAGATGGTCCGGCAGCACTCGATACAGGAAGAACACATGGAACAATACAAGGCCGCCATGGAACGAGCAAAAACGCTTAACATCCCCCACGCTCACGACTCTCCCTCGCAGTCCTACGGCACTTTCGACCACGTCTCCGTGGGAGACACCGACGAGAGCGACGCTGAGAACCAGGCCGAGATCTCAAGGTCGCACTCGCCATCGCCAGACGAGGAAGACGAGGAAGAAGAAGACTCAGCCGAAGTGAGCGAGGAGGAAAGCCTGGACAAGTGGAAGAAGTTCTTGCGAGAACTATTTCCAAAGGATCGATACGAGAGACTGCTAAGCACAGGCTGAAAGTCTTACTGCCGCGGTTCTTACTTTGATACTCTTCGCGATGGTCCTACGTTTTTGTTGTACATTGTCACAGGACCACAACTATTTTGGAAGAACAAGCTTCCATAGCTTTCTTCTCGATCTATATCCTTCTTCCATAGCGTAAGGAAGAAGGATATAGTTTTATCATAGACTTGCGATCAGTGTGATCGCAAGGATGGTTGCTATGATCATATAGAACATGATCGCAAGGCTATGGTTTCTATAACTTATTCCTTTCGATACGTGATGTATAACACAACAATATAGATACAAAACATTGTGAGTTCGTTTTGTTATTCCACTGGCTTCTTCTTCTTCGTCATTGTCACTTGTGTGAATCGTCCTTCCTTCTTCCACCATAGCCAGCTCTCCATCGCTCGCTCAAGCCGTGGCAGCCACCGCCTGCTTCTCGCGCTTGGCACGCTCCAAAATCCTCCTCTCCAGCTCCGGCCGGAAGTGCCGGATCAATCCTTGCACCGGCCACGCCGCCGCATCCCCGAGCGCACAGATGGTGTGCCCCTCGATCTGCTTGGTCACCTCCTGGAGCATATCAATCTCCTCCAGGTACGCGTTCCCGACTTTCATCCTCTCCATGAGCGTCCACAGCCACCCCGTCCCCTCCCGGCACGGCGTGCACTGGCCGCAGCTCTCGTGCTTGTAGAAATACGAGAGCCTGGCGATGGCGTCCACCACGTCCGTCGACTTGTCCATGACGATCACCGCCGCGGTCCCCAGCCCCGACTGGACCGCCTTGAGCGCGTCAAAGTCCATGAGCACGTCGTCGCAGATCTTCTTCGGCAGCAGCGGCACCGAGGATCCCCCGGGGATGATCGCCAGCAAGTTGTCCCAGCCGCCTCTCACTCCCCCGCAGTGCCGCTCGATCAGCTCCTTGAGCGGGATGCTCATCTCCTCCTCCACCGTGCATGGCTTGTTTACGTGCCCCGACACGCAGAAGAGCTTCGTCCCCGAGTTGTTCTTCCGGCCAAAGCTCGCGAACCACTCGGGCCCCCGGCGGAGGATGGTCGGCGACACCGCCACCGTCTCGACGTTGGTGACGGTGGTCGGGCAGCCGTAGAGCCCGACGTTGGCTGGAAACGGTGGCTTGAGCCTCGGCTTCCCTTGCTTCCCCTCGAGGCTCTCGAGCAGCGCGGTCTCCTCGCCGCAGATGTAAGCTCCGGCTCCAAAGTGGACGTGGATGTCGAAGTCATAGCCGGATCCACAAGCGTTCTTGCCAATGTAGCCAGCGGCGTAGGCCTCTTTCACCGCGCGCTCCAAGTTCTTCCTCTCGTTCACGTACTCTCCACGGATGTAGATATACGCGGCTCTCGCTCGCATTCCAACGCCGGCGATCAAGCAGCCCTCGACGAGCTTGTGTGGATCGTGCCGCATGATCTCCCTGTCCTTGCAAGTCCCCGGCTCGCTCTCGTCGGCGTTCACCACCAAGTAGGACGGGCGTCCATCCGAGACCTTTGGCATGAAGGACCACTTGAGCCCGGATGGAAAGCCCGCCCCTCCTCGGCCTCTCAATCCAGACTTCTTCATCTCGTTCACGATCCAGTCGGGGCCCTTGAGCACCAGGTCCTTTGTGCGGTGCCAATCGCCCCTGGCCATGGCGCCCTTGAGGAAAGGGTCGTGGATCCCGTAGAGATTGGTGAAGATCCTGTCCTCGTCCTTGAGTCCGCCAAAGCTCGTCCTCTCTGTGGCCGGGGGCGGCGGCGGGGCTGGCTGTGGCGTCGCGGATTTGCTCGCAGCCTGGACGCTCATGAATCGGGAGCTCCCCGGGGAGAAGAGCCTGGCGCTGATGGTGGCGCGCAGAGATCTGGACGGCCTCATGGTGATCCCTGCGGAGCTTACCAGCGTGGATGCGACCGCGAAGCTGGAGTTCCTCGCCTAAGCCCTACCAGATAAAATATTTTGCCCAGAAATTAGGGTTCTTGGGATAACTTGGTCCAGAAATTAGGGTTCTTGAGAGCCATGGACGCCAAGCTTGGGGAGGCACTCCAGCAAGGTAAATGCCCGAATTCGCTGTAGGCTCGATTCGATTTTGCGATTGGCAGCTCACGATCTGGCGGCGGACATGGTGAAGCAAATGGCGAACGAGCCTTCCGTGGGGCTTTACTTTGTCCAGCAGCACGTCCACAAGGCTGTCCCGGCGATTGTTTCTCTCAAGGTACTGTCCTCGCGACGAATTCTCTGCGAACTGTGGGAGCTTTTGCCAGGATCAAGTAGGCGATTGCGCTCACGACTCGGGGCTCAGCACTGAGGATGCAAAGGACGCGCTCGCTACTGTCAGAAATTTCAAAGGAGTCGGGCCTCCGGTGATTGAGAGAATGATGAAACGTCTCAACTCTTCGATCCAAGCCCTCCAACCATCCAGGTTTGAGTTCTTACTTTTTGCAAAAACATGTTTTTCAGCGATCTGTTTCAGAAAAAAAGTCTTTTTGGTCGCTAAGAAGAGAGTTGTGTTTTGCAGGAGCAAGGAATCAAGCTACTCGGTCTCGGAGATGGCTAAAAACGCTAAAAAGCTCGTCTCCTCCCCGTTCAAGTCCGAGGAGTCCCCAACAAGCAAGTCCTCCGATTCGTCCACAAACTACGCGAGAAACTTATGGGACTCGGCCGTGGATCGAGCCAGCAGCTTCACTCGGAAACCTCCTTCTCCAATTCCAGCCTCGTCCTCTCCAACACCAGACACGCCGCCATCCCCTCCAGCTGAAGCTCCGGCAGCTTCTTCTCCATCTCCTTACGGCTACGCTCGCTTGGTTTTGGAGTCGGCCTCTCAGCGAGTAGGCAGCATTGGATGGAGCGACTCTAGCAGCAGCAAAGAGGACAGGGACAAACCCACAGGATCCACGGAAGAACTCAAACTTTCCAGCGACAACTCGAGTAACAAACCCGTTCGAGCAGTGCTGGACACGATTTCTACGACGAGTAAAACTCCGGAGACGGAAGGATCGGAAGCGCCAGCAGGGGAAGGAGAGATTCCTGGGAACTCGACAGAGATTCAGGAGGGGTTTGACAGGTTCCAGGCGGAGAGCGCGGCTAAACTGGCGGCTTGGCTGGATAAGCCATGAGTGTGAGAGAGAGCCAAGTTTCTTAAGCTCCGGCTATGGCGGTTTACACGTGGCTGCATGCACGGGTGCATGGTCGCCATCCAAAAGCGCGGAGACAAATTCTGGAAGCCCATTTGGGAGAGAGGGGTCTGACGGAGCCAAGAAAAAAAAAAGAGAGGAGAGCTTCTCCACAGCGTCGCCGTCACTACAGCGTCATGATCTTCGTGGAGTGGTGGCCAGCGTAAAAACTATTCTTCTTCTCCAGAGGTAAGTGGTTTTCCTTTGTTTCCTTAATCTCTCGAGCTTGGATTTGATCAGAGGATCGCTTCCAGATGATTTGCTGATAAGAAGAGAGCAAAGCAAAAGGAGCTCGAAGAAGAACGAAGAAGAAGGGTGATTGATTTGGATAAGGAAATGATACTCGTGGCGCTGCTGGTTCACTTGATCGGCGACTACTTCGCGACGGTGGTGAGGCTCTTGAGTGAATTGGTGAGAGAGGCTCCGCTGCCGAGCAGGATCAGGATCCTCATCCTCCGGAGGCTTCGCTCGGTGTCATAGATCGAGCAAAGCGAGCTTTTTTACCTGGAAAATGGGGGATTGAATCGAAAAATTCTTCTTTGCTCGGTCGATCTTCTCTCGTTCTATTCCAAACTAAGAAAGAGCTCTCTCTGGATAAGTATGAAGGTCTTTAGAGTCGCGACGCTCATCCTTAATTTGCTTTGTTCTTTCTAAAACCCTAAAACCCCGAGACGGGGGAATGGTCGCGCTCTCCAGATCCGAGCTCGATTACATCGAAGGAGGCGTCAAGCACGACTTGCGATCGGATGGCCGCGGGCGCTACCACTTCCGCAATCTCTCCATCCAAGTGGGAATCATCCCCCAGGTAAGAAAGAAATCACTCCCATTTTCTTCCTTAGCGTGAGAGTGATCTTCTTTGTCCTCTCTTTGTGTGTCTGTTGCTCTATCTCTATCGCTTTGCCACGATGGAAGCTTGCGCTAGTTCCCTCTCTCTTTAGTTTATCGATCGAAATTACACTGGTTTGATCAGGCCAATGGCTCGGCTCGCGTTCGTCTTGGAGGCACAGACTTGATTGTTAGCGTCAAGGTGATGGATGGAAAAAAGAGAAGAGAAATTTTTTTCTTAGTTTTGCTCCTTGTTCTTAGGCAGAGCTTGGATCGCCTCGCAGCTGTCGACCAAACTATGGCAGCATTGAAGTTATGGTGGAGTGCTCGGCTACCGCTGGACCCGAGTTTGAGGTGATCGGAAGGTTCCACTACAGTGTTTTTCTAAGTTTCTTTCTCGAGCAGGGACGAGGAGGAGAGGATCTAAACATGGAGCTTTCGCGAGCTTTGCAACGCTGCTTCGTTGGTGGACCAAGCGGTGCTGGTAATCCATCCATCTTCCAAGCTTCCAAGCCTTGAAACTTTCCTACTTTTCCTCTCTCATCTCGGCAGGAGCGGCGATCGATCTGAGCACGCTGGGAATTGTCGCGTCCAAGTTTTGCTGGGAGCTCTTCGTCGACTGCCTGGTTGTAAACTCGGATGGAAATCTTCTCGACGCTCTGTCCATCGGTGTCAAGGCAAGTGATGGAAGATCTGCAAGTGTTGTAACTCTGTTCCTCTAGGCCGCCTTGAGCAACACTGGCATTCCAAGCGTCAAAGTTACCGGAAACACGGCCTCGGAGGACGATGCGGACCTGGAAGTTGGGGACAATCCAGACGAGTTTGCTCGGCTCGACGCTTCCAAAGTGCCACTGATCATAACTCTCACCAAGGTGCGGTTCTTCTCTTCGATTTCCTTTCTCCTCTGGCTGAAACTGTGAACTTTCTCGAAGATTGGCCGGCACTACATTGTGGACGCAACTCCGGAGGAAGAGATGGGAATGTCGTCGGCTGTGTCGGTGGCTGTGAACAGCAAAGGTTTGATTCTCGGCTTGACGAAACGAGGTGACGGAGGTTTGGATCCCAGCGTTGTCACGGACATGATCTCGGTGGCCAAGCACATTGCACGGGACTTGATAGTTTTGGTTGACACGGAGATTGCTGCGGCCGAGCTAAGGGCCGCTGAGAACCAGTGAAGGAACCGAATTCTTTTATCTCTTCGTCTGTATATTTTAGTGTTTGGATTTCACGAGTGAGAGCCCCTAACACATTAGACGTGAAAACACAGCGATCCAAAATAACAGCTGCTTACAAAATGGCCAAAGTTTCTCTTTGTCTTCGAACACGCTCACGTTCCCTTGATCTTCCTCGAGGAAGGTGGTTTTCGGAAAAGGTCGTCCAATCCCTGGATAAGAAAACTATGAGCGCTGTTTGCAGCAAAATTTGTCACTACCTTTGTTGTTACAAGTGCAATCACAAAAAGAAGCCCGAGGTATGAGCCAACAGCCAGCATAACTACCAGATCGAATGTCACGCTCGCGACCTGGATAGCGAAATCATGTTAAACATGTTTTAGGAGATGCAAAACCGACCTGGAAAATGCTGAGAACGAACTTTGTTGAGTCGTAAAACGTGAAGGATGAGTCCATTGTCTCGTGTTGGATTTTCACGTCCTCGATGCGATCCGCAAGTTCCTGCTTGCAAAATACACGTTAGCGATGCAAAAGGAATGATGAAACAGCGCGTACCTTGTGAAAGGCAGCAATGATTGGAGAGTTTCTGGACAAAAATGGGGCCATTCTAGGCGTTCGCGAGAGTAAGTTCAACCAACCTTGAACGTATGAACGGCTGACTGCTAGATTACTCCCGTCGGCAAAGACTGTTATATGCTTGTCTTGTTGATCGTATATGTATCTCTGCAAAAGTGTGCTCGACTAAATACAAGAGAAAAAAGAACCAAAGAAAATGTGACATACAGCTAAAGATTCTGCAACGAGCTTGGTGCTCAGGATCACTTGCGTGATGTTAGCCCTGTACAACAATTTGAGACGTCTGTGCTCACACAAAGTTTCTGTAAAATAATTACCTCGTGTCCACAATACTTCCCGCATTTTCTAGAAGCTCTGGAGGAGTTTCAAGCTCCGACAACGTGGCAGCCGTTATTCTCTGCCTGGAAAATTGCTCGTGCTCCCAAGCGACCTGACAAATGGAAAACAAATTCAGCTTAATCCAAAAGATGCAGCTAGACAAGAATTTCTCACCCGTGAGCTTGAAATGTTGATCTTTTTGTGCTTAACCTCGACCGTTAGTCCCAACTCTGTCGCTACTTCAGAAAGTCCCTGCAAAAACAAGAATAATGAAACGAATTCCGACAAAAGCACTTATCAAATAAACCTCGTGTATTTGTCTGATATAAGCGTTTTCTGGTGGTTTAGAAACATGCAACCACAATTTTTCCCCAGATATAGAGCCAAGAGAATTGAGGCATATCGCATAGTCGATGCTCTCCCTAAGCCGTTGGTCAAAGCTCTTTAACCACTGTGAAAAAAATACCAAAACAATCGAAAACAAAGTTGTATGAACTCAAGCGTACCTTAGAAGTACCCTCGTAATCGTAAGGCCCTCCAGCAGTCAAGGCAAAGAGAAGGTTGTACCGACCCCTCGTTTTCGGATTGGCATACAGACGAGAAAATAGCCGAGCAATCTCCAGGAGTGCGACAGCGCCACTTCCGTTGCTATCAGTCCCAGCAGGAATCCCCTGTGCATCCATCACGAATCCAGAGGTCAACGAAGAGTCCACTGCGATGAGAAAAAACACAAACTCAACTGGAGCCGCCCCAAAGGTATCATACCATGCTACTATAGCTATAGTTTGGACAACAGAACTATCACCCTCGCTTCTCAGTCCAGGTAGCCATGCCTGTCAAGTTGTAGAAACGTAAAAACCAGAAGACAACTATTTTGAAAGTATTCTCGTTACCTGGATGTTAACGAGCGATGGAGGTGGAATTTTTCTGGGCTCAGGACCGGAAATAACTAGCTTAAACCTTGAATAGAATCCCAGTCAGGAAGGTTTTCAAACAGTCGCAGAAAAAATCACTTACCCTCCAGTGGTGGCAGTGGCAGGCTTCCCCGCTAGATCGTTCGCTATAACTTCATCCAACAAAGCTTTGAGACTTGGGGTCTCGTAGACAAAGTAAACAGGATACTGTCAAAGAAAAAAAAACCTTAAGCCCCGGCCTTGTCATAGAAAACATCGGCAAACTTACAGGAACGTTGTTCTTGATGATCCAATTCTCAAGGTCACGCTCGACCTGGAGATTTTCATCCGCATCTTCGTCTTTGTTATCGTCGCCATGGCCTTTCTCCGGGAGCAAGAGCAAGAGTCCACCCAAGATTCGCTTTCCTTGAAGATACTCTGAAGCATTGGCACAGGTACGTTTGCAACAAATCCGATAGAAAACCAAAAGGCTAGACCTGAACATCCATCTTACCATTGAGGAGCGTAATGTTGACCTTTGCAATGGGAAGAATCACGACAGACCTGGTAATGTCGGATCCAGGCACAGACAGTCCGGAGCTAGCGTGGTGATTCAAGCTCGCGCGCCGCGACCCCATTGGAATCCCTCGCAAATCGTACTGTATCGCGCGATAGACATCGAAGACGGAGGCCGCGTCGCACAGATCGATGTAAGCCGCGACGAGGAAGAGCAGCGCCAGGAGCGTGTGCCCGGACACACACACCAGCTGCATTCTTTCCATGGATCGTACAGCGATCGCTAGCTCACCTGTGAGAGTGGAGCTCGCCTCTCTGGCGCTAAAACCCTAAAACGCACAGTGAGAAAGGAGATTTGCCCTAGACCGAAAAACGAAGAACGAAGAGAGAATGATAATCCAGGTGCGCTGCGATTGTGGCGCCCAATGCAAGCAGTGGGCGATCATCGAGCTGCAGGGCTCGATCGAGCTCCAGAACCCCGAGCAGCAGCTCCAGGGCCTGGAGATTGGATCGCTTTGCCGGGCAAGCGAGGTATGTGTGAAAATCGATGAAAATCTTGCTCACATTGGAAATCTCTCGATCGATTCAGGGCAAGTTCTCCTTCACTGTGGGCTATCACGAGCTCGAAGGCCGCAAAATGACGCTTAAGAAGCCATTGCTCGTTCTCCGAAGCTCCAAATCTCAAAACCCCCGAGTAGATGAAGCGCCATCCTCGTCGGATTTGGAAGTGGTGGGCGTTGTACGGCACAAGATCTTGTTTAAAACCCGGCCAAAGGCGCTCATCTCAAGTAAGAACTCCTTGTTCTCTGGTACATTCTGGTTTTTACCTTGGTTGTTCCTCCAGAGCCAGAGGTGAAAAGTAAGAAGCCACGCCAGGAGTAAATCGCCGCCACGTTGGATATGAAGAATTGCCACGTAGAGCCCGTAAGTTGGGGGATGTGCGACACGCGTCCTTGTGACACTTCACGCCAACCGCGGACACGCGTCGCAAGATCGCTACGCTGGGCGATGGTTTAAAACCCAAAGCTGCCTCTCCACTGGGGAACTATCTACACACTAGAGAGCTACCAATCTATCAGAGGTGTGGGATAGAGTTTTTTTTTGCTCTAGCTCTAGGAAGGGTCTCCCATCTTCGTCCTCCTCTCGAATTTCTTCCACCTCTCTTTCGATCTTACGTTTTCTCGTAGAGATCCCGTCGAGTTTTCGCTAGAATGGCGAGGAAAGTAGCGCCCGCAGCTAAGAAGCACAAGAGCACGACCGGGGCAGTGGTGAAGAACAAGGTAACGAGCCCAATGGTGAAGTTCGTGGACATGAGAGCCGCGAGTGGCGAGAGAATGGCGACTGTGCGAGCGAAAATGGCCGAGAAGTTCAAGCATATGAAGGCGTCGCTTCAAGTATCTATGGTGCGGTTCCGGCATCCCATCAATCCGGTTCACAGGGTCGCCGCTCGGGAGGCTGCTCGAGAGACCAAAGCAGCAGCAACAGGTACAGTAATATCGTAATCTCTAGATTTATTCTATGATTCAACTTCACTCCTTTGATTTTCCAGAGAGGAGAAGGCAGGCTGTTGCTGCTGCCAAGAACACCGCTTCAAGGAAAAGAGCGTTGATCCGTGAGAAGCGAGCACGAGATTTGACGAGGACTGTGGCATAAGTGCCAGGATAAAAAAAACCACTGATTGTGTATAGTGTACAGTACAAGCATATGGGTTTTGAAGTTTTGTCAATCTTTATAAATTTTCTTGTTGACTAAAAGCTTATGTACTGCAAAGAATCGTTTTTACAGTCGCTAGAGCATAGAGAGTTTTAAGAACTTTCGACTCTGATTTATAGATATGCAGTGATCAAATAACTGTATCACTTGTTTCAGGTAGACTGCTCAATTCAATGCATACCCGCAATCTTTGTTCGATTTCCATCCGAGAAGCTCTCATGCAATATCAAAAATGCTACCATTCGTTTTTACAAGGGGAGTATGCCGTCGACTACAGTGCATTTGCATTCCCCTATGAAATCATCTCCGAAGTTGTGGATGGTGTTACAAGCTTCCCAGAGCCTGAAAAACGAGATGCCGTCGATCCTTCTACAGATTTCTGCTGGCAAGTTTTCTAGAATCTCTCATTAATTTTGGAGGGTGTTTGAACTATCTGCGGGAAAATGGGTTTGCAAATTTTTACAAGGTCTTAGAAATCTCACCTTTCTTTCGTGCAGAAAAAGCCTTGGAAGAGTGTATTCTCACCCTCCGTAGGTGATTCTTTGTCCCCATACTACATATATGAAGGTAACTTCAAGTAAGTTTCAACTTTGGCTGAAAGCTTTGTGTAGATTATGGAGAGAAGATCAAGCACTCCATGTTACTTATATAAATTTCGTGACATAGAGTATCGATAAAAGTGACAAGGTTTATCTGGGCTTTCTTCAAACCTGTGAAAGGCTGCCGCCAAGGGGAGGTCATATACGGAAGAATTGAGCGTCCAGTCAATCGTGTGGCTGCCGGTCTGAGAGACGTGTGTATAGAGGTTGGCCCCAGCTATAAGAAGCAGCGTGTTTTATTGTTATCAACTCGAAGTTCGCCAACATACTTCTGTGCTAATGATCCCATCTAGACGCCCAAAGCTTGATGATAGAACGCACTCTTCTCATGTTTTTTTATCAACTCTATATACAATACCTGAGTAGTCGAGCTTTGCGATTTCCTTAATAACACCTTAACCAGGAACATCAGGGGTTCTTGGACTAGAAATAAAAGGTTGGCTCGGGAACGATTTGAAGCTAAATAATGCGAGAAGAGACGAAACATTACCAGTTTTCACCTCATCCACTATGTCAGTGAATCTCACCGCTCCTGATGCTTTGGAGAGAGATTTCTGGCTTACTGAAATATCTTGTCTTTGAGATTCGATTCTATACAAGCTATTTGTTTGCACTGAAAAGTTCTCGCTCGTTTATTTTTTCTTCGTCGTGGAGAGTTTCCTCGATTTGGAATGTCGCTGCTGTGACGATTCCCCGCGCGCTGCCTGTGGCCAGTGCCGCTTGCGCTGGTTTATAAACCAGTTGTTTATCTGCCTTGGTTTCAGCCAGGTGGATTGCGCCAGATTAGACTTTTCGTCTCCCTGTCCAGCACAACGAAGCAATATGTCAAAATAAAGAAGCAATGGAAAGGACACATTGAAAGAAACTCACATTGGGATATGGATGATCCTGGTGCTGTGACCACCAGTCCAGCAGCTATTGCCTTGCTACCTTGGGGAACTTTTTCTTCTTTTTCTTCTTGAAGCAGTCCTCCATCAGGCCCCTGATGTAGCTCTTCATCAGCGTCTTCATCATGAGCTCCTTGTTGCCCGCCAGTGGATCCAAATCGGTGTCCACCTCTCCAAGATCGGCCTTCTCCATGACCTCGTTCTCGGCTGCCAAAACCAAAGAAAAAACCCAAGAACGAGCGTTAGTTCCAGAGGAAAGGAGGCGTTCAGCTGAAGGAAAGCCGTACAACCGCCAGGGTCTTTCGTACACAGGCTGTCTAGGAAAAGAATGCGGACTGGAAAAACTGTGAGATCAAAAACTTTCTGCAGTATTTCAGAAGAACTATCGAGACCGAAAAGGCTCTCTTGATGATTCGCTGCAAAGACGGTTCAGAAAGACAAGCATCGGTTCTGCAGAGTGATTCAGAGCTGCAAAACCAACTAGCACACTTGCAGGACGCGGCCCAAGGTATCAAAATCTTAGCCCACGAATTTATCAGCTGCTGCTCGGCGTTTGCCAAATAAAAAGAGAAGGATCAATTGCTTGGCCTCCCCCTTGAAGGCTTATATGCAGTGATTGACTCAGCAGTCAAGTCCTCCACAAATTGCTCTCCTCTCGATTCTTCCCGGTTTTTCTTTTGCTCCAAGGGGGTCTCACTAGCTTAACTTCTTCACCCATAATCCAACGGACAGTGACACCGCCACGTCACTCAACATTCTTTTTATAGAACTGTAGGGTGAACTTTTCCACTAAAACTTAGGTCATTCAAAGAGAGATGGAGGGCTCTGACCCCGACTCGCAAATCGTTGCTCCGGAGGGAATGAGGTGTAGTTTTACATTTCGCTAGAACATAGAAAGAGTTTCGACTTTGATTTGTAGCGTCGTGGTGGAGCATCCGGTGATTTTCAAGATGCCTCGCCTCCAAAATGACAAGGAGCGCGAGGAAGTTATCCTTGGGTGTCTCTACGAGCTCAAGGGAAAGTTCCCAGATCTGATAACACTCTCTACAGGTTTCCGTGAAAACGATGTAATGTATATCATGTTTCCACTCTTTCCAGGCCGACTGCTCAAAGAAATCGATGGATGCACTCACGCAATCTTCGTTCGATTTCCTTCTCGAAAGGCTCTCATCGACTACTACACCTCCGAGCAGCTTATGGAAGTTATACTGAAGATGCTACCATCCCTTTCGGTGAGCTCGTAAAATTCCAGAGATTTCTTACCTTTTACTGTGACTAATTCAGGGGGAGTATACAGTGGACTACAGTGGATTTGCATTCAACGATCTCGTAAAGGTTTTTAAATCCCGAGGAATTTTTTTTTCCTTGCGAATTTTTTTATCATGTCTCTTGCTCTACAGGAACACGAAAACAGTGTTGTCCATATAACATTCTGGAAGTTCGCCGATGAAATCACCTCTGAAGCTGTGGAGGATGTTATGAGCTCTCTCTACAGCCTGAAAAACGAGATGCCGTCGATCGTTCTACAGATTTCTGCTGGCAAGTTTTCTAGATTTTTCTTTCTATGACTAATTTTTTGGAGAATTTTTCAGGTTCGAACAACTATCTGCGGGACAAGGCCTTTTCTCATGCGTTTGTTGCACGACTCGCCTCAGGTTTCCAAATTCCTTACAAGGTTTTTAGAATGCTCACTGAAAAACCATTTCGTTCCTGCAGAAAATACCGTGGAAGGGTTCTACTCTCACCCTGCGTACGTGAAGGTAAGTTCATGAAAGTTTCAACTCAGCTTAAAAGATTTCTGTGTAGATTATGGAGGAGAAGATCCAGCCTCATTGCACGCGAATTCTTTCGGCCGATTTTACTCCATACTCTCCACCCTTGGCAGGGTAAAACCAAAACTTTTAACTCAGTTTTTTTCCCGTGATTCTAGTTTTTTCTTCCAGGCCTCGACTTTGACGAATCCAACATTTTGGAGTTCGATTTGCATTTACTTGCTGTAATCGACTCAGCTAGTGCATGCTACTTGTCCTCCATGCAAAGACACAGTTCCCTTCTATAAAATCTAATGGATTCCATTCCCAAGAGAAGGAAAAGAGAGAAGATCATCGATCAATCTGTCGCTGCCATGGCTTATTTCTCCTTGTTTCTCTCGCTTCTCTTTGGGCTTTCTTCTCTAGCGGCAGCCTTTCACAGGTTTGAGGATTCGGGCGCCTCGGCCATCGATTCCGCCAGAATGATGCTCCGGAAATACAATCTCCCCGAAGAGCTCTTCCCAGTTTCTTTCGTCACATACTTTTCTTTCGACAAGGAGGATCGCGCCTTCCACATGAGATTCGAGACATTGTGCTATGTCAAGGTGAGCGACGAGTACCTGTGGTACGGCGAGGAGGTGAACGGGAGGGTCATGTACGGACGGATTGAAGACTTGACCGGCGTCCAGTCAAAGGTCCTCCTCGTGTGGCTGCCGGTCAGGCAGCTCCACGTGGACGACGCGAAGAGCGGCTACGTGTACTTGGACGTGGGCCCCATCTACATGAAGCTGTCCGCGTCAGCATTCCAGTCTCAGCTCCCATGTCATAACGACGACGCGGGCGTGTTTTCACTCGTCTCGTGAGTGAGATTTAAATCTGTTGTGAAATAAATAGCATCGTGGCCGTTGGTTTTGAAACACAATCATTTTAGCATGGTGTGACCGATCACCGCGATCATACTTTGGAGTCTTGTCTAGGGTTGGCGCTCGCCATCGATCTCGTGGGATTTCTATGAAAATGCGGGCTCTATGCGATCCCGGGGATGGCTGCATTGGATTCCTGGTGTGGATTTGGAATTCGTCGGGGGATTGGATGATCCACGGCGGCAAAGGTAATCACAAAAGCATCGATGTGAGTATCTTCGATGATCTGTGGCAGGGAAGAGGATTTCTGCGGTGAAACCTTGTAACACTTCCATCTGGTGGGATATTGACGACTGTTGCCCTCATCCCGATGTGAATCCGATGGATATTTCACGAAGAATTAACGAGTTCTTGCGAGAGAATGGAATTTCAGGCCTCGGCCTCATCCCGATGTGAATCCGATGGATATTTCACGAAGAATTAACGAGTTCTTGCGAGAGAATGGAATTTCAGGCCTCGGCCTCATCCCGATGTGAATCCGATGGATATTTCACGGAGTTCTTGCGAGAGAATGGAGCACCAGTGGATTGATTTCCATCTGGTGGGATATTGTCCTCCCGATGTGAATCCGATGGATATTTCACGAAGAATTAACGAGTTCTTGCGAGAGAATGGAGTTTCAGGCCTCGGCCTGTGGTGATTCACACAAGCTATCTGCAAACGTCCAGAGAGCGCTATACAACACAGGGATCAATCTTCACCATTTTGTCTCGGGTAAGAACACAATTCTTGGAAGCTTGGAATAACTAGCGAGCATTTTCAGGTTCGAAGGGTGTTAGCCAGAAGGCCATGCTCGTGAGCATGGCATTTTGGTCGAAGGAAAATCCTCCTCCCGCCAATATCGTCCTCATCTCTGGAGACGATGGTTTCTCGGTAATCCTTCATCAGCTTCGAATGCAAGGCTTTCGCATTTTTCTGATCCGTCCACAAGGTGGCTCGTGCGTTGCTGAATCTTTGCTTGATGCAGCGACGAGCATTTGGCACTGGGACAGGGTCGCGCAAAGCTCTCCGAAGGAATCGAAGAGTTTGGCTGGCTCGAGAAGAAAGAACTACCATGGCCGACCAGTTATCCGCGGCGCCTTGACAACTTTGAGGAGCGAGATGCTACCGTCAACCGAGGAGAACATCTACAGGTGCATCGTCAGCAGCACCGTGGTAACCTTCAACCTTCCAGAGGCCCTTAACAATGGTGTCAGCAAACTTTACATTCCCACCGATGAACAGCCTTGGTATTTCATCAGCACTGCCGACTATCGAGAGTATGGACCACAAGTCTGGGATGACCTGCGCAACTTTCTGAGCAGCAATTGGGTACCATTGTCTTTCAGAGGAGTGATTTTCGAAGGAACCCATGCTCGGAGCTCTTTCATGACATCCTCTCGCGGGAGAAATGTTGCTGCCGAGGAATGCAGCAAGCTCTTGACCGGGTTCGGTGTCTCGCTTATGAGAATTGTGCATGGCGACCAGTTTTGAGGACGCGGCTTGATCCACAGCTTGTCCACAGCAGCCAAGTGTAAAAGGTTGCTAAGTTCCCCCAGAGATAGCGTCGAAAGTGGAACGTTTGCGGACTGTCTGATGGCTAGAGCGGCTTCATAGCTGGAAATCACCGCCGTGCGACATTAGAAACAGTTCTACTGGAGATGAAAGAGAAGCTTACATGTTTGCAGACTTTACGAGATCACTAAGCTCAAGAACGATTTCGAGAAAGAACGCGATATCTACCACAGTCTGGAAGGCCCTTGTGAGACAATTTCCAGGCATGACAGAACTCCGCTCCACCAAGATCTATCCAAACTAAAACCAGTATGGTACCAACTTTTTCTTTCGTAAAAATATTCAAGACTTTTTTAGGGCTTGGGCATTAGACTAGGGTTTTTGCGCGATGGAAGCGCGATGGCGGGACATCGATTTCCTCCTCCAGCGCCCTGGGAAGCTCGTCAGCGATGGATTCGAGCCGGGTCCAGAGGTATGCAGCGCTGCGCAATGTGTGTGCCTGGTGATAGGCAGCTCTCTTTCTCTGCAGCTCAGGGAATTCCTTCGCGACTTCAAAATTCTGGTGATAGGCGCCGGCGGCCTCGGCTGCGAGATGCTCAAGGATCTTGCGCTCTCCGGCTTTGGAAATATCGACGTGATCGACATGGATACGATCGATGTCTCCAATCTCAACCGGCAATTTCTATTCAGGTGTGTGACAAAAACCATGCCAAACGAGAGTGAGCTTATATGTTCTTTCTTTGGTTTCGGGCAGAATGCACGATGTGGGAAAGCCAAAGGCTCAAGTTGCCGCCGAGAAGATTATGCAGCGTATCAAAGGTGTCACCGTGACTCCACACTACGGTCGGATTGAGGACAAAGACATTGAGTTCTACCGGGAGTTTCAGCTTATAGTTCTTGGTTTGGATTCACTGGAAGCTCGAAGCTACATCAACTCCATTGCCTGCAGCTTTTTGGGTAAAACTTCATGTTTATTGTTTCAGGTCGTGACTTTTATTTCTACTTTTCGCACAGAGTACAACGAAGATGGCGAGCTCGACATGTCAACTATCAAACCAATGGTTGATGGTGGAACGGAGGGCTTCAAAGGCCATGCCCGAGTGATACTACCGGGATTCACGCCGTGTTTCCATTGTACTCTCTGGCTATTTCCGCCACAGGTCACTTATCCGCTCTGTACGCTAGCTGAGACCCCTCGGTCTCCAGCTCATTGCATCGAGTACGTTCACCTCATACAATGGGGTCAGGTATGAGACACGTTTTTAGCTCATAGATTTTTCATGTTCTTATTGGCAGGATCGAGAAGGCGAGTCTTTTAATCCTGACAACCCGGAACATATGACGTGGATGTACGAGCAGGTGCTCATCTTCTACTTTTCTCTGTCATTGCCTTACTTGTTCTTTATCTTAGGCATTGAAACGCGCTGAGCAGTTTAACATCAGCGGTGTGACTTACTCGCTGACACAGGTGCTGCGTGTCACTTTAAACTTTGTCCGGTTTTAATAGTATTCTTGGCAGGGCGTTGTTAAGAACATCATACCTGCAATCGCTTCGACTAATGCCATTGTTTCGGCCATTTGCTCCCTTGAAGCGCTCAAACTGGCAACGATGTGCAGTAAAGGCCTTGACAACTATATGATGTACGTCATGTGGGCTTTTCTTTCTTTGTTTCAATGCTACCATCGTGTAGGTACTCTGGAACTCAGGGTGTTTACACCCACACGGTCTCCTATGAGAAGGATTCAAGCTGTATGGTTTGCAGTCCGGGAGTCCCTGTTGAAGTTGATAGTTCTATTACTCTGCAGGAGGTAGTCTATATAGAAAAGCATGCAGACAAGTTATTTGACTTTTTTCTTTCTTCTCTTGTGCAGTTCATTGACATGCTGCTCCTGGACGCGAGGTTTAAGGATAAGCTATCCAAGCCCAGTGTTTCCTTCCAAGGAACCAATCTCTACATGCAGGCGCCACCGGTGCTGGAAGAGATGACACGACCAAACTTGCAGTCGTCGCTTCTCTCCTTAATGGGGTCAAAAGGCGTACTGAACGTTAATGACCGAAAGCTGGCAGGCGTCCTCCGCGTCCAGGTTGCCTTCAGAAACGTTCCGACGCCCATGGCGGTGTGAGGCCGGCCGGATTAGCATGTAAAGAGGTAAACCCGGTGGTAAACAAGCTGGGAGGCTCTGTTTTTTTTTTGCTTTTTTGCGTTTTCTCTCTATAGATTTCCAGTGCTTCAAGCTGACCGCGTGCAGTGCATTGATCGATTAAAAAGCGGCAGGAAACGAGAGCAGCAGCCAGTGCCGTGGAGTCCGTATCCTCTAAACACTCCCAGGGGAGGAGAAAAGAAGTGTAGACTGTTTAGAGTCTGGAGGCACGTGAACTCTTGTTGGGAATGGAGAAAGCGAGAAGCGAGCGGCTCCCATTGGTCGTCTGGAGGTACATTTTTATTCACGCCTGTCTTAAGTGACTAACTGGTGTTGATCGCTTTCTTTATGTGTTTTTGCTGGCTTCTCAGGTAACAGGAGAGTCAATGTGTAATAAGTTCAGCCGACGAGCTCGCCCGCTCGCTCCACCTTCCTGAAGGGATTCTTGGCAGTCCCCTGGATGGACGAGAATGGAGACGCATCGCGAGTCGCGAGAGAACCAAGCGCGGTGGTGGAAAGTCCAAAAACTTCGGTACGGTTTCCATGTGCATTTCCTGCGGTAGCAGCAGCGGCAGCAGCAGCAGCAGCAGCAGCAGCAGCAGCACTAGCAGCAGAAGAGTAAGCAGCTGTTTTTGGTTTTGGAGAAAAAAAGGCAGCTTCAGCAGTAGCAGCGGCAGCAGTCAAAGTGCTCGTTGGGAAGTGTCAAATCGCTTGCTACAGGGAAGGAAGGCTTCTTTCCTTTTTCTTTTCACTTTTTCTTTCCCAGTGCCCATCTCTGGGGGAAAGCTTGATCACCAAATTCCAAAGCTGATAATTGAGATATGCAATAGGAATTGGAAGAAGAAAGAAAGGTATCTGTGCTGGAGGTATCTCATCTTATTGCTCCATAGCTGTATTTTATAAAAGTTCACCACCATTTATACGAAATGTGCCATGGAACTTTCTCATTGATAGATCATGGAATCACGGCCCCCCTGCTTTTTAATCACACACCATTTTCTTTATTGCAACATTCCTCGCTAGGTTATAGCTGCTTTACAAAGCTTTTTCAAATACTTGAAGTATTTTCTGTTTTGATGTGGTCGAGAAATTGGATGATGCAATGCAAATTAGCTTCCGTTGCACCCACTTTCGTGTGCCCTGCATTCCAATCGCTTTCGTGTGCCCCTGCAACAAATTATTAAATGGGGAAGAAAAAGGAAACAAAAGTATTAAACAATTGGAAATATCTAGCGAGAACGCAAGAGGCCAAACGCATTGCATTTTTTCTTTTTGTTGGCACCCACCGTATTGATGAAATTGCAGAAGGGCTAAAACCATGGGATGGGATCAAACGAAAACTACCTCTATCTCTATCTCATACATCCACAGAAAGGGGCAAGCACAGAGAAATGTTAGAAAAATAGGATACACTTCTTAAACTCCTGGCCAACTTGCGCCCGGGCAACATGGCTGATCAAATGTTGAACAACAATGCCGTATACGGAAAGCAAAAAGAAAAGAAAAAGTTTAAATTAAGAAAAAAGATGGCGCTTTCAAAGTACAGTAAGTATATTCTACACCCCAAAGAAATCTTCATTGAAATCGGGGTTAAACCATCAAGCACCCAAATGCCCCCTTGTGGCAAACCATGGGTTTAAACTGGGCCCCTTCCGTACAGGTCTAGGTGGTGGAAGCGAAGAGGGGCCCAAAAAAACGTCAACGTAAGCGAATGTTGGCTGACGCAAGCGGGGGGCGTTGGGTCCGTGTTTTACCGCAGGTGAAAGCTTAAAAGGAACAAGCGCGGCGTGGCGGCCTCGCTGTCCGTCGGATTAAGCCCCCAAGGTAAATATAGGGAGAAAGAAGTTACCACGAAAATTTTCTCGGAATAAAACATTAATTGAAGCGGAGGTGGAGATTGTGTCAGCAATGCCCGCGCTTTTCTTTAAGCCGTCAACTTTGGCAAAATCTCTCCCGAAGCAGACAAGCAAAAGACTCTATAAAAAACGAAGCTGGATTAGTGTGTTTAAAGCATTTTTCTTTCTAGATTCTCTCTCTTTCCCGAGCTCGCTCTCTCTCTCTCTCTCACAGACACGCGAGCGGCGAGCGAGACCCTCTCTCTCTTGGATCATTGGATGGATGGAGCAGAAGCGCAAGCCCAGCAAGCACAAAACACCGGGCGAAGAATCGCAAGGGGAGGAACAGGAATTTGTGGAGGACGAGACTGCCGAGATTTTCTAGTCCAGCACTGCTTATAAGTTCTTCTTTGATCAAGGGGGACGCCAAGATATCGATCCCGTTTCTTACGCGGAGCCGCAGCTGATAAATTCATGGGCTATGATTTTTATAACTTGGGTCTGCGTGTGGTCCGCATCTACTGCAAGCGTGCTACTTGGGTTTGCAGCTCTGGATCGATGCGGTGGTGAATCGCGAAGTCTTTGATCCGTAGCACCTAGAGTCTTACAAAAGGTAGAGAAGCTCTTTTCTTCAGCAGCAGCGGAGAATCGAGCCATCCCCGGAGCCATTCGTTTCCGGTGTGTGTTGCGGTCACTGCAGAAGCTTTGCTCACACAATTCCAGTCGAGGGTCGCATTCTTTTCCTCATAAGTCTCCACAGAAAGTTACACACTGGGAGGAGGGCAAAGGATAAGAACGGTTACGTGCCTAAGATCATCGCTTCTCTCCCCTAAGATCACCACAGTTTTACTTCCAAGTTTCTCTAGTTTTCCAAGATCATGGCTGGGGGTTACGCGCCAACGAAATTCGCAAACATGGAGGAATGGCTCGTCGAAGGTTTGATAGAGCAGGCAGCGGAGGGACTCACAACCTCGCCGCCGCCGCCGCCGCCGCCGCCATTAGCACCAACATCATCCATGGCGGCACCAAGAACGGAACACGAGGACATGGATCCGCGCGGCAGCAAGGTTTCACTGTCAGATAGCGAGATCATGTCGGCCATATCAGGACATCCGCAGTACAAGGAGCTCCTGCGAGCACACATGAATTGCTACAAGGTGAGAGCAGAAAAAAAAGATTTGTTTTCGTTTTCTTGCTGTAGTTCGAGAGGGTTTTATGCGAAAATGTAGTTCTCGCCTCTCTCTCAGGTTGGAGCTTCCGCGGATTTGGCGGCCCAGATGGACGAGCTCGTTCGGAAGCGTGAATTCGAGAGTGCCGTCAAGACGAGCATTGGAGTTGATCCAGAGCTGGATCAATTCATGGTAACTTACTCACTCGCAACTCCAAACTCTTACAGTGTTCTACCAGGTTGCTTACTGCAATGTCCTCAACGCCTATGAGATCGAGCTGCGGAGAACTTTCAAAGAGGCCATCGAGTTTTGCAAGAAGCAAGAGCACCAGCTCAGTGTCATCGCAGTTAGCAACATCGACGTGCTCTCTTCTGGTAAAGCTCGCAAACACTCTTACAACGCTGCTTGTCCGGTGGCTTGCGTTCTTGGGTACCTTTTTCGCACTAAGTTTCTTTATACTTGCTGCATGATTTAGTCCATTCCTTCTTCCCATTTTTTTTACGTTGATCGTGCTGCCTGTGGGTGAAACTCGTTCATGATCGTCATCACTAGTAGCAGCAGCAGCAGCAGCAGCTTAGCAGGGAAAGATAAAAATAAGAATCCAGAATCATGGGGAATGGAAAAAGGAAAGCAAGACACATGAGGCAAATTGGTCCGGGGGGTATGGAATAATTCAGCTGATGGTGATAGTGCGAGGGACTCTGATAGTGAGGTGACCTTTGCATTTAGGAGGTGCCACAGAGGTCTTGTTTTCGCAGTCGTCTTGTGTGGAGCTGGTGGTAAATAGGCAGGGAAACGCAGGTTCCTTGCAACGCAAAGGTTTTTAATCCAGATGAGCAGATCTTTACAGAGATGGGTGGTACCTTTTAAATCCTCCTCAGGCTTTGGTGCTATCCAGCTCTATTCATCTCTATAGATTGGATTGGATTGGATTGTAACACGCTCTCGTTGGATCAAACGGGGATCGCAAATCCGATAGCGAAAGATCATCATAATCGCCAGCAGCGGCAGCAGCAGGAGCAGTGGTAGCAGCAACAGCGACAGTTTTGGAAGAAAGAGAGGAAGGGAGAAAAGAAGAGAGAAGGTTTTCGATATCTTTCTCCCTTTCTGCGGGTGATCTTCCGGCCGATAGGAAGTTTTCACGTGAAGATGGAGCTGCCTGTTCACGTCACCACCATTTTGTGAATGCTGGCTGGGCTGGGCGCTGGCATTCCGCGGGCTAGATTCGGAACATATCTAATGCGTAGGTGGTCGGATAGAGATGGGAGCATTGATCGCAGGAGTACGGAAGAGCCGGCGGTTGTACGGCTGTTTTCAGCTGAACGAATCCTCCTCCTCCTCACTGTTTTGAGTGGTACTAACGCTTGTTCTTGGGTATTTTGCTTTGGTTTTGGCAGCGGAGAACGAGGATGCGAGTGAAACATACGAGGATTTCATGGAGGAGGCCGAGAGCGGCGGGATTGGAGAGGTGGACACCGATTTGGATCCACTGGCGGGCGACAAGGAGCTCAAGAAGGTCCTGATGAAGAGGTATGGAGGTTACATCAAGGGCCTGACGCAGGAATATCTCAAGAAGAAGAAAAAGGGGAAGCTCCCCAAGGAATCGAGGCAGCAGCTGCTGGACTGGTGGTCACAGCACCAGGATCATCCGTATCCCAATGTGAGTACCTTTGTGTTCTTTCTTGTTGGCATTCCGTGTCTCTTTCTCGTTATGGCTAGTGGGCGTGCCATGGCTTTGTTCCTTCTTTGTGTCCTTTTCATTGCTTTTTTCTTTGACATTTGCTTCGCTGTGCTGGACAGGAGAACCAAAAGTCGAATCTCGCGCAATCCACCGGCCTGGACCCAAAGCAGATCAACAACTGGTTTATAAACCAGCGAAAGCGGCACTGGAATCCACAGGCAGTGCGTGGGGAATCGTCACAGCAGCGAGACGCCAAATCCAGCAGCTAATAATGTAAAAACTCTCATGACCAAGAAAGAAAACCAAAACAAAGAACGAGCGAGAACTTAGTGTGTAGAATCGAATCTAAAAGACACGATATTTCTCCACGCAAAGATCTCCGGAGTAAAGCTATGATCGCTTCAAAGTTTATATCAAAGATACGATAGCATTAGGTGGGGCTTTATGGCGAGCCTCACTTCGACTGGCCTTCCCGGCAGCATTCCTCCGCGAGGTAAGCCACAGATTTCTCTCCAAAGCTCGCTACACAACATTAAAGCGAGTAAGTCCTCCTCATTCATTGCCAATGGATTGGTTTTCTCTTCTCTTCTGCCTAGCTCCGATCTCCTTCGGCGTTGTGTTCTTCACGTCCGAGGAGTGTGCCAATTCGTGTAAGTGCCAGGAAAAAGAAACTCGCTATTCTCTCTTTCCTTTTCTCAAGGCTGAGATCCACTTGTGTCTAGGCCAGGAAGCGGAAGGCGCTGTGTACAAAATAGCCAAGAGAAATTCAGAGGTGACATTTTTGAGGCTCAAGGTGGAAGAGGTATCAAAACAATGGAAGACAAGATTTCATGCACATTAACCTCGATCTCTTTGTTTGACAGGAGGGAATCCAGGAGATTGTGCGGCAAAGAGACACATCACGCCTGGAAATGTTTCCTCTCTTCTCTCATTTTTGAGCTTCTGTGTAGCCAACCTTTTACTTCTACAAGGGAGGAGATGTGGTGGGAAAGCTGATCGGATCGTCTCCGTCCAAGCTGGAGGACTTGGTGGTGAGCTTCATCCATCACAAGACACGTGGACAAGTTTTAGGCAGATGCTGTTTCATAGTTAATAAGAGTTGTTTACACTTGTACTCAACTAAGAAGCACCAAATGGAGGAAATATATTCTACATTGAGTATATCAAAAAAACATTGTTTGTTATATATATGACGCGAAACTTAATACAATCATGGTTGAGATGAGGAGTATGTATATTTTATTAATTGCTTGCCTGTTATGGCTAGTAGCCGATGCCACCACAAATTCTACTGCTGGTAAGGTCGTGTTTACTACACTCTCTCATGTTTTGTGGTAAATTTGTAGCTCTTCACGGGACGTGTGGTCCAACTTTGCACCCCTGTTTACCTTTCAGAAGCACATGTTGCTCATTTTGTACTTGTTTTTTTGTGCTTGGTGAATTGGTTATTGTGATTTATATTTTAATTTCTTTTTATATAAGGAAAATATTTCTCATCAGAGCCCCTGACCCAGCTCTCCCGTTTTCTCTGCTTTCGTTTTTTATTTCTAAAACTTTGTCTGTGTACAATCGCAGGGCTTCGAAAAGCTATCTGATCACAGGGACTGCTCACTGTGCAGTTTAACATGCAAGCCTGATCTCTGGACTCTCCAGACATTGCTCGGCATTTAGGTGCATTTTCACATACCAGCAGGTGCTGCGGGGTCCATTGCAGCCGGATTTCAACAAGTTGTTCAACCTGAACTGTCCTATGCTGACCGCATCTCGTAACGAGGGTGGTTTGTCAGGTCGTTTTGATTTATAAAATTTTCTCCTTCAATTCCCGGACAAGAATTTCACAACTAAACCATTGAAAGCTTTAGGATTGTCAACTTGAGGAGCATGCGCTGCTCCAGGGATGATCTCCAGTTTGGAATCACTCAGATGCCTGCTGGCAAATCCCACATATCAAAACCAGCACAATCTGAAAGCTCATCTTACCTCTGCAAACGGTGAGCAAGGTCCACAGTAAAGATTTGATCATTCTCCCCCCACAGAATGAGCACGTCCTGATAACAAAAATTGGGTGAATGTTTTTCTTCTCTTTCGCTTCCAACCTGAACGAGTTGAGGAACCACTGGTGGGTTTTCGACCGATCCAATCGCCATGCCATCCAGCAGCTCAAGCCGGTGCTCCCGATTGTAGCAGAGAACCTGTCCACACAAAATCTCATGAGAACTTCCCCGACCGAGCCAGTGTTTGTTACCTCTTCTATGATATCTTCGACCAGGCAGTCTGGAACAAGAGCCAGCTTCTTCTGAGTTGCAAACTCCATAGTCTTGCGAGCAACTTGAACGCTTCTCGGCATCAAGACATCCGCCGGATGAGCGACGCCACCTCCAAATCTCTCCAACATTCGCTGCGAGTCAGAGTGATCCATCGCAACCCCGGAGCTCGCCAGCACCACTCTAGCGATCCTCTCTGGGTACAGATGCGCCATCCAGAACGCCACCATTCCTCCGTAGCTCGTCCCGAGAGCGTGAACCCTGTCCAGAACTTGGAGCTCGTCCAGCATCAGCTTCATACACTGGGCTTGGAAAATCTCGCTTCTTTCGCCCGACTCGGTCGTAGATTCCCCAAAGAAGAGTAAGTTCGGGACGTAGACGTTGAACTTCTCCGTGAAAGCCAGCAGCTGGTTTTCCCACTCGAGGAGTGCGTTGAAAACAAAGCCATGGAGCAAGAGTAGTGCAGGCCTCCCCTCTTTTGCTGCTGAAGGAACCCAGCAATCCAAGGTAGTGTTGCTAGCTTCTATCTTCACTTGCTTTTGCTGCAGCCCACACCTCCTCATGAGTTTTCTTCCCTGCTGGAGCCTGAATTTGATGAGATTGATTCCCAAACAACCCATCTCTTGCTCGAGTCTTCGAACAGTCCCAAATCTCAAATATATACCCTTTCCTGCCGGCCTCAGAGTCTTCGCATGTCTCTGTCTAAGTGAACAATGCAAAGAAAAAGTAATTCCAACACAACTATCTATAGTACTTACAAACCGCGTGAAAATATAGCTGCTGTATTATTTCACACCTTAGTCACAGTTGTGAATTTTAATCACTATCGTCGTTCATAAATCTTCGACCAGCCTGTATCACCAAGAGATGGATTAGTTTGTGCTAGAAAGACAATCAATTTACCTCCGCCATTGACCTCTTCCGGTTCATTTGCTGCGTTCGCATCTTATCTGCCACGGACATGTGTTGCTTCTGGTAAAGAACATCACCATCATAGAAGAAAAACAAGATAAACGAACTTACTTTCTGTTTAGCGCCTTGCGTACGCTCTTTTGCACCCCGAGGAACAAAATCAAAGATCTCGTGCAGAAGGCCGTTCTCCTGTTGAGAAGCATTTCAGAAAAAAAAGGACAAACAAAGAAGCGTGGTTTTACGTACCTGCATATGCTTTTGGAAACCCTCCGCAAGGAATCGTCGAAAAGCATTTAGCTATAAAGAAACAATAAACCACCAAAAAAAAAAGAACTGAAATACCATTACCTGAACAGTTTGGGTCCACGTATTGACCTTGAGAGCATCACCATGTTTGAACTTTATAGATGTCTCGGGGCACACGCCTTCTTCAATCGTTGCCAGCATTTCCCTGAAGGTGCTCCTTTGTTCGGACCTTTCTTTCTTTGTCTGACCCTGCTGCCTGCTAGAATCGATCGCAAGCGCTTTCATTTGCTCCACAACTTGCATTTCAGTCATTCCCATGCTGTCGAGATCATTCCCGATCTCGCAGAGAAGAGCAACAGCCTCTCCGGTAGCCTTGCGGACTCCCAAATCTTGAACGTCCAATAACGAAGAAAGAACCGAGCCGTTCCTGTAAAATAATCGACTCGTAAAAACCAAATAGAAATAAACACGAACGAGGATAGCTGAAGCGCGATCTTGTCCGAACTCAACGTTGTAAGAAGCAACGTCCAAGCGGAAATAGCCGCCGCCTTTACTTGCGGCGTTGGTTTATTTGTGCCAAGTGTCTGTAGAAGCCAAAGTTAGTCCACCAGTACGTGTGCTTTTAACGTGTGCTACCTGATCTGCGTGAACGGTTCCTTTGTGAGAAAGGATCTGCCAGAAAGTTTCCATTGCGGTTTCCGTCGACGCGACGTCCACGCCTCCAATAAATGCCAAAATCGCAAGCGCTTCAATGGTCTGGACAAGATCAAGTTGCTCAGGACACAATCATCAATGCAAAGGACATCAGTACCGAAACTCTTGCTGCTGGCGTGGAGCCGAGTTTCGAAAGCCTTGCGAGGTGGGGAAGTGACTCCTTAAGGACGTGCTCCGACACCTCCCCGGCCCCAGCGGTTATGGAAAGCATCCCTACGAAGACGATGAAACAAATCAGACACTCATGTGTCACAATAAAATAGAAGTACCTAGAGCACGACTCGCAAGAACAATCTCAGCAGATGATCCACGCCTCACGGAGGACAGGAACTGATGTGCGAGCGTCGCGTACCTAGAATTGTTTTTGTACGACGTTAGAGAAGGAAGTATCACAAGAAAAAGACCCGCGCACGTACTTATTTTCAACATAGTCCGTCATGACTCTTGTACTAAATGAGTTGAGCAGCCCCTTCAAGCCTGCCTCTCGGGTGCTTGATCTAAAAGTGCATACTTAGTCCAAGTGAGAAGAGGAGCAAAAAAGAAAAACAATGAGTACCTCTTCTCGTATAAAGAATCGACATAATCATCTAAAACACTCTCCTCGTCCACCTCCTTCTCCGCCTCCTGAGCCATCGTCGGCTCCGAAGACCCCGATGCTCCCATCGACGAGGTGCTACTAAACGTATCGTCATCCGAGTCGTCCACGAACTTTACACCACCCTTGCGATTCCTGCCTGCAAAATCGAGAGAAAAAAGAAAACCAGCGTAAGAGAAAACACGCACCCAACACGAAAAAACCACTCACTCTTCCCCATCTCGTCGTCTTGATCGCCAGAAATGCCTAAGAACCTATAACGTAGAAGAAAGACAGAAAAAATCCTCTCTAAGCGCACAAACGAGCATGAAAAACGCGACTCAATCTGTGCTGTCTACGCCGTTGTCTCCTGTCCCCAGAGGAATTGGTGGGCGGCGCCGAGGCCGGGGGGGAGTGGAAGGCGGCGGTGCCAGTAGCACCACAGATGGAGGTGGGCACACACCTTTGGGACCTCCTCACAGCTCGCGATGTCTTCCTCAGCCCTCGATTTCCACACACTACCTCTATCTCCTCCATCGCCCTCTTCCTCTCGCTCTCTCTGCTCGCGCCCTAAAATGAAAACACTTTTTGGATTGCCCTAAAGGTATTGATATAGTGATGACACGTGGACGGCCGGAGATCCGGTCGAGATTCGCATATGTGGATCCTGAAAGTTCTTTTCTTATATCCTGCAAACAAAAGAGATGAAAGAACTTTTAAGACCATGAGTAGCCTGGTCGAAGATTGCTGTGGGAATTGCGATGGCAGCCACGGCATTTGAGATCCTATCTTCTCTTGTCTTGCTTCCCTTGCGAGAGCAGATTTGGCAATCAAGAAAGAAGGAAGAAACTTGAGCGTAAAACCAGCGTGAAAGCTTTTACTTGCCTGATCTCGCGTGTATCCAGCTTTGAGAGGTACTCGATGACTGCTTGCTTGAAACACAACGTCTCGTCGAGGTAGTGCTGTTGTCTATGTTCATCCACGATGCTGATTCATTCGAAAACTAGTCAGTCGGAGAAACGAGGCCGCACAGGCCCAATCTTGAGCAACTAGACTGCAAGTTATAGAGTTACCATAACCAAGGAGCGTATATTAGATTCGCACTCTCTCAGAATTATCTTTTCTTCTTTGGTTTTATATCCTGAAAACAAAAGAGATGAAAGATTAGAAGCCATAGGAATGGAACTCATAAGATCATGACTAGCCTGATCGAAGATTGCTGTGGGAATTGCGATGGTAGCCACAGCATTTGGAAAGTCGACGATGCTCGAGATCCTGCTCTCGCAAGGGCAGGATGACAGAAGAAGGTAGATCTGGCAGTCGAGAAAGAAGGAAGAAAGTTGAGCTTAAAACCAGTGTGGAAGCTTTTACTTGCCTGCTCTCTTGTGTATCCAAACTTCGAGAGGTACTCGATGGCATTGAGGACTGCTCGCTTGAAAGACAAGGTCGTGTCGAGGTAGTGCTGCCGTCCGTGTTCATCCACGCTGATTCCTTCGAAAACCAGCCAGTCGGAGAAACGAGGCTCAACAGGCCCGATCTCGAAGAATGGTTGCGCGTGTAGATTCGTCGGGCTCATGTAGTCTTTCATTCCACCACGCAAAATCTCGCATCTTTTGTAAACAAGCAAAGAACTTCAAGCTCATCTCTGAGATCAAGCGCGGAATGGTACCTTAACGTGAGAAATCCGTTCATCTCGATGCCTCCACAGAAAGCAATCTCGCCGTCACCCTGGGAGAAGTGCATGTCTCCCATGCTGAGATTAGCACCCTCCACGAACACGGGGAAGTAGACTTTGCATCCCCTGGAGAGGTTTTTAATGTCGAGGTTTCCACCGTTTTCTCGGCCGGGGACTGTTCTTGCGGCTTCGGAGGCAATTCTTTCCCAATCCGGGCTGCCTTCTTCGATCTGTGACGAAGTTTTCATCGACAGAAGATCAAAGAAATAGAGGAGAAAAGTGTGGTACCGTGCCAAGTAGAACATTTCGTTTTGTTGGAAGTGCTGCTACTAGTGGTGAAGAAGAAGTATCGACCAGAGCTTTCTCTCGAGCGTTCCAAGCCTCCAAAAGTTCTTTAGATGGAGCTGTGCCAATTAGTCCAGGATGTACCATTCCTGGGAAACGAACGCCTGCAAAAGAAAAAGAAGAATGAGAGAATAGAAGAATTCATCGTTCTTGCCTGGGATGTGTCTCGACGATGCAAAGATCCCTTCGAAATCCCAGATCGCCTTGGTCGCATTTGGAAAGCGATCGCTTAGAAATCCAAACCCAGGTAAGATCGCAGTGAAGCCCCATTCCTGCCCAGAAATCGGCCCTAGATCGCATATCTCCACCATCAAGATGTCGCCGGGCATCGCTAGAGCGCCCGATTCATCCACAACACGCACAGGACCGCTCAGACAGTGCCCCTAGCATCCATCCAATCCAAGAAAGAATGCGAAATATGAGCTAGTCTTACCCCTGATAGATCCAGAGCCTCTATATCCGCCACAGAATCGTCGTTGCGGATCGCTCCACCCGCGCAATCCATCATCTCCACAGTGAAGATCTCATTCTCCTGGACCTCGGCAATGTGAGGGATGTCCGGATGCCAGCGATTGTGGAGCGGGGGCTGCTGCTCGTGCGCCTTCCTGGAGAAATCGACATCGCAAACACGGCGTGGAGTTCTCGGCGCCATAGCGATAGCTTTCAATTCAAAACAAGAGAAAAAAGATACAGGATATTCTATAGAACCCTAGAGAAATATTCTCTTCTCGGGGGAATTAGGGTTCTTCGCTCAGAAGCAGCAATCGCAATCGAATGGGCAGAGCGCGGTGCCACCGGCGTCCTTCTTGTTGCACCCCAGCTCCTCTTCGGTGTACACACTGAATCCCTCCTGCGTTTTCTTCCTCTTTTCTTCCTGATTCTTCGCGGCATTCTTCTTCTTCTTCTTCTTTACCCTTTTCCTGGCCTTGGGCTGCTGTTCTTGCTCAACTGCTGGCTTCTTCCTCTTCTTGGCGCTCGATCTCTCTGCGAAAATGGCGTCGATCTCGTTCTCCGCCTTCGCGGTGGAAGCCGCTCTCTTCTCCTCCATAGGAGCCCTAATCTAAACCCCTAACCCCACGAAAATATCTATCCTTTCTAGGGCTCCGCCAATGCTGGCCGCTACGAGTGGCGAGGAGCCCGGGCTCCTCGCGACCAAGAGCTGGATGCTACATTCTGGAGTGCTTGATAGGAGCTGGAGGATTTCTCCTCCTCCTCGAAGGCTCTCCTGTCGCTGCTATTTCAATCCCAACGCTACCAGGAATGTGGCATTCCAATCGCGAGGTATGGTATTTCTTCTTTCGCTCTTTTTCTTCGGTAGTGTGCATTCCTGGTTTCCATCGGATTTTCTTTTGTTTCCATCAGATTTTCTTTCTTTGTGAACAAAGGATGTTCGGTTTTTATCTTGTTTTTCTTGGTAGTCCATGCCAAAGAGGAGACTTTTGTGATTTTCTTTGCTTGTGATGCTGATGTAGAGCTTCCTTTGGCAGATTCACAACAAAGCCGATATGGTATTCTAGAAGGAGCCGGGTACAGCAAAGACGACGCGGTCCAGCGAACAATGCGAAAGTTTTACGAGGGAAGGAATGGACCGCCTCTTCGCATTCTTCCGATTGGAGGCCTCGGAGAGATTGGAATGAACTGCATGCTCGTCGGGCACTATGATCGCTATATCATGATCGATGCTGGACTTATGTTTCCCGAGTAAGCAGTCTCGACACCTTTTGTTACTCCTGTTTCTGCTTGTTGAATGCGTTTGGTGCTTTACTTACAGGCATGCTGTCTTCCTGCAAGCAGTTATGAGGATTTCGGGGTGGTGAAAGTTCTTCCCGACACGACGTTCATTTCTCGCTGGAAGCACAAGATTGAAGCTGTGATTATTACGCACGGGCACGAGGATCACATCGGTGCATTGCCTTGGGTAATATAACCATTTGCTTTGCTGTTTCTCTTTCTTTTTTCTTTTCTTTTGGTTGCTGACTTGTTGCATCTCAGGTTATTCCTGCTCTTGATCCTCAGACACGTATTTACTCTACAAGTTTCACACTCGAGGTGAGCAACTAACACGCTACTGCAAAGCTTCACTCTTGCACATTTGATGTGTAGCTTATCAAAAGGAGATTGAAAGACTACAACTTTCCATTTGAGCATCGATGCCATACATTTACGATGCGAAATCCCTTTCAAGCGGGTCCTTTCAAGGTCGAAGCTATTCGTGTCACTCACTCGATACCGGATTGTTGTGGCTTGATACTTCGTTGTCAAGATGGAACCATCTTTCATTCCGGAGACTGGAAGGTTTGCTCTGGCTGTCTTGACACGCTTCACTTAAGGATTGTTTCTATTCGCAGATCGATGAAAATCCGCTTGATGGTAAGATATTTGATCGGAATACACTTGAGGAACTAGGCAAGGAAGGAGTCACTCTGGTAATTGCTGAGTTGAAATTTTGGCAGCATTTATGAAATGTATGTCCAGATGATGAGCGACTCTACGAACGTCTTGTCGCCAGGGCGGACAATAAGCGAGACAGATGTTCGAAAGTCGTTGATGCAGTATGTCACGGAGGCAAAGTCTCGGGTTATATCAACACAATTTGCTTCCAACATTCATCGACTTGGGAGTATGAAAGCTGCTGCAGATGCTTCTGGACGTAAACTAGTGAGTTATGATTAGCTGTTGTTTTTTGTTTCTAGAACTTAACATTACACAGGTTTTCATTGGAACTGCCTTAAAAACGTATATTGATGCAGCATGGAAGGATGGACAGGCACCATTTGATCCTTCGATTCTGGTAAGGGTGCATCTGTGTAAAATCTAATTTGGTTGTGTGGCTGTTTACCAGGTAAAAGCTGAAGATATGGGCGCGTATTCACCAAAAGATCTTCTTATAGTCACGACAGGATCTCAGGTTCGCTTAATATGTTATAGATTCTAAGTTTGAAGGACTGTTTGCAGGGCGAGACACGGTCGGCTCTAAATCTTGCATCATTTGGAAGCAGCCGCAGTTTAAAGTTGTCCAAAGATGACGTTATCCTGTATTCGGCAAAGGTATGTTCGTGAGCTTAAACTTCTGTAATTGTTACATGAACGTTTTGCAGATGATACCTGGCAATGAAACGAGAGTGATGAAGATGCTGAACAGGATATCTGAAGCTGGTCCGCATATCATCACTGGAAAAGACAAGCTTCTACATACTTCCGGACATGCCTATCGCGATGAATTGGTACGCACTAATCACTTTAAAGTGGATTTTTAAATGTCGGATTGTGCATGACAGCAAGAACTGCTAAGACTCATTCGGCCGCAGCATTTTCTGCCGGTCCATGGCGAGTATACTTTCTTAAAAGAGCACGAGCAGCTTGGCAGGGCTTCCGGTATTCAGCACACGAAAGTATGTTATAACCTTACTTTTAAGCTCTCTGCTAAGATTTAAGCTGGCAGGTTATAAGAAATGGTGAGATGCTCGGAGTCTCGCCTTTACGGAACAGACGGGTCCTCTCTAGTGGGTTTGCTGCCCTTGGAAAGGAGGATTTACAGGTAAGAGGGATTCTCACCTCGATTCATTCTCACGTCTAAAATTTTGTGAAACAGCTGATGTATAATGATGGGGAAAAAGCATTTGGAACTGCATCAGATCTTCGCGTGGACGAAAGAAAACACATAGCCTTCGATGGAATTATAATAGTAAGGTACGAAGTTTGTTTTCCTTGAGCTGTCGAACCTTGTTGACTCGTCTGTTTTAGTATTGAGGTAATACGTGATGCCCTTCTTGAAGACGATGATAATTATGCATCTCGGCTAGATGGTTCGGAATATGGACTACGCGCCCGTATCAGGATCACCACTCGGTGTCTTTGGCTGGATCAGGGAAAGCTTACGGAAGCACTTCACCGGGCAGCTAATGCAGCCGTTGGAAGTTGCAAGCAAGATGCTGATCTTCAGACTGTGGAGCGAACAGTTGCCACAGTGCTCCGGAAGGTAGCGCAAAAGTACAACAACAAAAGGCCAGAGGTCGTCGCGATAGCTACAGAGAGAGCCGTTGCTCCAAAAGACAAGCTCATCCAGAAGAGGCTGGTCGTGGATGCTGCGGCTCAACTTAAGGTGCTGGTGAGGACAAATGCTGTAAATACCAGAGTCTACGAGAAAGAGAAGAGGCAGCAGCAGCACGCGGAAAAGGACAACGAGCGACGGCTGTCGGTGCTCACACCAGAATTTAACAAGTTCATGGGTATAGAATCTGTTTTTAACTTGCTTAGTTTTCTGATGCTGTCCGGATTCTGCAGAGAAAATTGATAAAACTGAAGACGCCGAACCCGTCATCAAAGTTCCGAAGGTGGAGGAAACAGAAACAGAAGAAGAACGAGTGAGAAAGGCAATCGCTGAGAAGGTGTTGAGAGAAATGAAAAACGCGAGGACCCAAAAGGCGGCTAGGATAGAAGAAGAGAAGAAGCTACAGCGTGACGATGCTGATGAAACACCAGCACCAGCACCAGCCACCAAAGTGGAAGAAAGAAAAGAAGAGAAGAACGAAGTATTTTCCATAGCCGAGAAGGAAGCAGACTTGGCAGCCACAGGGAAAAGCAGATGGAAACCGGAGGCCACCCAGGTGTTGATCCGGCTACGAACAGGCATGGACGACAAATTCAGAGAAGCTAAACTCAAGACCCCTCTCTGGAAGGAGATAGCATCCAAGCTTGCTGAGCATGGCTACGAGCACACCCACGGCCAATGCAAGGCAATGTGGTCGACTCTGGTGAAACGCTACAGGGTACGTTTCTATTGTCCCATTTTCTTGAGAGTATGCTAAGCTTGTGAGAATTGCAGAACATAATCGATGATGATGGAAGCTCCAACAAAAACTGGCCATTCTTCGATGGAATGCACGCGTATCTGAGCGATGATCCAGACTCGTAAATTACACAGCATAAGCTTACATGATGAGATGAATGGATGTGTCGCTCAAATATTTACATATTTATCTATATACAAGTAGTAAAGGCTCGCAGCCATCCGATCGCAAGCCCGCATCATGGTCATGAATGTTAAATGGGAGATTGGTGGTACAGGAACTATTGATATCAAAATCATACTGTTTTCATTGCAAGTCATGGTCGAGCTTACTGAAAAAGCAAACCGAGAAGATTATGATTGCTGGAAATGATTGGAGGAGGGGCAGGGTGTGGAGCAAATGGCCGAGAGCGTCACCACTGCCTTGGCCTCGAGATCACCCATCGTGCTTGAGATGATCCGCTAAGATCGAGGTGAGTCAATCTAGACAATCTATCTTTCGAGTTTGTCTTCGCAATAAAAAAGATGGGACGGCACAGCAAGACTTTAGTAGCTTTCAAGCTCCGCCTGTATGGCCCGCTTCTCCTCTTCGTCAGTTTCAGAGTAATCGTACTCGTCCCAGCCCCTCTCTTCTTCCAGCTTCTTGTTGCACTCCTCGGCCTTCTTGAGAAACTCCTCGTAGTCCTCCTCGGACTCTCCCTCGGACATTTTCTCCTGCAGGTCCGAGAAGAGGTCCCCGACGGTGTGCGCGTTTCCATCCACCAGCGTCAGGAAGCCGTGGATGATGTTCACCTCTCGCTGTGCCAGCCGTGCCCTGTGAAAGATCCGTTTGAGGTGCTGTTGCAGACGGTGGCGCGTCGTGAACTCGGGCTTTGACACCAACGACGCAGCAACGTTGCAGTTCTTCACCACTGATCTCCATCGCCTCAGTAGCAAATCCACCTCACGAAGAGGAGCAGTCCCTGTTTGATGTTTACACCAGGAAAAAGAATCGCAACTAAGAAACTTCGATGGGAAATAAGTACCTGGCGGTGGAAGAAACTCATTGTACTCGGGGCCCGGCTCCTTGTGTACACGACGAAGCCTCTCGTATGAACTAAACATTTTTGAGAGAGCAAGCGCCACAGCGTGACTCACATCTGCGAAAAGAAAGAACAAACTTTTCTCTAGTTACAAAACGAAGTTTCTGTGTGATTCTTACTTAGCGACCCCTCCCATTTGGTAGTTGGGATGCGGCAAGTGTGAGTGCAATATAAGAGCTCCTCGTTTGTCAAGCCGTCGTCCTCCCGTCCAAAGACTAGCTGCAGGGAAGAGCCATGTCAAAACACTGTGTGAAAGTTCTAGTGTATACCGCAATGGCTTGACCCTTTGCTGGAATGCAGAGCTTAGGATACGGCACTTCGTTTACAACTCTGTCACGTCCGTCACGCCGGGTGAAGCCGATGGCCTACACGAAACCAAGTTCGTTCCTGGTGGGTCATTAGAAATGGAGAAGAAGAAAACAACACACTGCAGCACTCGACTCACCATAAGGCATTCGCCAACAGCCTCTGGGATAGTCTTGACAACGTTGACATCTTCCAGCAGGGACTTCGCGACAGGATTGACAGCCATTTGACGAGCTTCGTCCGAGAAGTAATCACACTCTGGACTCACCTGGCCAAAGGAAACGAAAACCATGAAGAAAAATCTCAAGTCTAGCAGCAGTGAACTCACGTACCAGCCATACATGTCTACATTCTGTTAGAGACCAAAGTGAGAAAAGAACAGAAAAAAAGAAATCTTTTGCAAGCTCTCACCGAAATTCGAAGCAATGCGGCACACCGATCCCACATTCCCAGCTGACTGTGATCCAACGAGCACAACCCTCACTCGATCGAGAGCTCCGAGCCCAGTGAGCCAATGCACGTCCTCCGTCTTGACTTGATCCTCCAATTCCTCCTGGGGATACGCCAAATGCCGCCATCGCCCGTGCTCCTTCGTGTTCCTATAGAACGGCTTCCTGTTCTCGTCCTTGTACCACACCAGCCGCGGATCACGAAGGCTGTACTTCTCCTGGATTCCAATGAGACCTGGTGCGCCCTTGGCGATGGATTCGCGCTTGAGCGCCTGGTGCGCGGCCCTGGCGCCCTGCGACCGCCGCTGCTTCAATCGCACGTAGGAGACGAGGCGACGGGCGGATAGCGAGGCGGGCGAGATCGCCATCGCCAAAACCCTAAGCCCTGAACCCCCATTCTATCTTTCGAAAAATTACCATATCTCTCGCCCACTGGATGAGCCCTAAAGCCGCCGTCTAGGGTTCTTCGCGAGAAAGGAGTTGTGGGGGCGCCATGACTGCACAGACTGTGGCCGAGCACCTCGCCGAAGAGCTCAAGCAGCAGAAGCTCGCCGAGGTAAGATTTTGCTCGTAGCGCCGCGGAGGGCGAGAGATTTGGCTCTATTTCTCGCGATTCTTGCTTGCCCCAGGGCGATGAGCCGATAATCGAGGACGATGTCGCGGACGATGACGACGATGACGACGATGATGAGGACGATGCGGGAGAGGACGAGATGCACGGTGAAGGTACTTCCACTGGAAAATTTTGTGGTGTTCCTACTTTCTTTGTGTTTCTTCCAGGCGAGGATGGAACGGGGAAATCCAAGCAAAGCCGGAGCGAGAAGAAGAGCCGGAAGGCAATGCAGAAGCTCGGGATGAAGCCCGTGACTGGAGTAACGAGGGTGACGATCAAGAAGAGCAAAAACGTAAGCTTGCGTAGTAGATGAAAGAGAATAGAGTCTAACTTCGCTCCTTGTTCTTTCCAGATACTGTTCGTGATCTCCAAGCCCGACGTGTTCAAGAGCCCGGCATCCGACACTCACATCATCTTTGGCGAGGCCAAGATCGAGGACTTGAGTTCCCAGCTCCAGACCCAAGCCGCGGAGCAATTCAAGGCACCGGACATGGGCCGTGTGCCTCCAAACAAGGCCGAGGGCGCTGGAGGCGAGGCCGAGGAGGAGGAAGAGGTGGACGACACGGGCGTGGAGCCCAAGGACATCGAGCTGGTCATGACTCAGGCTGGAGTGCCTCGCAGCAAGGCTGTCAAGGCTTTGAAGGCCACAGACGGAGACATCGTGAGCGCGATCATGGATCTTACTCAGTGAGCGAGTCGCGAAAAAAAAAAATCACACCAGGAACAGGCAAGAACACCGTCGGTCAGTGTAAACTATGAGCTTGGTTCTGTGCTCTACGTAATCTCTTTTCCAGGGAGTTTCATTCAATTCCAAAGCGAGATCTTTTTATTCCAAGTCTCCAAAGTTTGTCTCCTTGATCTCTCGCGAGAAGAAAGTTTCCAGCGATTGAAAGGAAGAAATATCTGATTTTTCCTCTTCACTTGTAGTCCCCCTTGGCGCCCCTAGCACGAAAAAATGGAAGATCTGTCAGCTATGAAGCTTGGAGGCTTTTTCTTACAAGAATTCACGCCGCGGTCGTCCGGCTTTCACATCCTGCGCGTGCTGCTCAAAGGAGATCAATCAGGCTCTCGAGATTTCTCTTGGGCGACTTACAAATTCACTGACGATGAAACGATAGGCGAGAAAGGGGACGATCAGCCCCCAAATCACAGCCGTCTTGGTGGTCTGCTTGTTAAACCGGAAGTGCTCCGCCTGGTTCTCCCTCATGTAGAGCCACTCCTCGAGGTGCTTGTTGGGCTTGAACTCCATCCCGCCCACCATCGCTCTAGCTCTAGATCTAAAACAAATTTTAGGGTTCTTGAGAAAGACGAAGAGAAAAGAATTTAGGGTTCTTGAGAACGCTATCCTCCCATTTGTAACTTAAGCTCGGGATCGTTGCTAAATCCCGCGACAGCGCCAGAGGCGGATGCCCGGAACTTAAACACAATCGCGCCCGTTCCCTTCTTGCAATTCTTCGCTGGCGCTACGATCTTCTCAATCGGCCCAAACAATCCCAGAGCCTCGCGGAGCTTGGCCTCGTCGTATCCGGCGCTGCAATTCCAGCTCGCGCACACTGTTCTCTCGCAGGCCTCGCCGCTCACGCCACTGGCGACCTTGATCCGGGCGAGCTCATCGAGAGAGATCGCAGCGGCCTTGGCCACGGACGAGGACGCCCCCGATGGTTTGCTAGTGGGCTTCTTGATGACGAGATTGAGGCCCGAGACCTGGGATTTCTTCTTCTTGCGCTTGGGCGGGGGCTGGATCTGCGGGCCTTTGAGGATGCTGGAATACAACTCACAGTCATAGCGCTCGCGCTTGGTGTCGTCACAGAGTACCTGATAGGCGTCCTGGAGGGCCTGGAAATCCCTAGCCGCGGTCGCCTGATCGTCCAGGCGCTTGTCCGGGTGGCAGCGCAGCGATTGCGCCCGGTAGGCGCTGCGGATCTGTGCCGAGGATGCGTAGGCGCCGCCGTCCAAGCCTCCCTGGAGACCTAGAACCGTGTAGAGATCCTTGCGCTCTTGCTGCCCCCCTTTCTTCATCTTTCCCGAGAGCCCAGCCCTAATTGTGTGCTTTAGATTCGTCGAGTATATTCTATACTTAATCCAACGGCTGGTAGATTTTATATGAAAAAATGAACGTTTTCTTAAAGCGAATGTGGCTGCTGGGATTCGAGCCCAGGTCTCCACGGCCACAACGTGGAATTCTCACCACTAAACTACAGCCACATTAACCTTGACCAGTGGTCAAAAATAGTTGACTCTTTTTGACCATTTGGTTGACCGTAATATTCTCATTAAATTAGCCCTTCAATTCAATTTACTTTAAACCTTTAAAAACATTTTTTATTAAATCTTCCCAGATTTATTACACAAATTTATATTTCTACCTATCTGATGAAGGAGAAACTGGCTTCGTCCGAGCATGGCGGTGGCTCCTGGAAGGACTGGGCGGAGAGGCGGCTGTACGTGAGCCCAATCTCAAGGTAGACAAACCCAGTCTCTGGATCATCGACATGGAGCCCTTTCACGGCCAGCCACACGAGCAATTCCCTCGCCTGGACGCCCGAGAGATCCTCGATCCTGCTGGACCTCACCTTTCCCTTGATCTCCTCGCCATACCACAGCAGCTCCTCCTCGAGCTTCGCATAGCACGACCGGCTCAGCCGCATCTCGAACGATCCATCCTCCTCGTCCAGCGAGAAATCGGTCACCAGCGGCAGAGGGAACATCCCCTGGGGGAGATTGTAGCTGTCGAGCATCTTCGAGACGCGGCGGGGGGCATCGCGATCGCCCTTTGATCGATCCGACCCGTGCTTACCATGACGAGCATCCTCATGATCGTCCTGGCGGTAGCCACTGGCGGCAGCCAATCCAAAGAAGGCCGAGAACAGGAGGGCGATGGCAACCTTCCTAGACATTCTTGGATACAAATCGAGAAGAGAGAACGATTAAGAGAGACAGTGAGACGTTCACTTCTCGTCCCATCTTATATAGTTGCTCTGGGAGCGCCAGGTTGCATGCATGCCTCTCCTCTAACAGAAGACTGGGATATACCCTGGGAGACTCTGCTAGATTCGCGAAGAGTTTTAACTAACGTCTTTTGGTTTGTCTCAAAATTCTATAGGAAATACAGAAACAAATAGGTGAGGCTTGATGCTTACAGCCAAACACCATTTGGAATTGGAAAAAAAAAAAATATGTAATAGAAAAGCGCGATCCCTTCACGGGCAAGAGCTGGAGCTGTAGCGATGCTCGGGTACCCGCGATTTGCCCCGCATTATCAGGATCACCATGCTGCTTCGGCGCACTCGTATAATTCCGCCACCTCTTAAATATTGAAGAGAAATGCGTGAGCTTGGGAATGTAGTCCCCATCCCTGGTTGGGAATCCACGACTTGGATATTCTTAACAAAAGTATGAACCAAACAAAAACGCGACGTGTTTTTTCTATTTTGCCTTGTTCTTCACCGTTTTGTTCCATCCCCCCATTTCATGGTTGATGCAGTGCCAAAGGTTGTAGCTGCCAAGCCCCCAATGGTCTCCTCGTCATTCTGATATCGCCAGACCATAGCCATCTTTTCCTCCCTATTATTTCTCATTAAGCAAAGTCAATCGCGCTACTCAATCTGCAACCAAGAATGGTGCTGCTCATGATCATCGCGTTTTTGCTGGCCACGCACTGGTCGAGTAGAAATATTGTTAAGCTCCACTGGCCATTCCACAGGTTTGACGGGCTTCAATGCCTTTTAAAATGGTACTCGCACCATTTGATCGTCCTCGTTTACGGTCTTCTCATCGTTCACTCCATTGTTTTGTTCCTCGCTCGGGACTGGAGAGAAAATACGGTAAACACCTTTCTTCTTCTTCGTGTTTCGTTGTTCTCGCAGGCCTGGATGTATATAACTACCGCTCTACAAGCCTGTACTCAAAAGGTTAGCACTGTAAAGGTAAACAAAGTTGGATCTTTTCAAGTTTTGCTTGATCGATCCTTTTTTAACGATATTTCATTTACCCAGGAAATGTTCTTGCTTTATACATGACTATACATAAACCTCCGGGCTTTAGATTTCAGAGTGGAATATATCTCTTCTTGCAATGCCCAGCTGTTTCACCCTTAGAATGGTAAGATAGAAACAAAAGGCTTTTTTTTTCTGAAAGATTTTTTTGTGTTACAGCCATCCATTCTCCAGAACTTCCGCACCGGGAGATGAGTATGTAAGTGTACACATACGCAGCCTCGGGGATTGGACGCAAGAGCTAATGAAAATGTTCTCTCAAGTAAGTTTCTCGTGAAGAAAACTAACAAGTTTTTCATGGCTTATGTGCAGGTCGTATCAAGTTTGTTTTCTTAGCTTTTCGTATGATCTCTAAATTTTTTCCCTGTAGATATCCTGTGTTCATGGACCACATGGAGCACCATCACAGTCTCCTTTGAATGGTTTAAAGGAGCCATGACCGAAGTCTCTCAGCTTGATCACAAGGTCAGGAAAACTTTTGTGATTTCTATCTTCCTCTTTTTTTTACAAATCTTTGTTGTGCTTCTTTACAGGCCTTGATCGAGATGCATAACTATCTAACAAGTGTTTACGAAGAAGGAGACGCTCGCTCCATGCTTATCGGTGTGGTCCAAGCGTTGCATCACCCACTAAGTGGTGTTGATATTGTCTCTCACACTTCCATTGTGATTCATTTTCTTTCTCATTTGTTCTCTCGATTTCTTCCCCAGGTTTGAACACATTTTGCTCGTCCAAACTGGAGAAAAGTGTTTGCGAGGCTTGCATGCATGCCTCTCCTGTAACAGGCTTTTTCTGAAAGATTTTTTTGTGTTACAGCCATCCATTCTCCAGAACTTCCGCACCGGGAGATGAGTATTATGGCTTTGGGTGTTTGGCTCACTACCTCTGGAGCTCCAGTCATGAGAACAGGTGTTTACGGTCTTCTCATCGTTCACTCCATTGTTTTGTTCCTCGCTCGGTCATGGCTCGGAGGTTTGTTTGGTTGGATGTAATCCAGGTACGTCGGCTGCGCAGACTTGAAGTTCATGTGTACTATCTGCATGAACTTGATGTAATCCACAGTGGAAATCCGGTAAAATTGCAGGTTAAGTGATTGCTGCTGCAACCAGCTGATCTAAGGAAGGAAAAAACAGAAGAACATGTAAGAAGCTCTGACTGTGAAGATTCGTCAATAAAAAAAGGACGACAATGGCGATGGCGATGAAGCAATGAAAAGTATAAGAAATGCATAAACAATAAAGCACGTCAAAGCACACCCAAGCCAAGTAACAGAGACGGCCGGAACAATACTTTAGCTTTTCACTGTCAGGATCACAAGAACAATCAATCAGTCAAGGAAGAACATTACGATCAACTTATTGAAACGAGAGAAAAATAAAGCAAAGGAAAGAAACACCAGGGACCCGCAAGCAAGAGAATCAACCCAGAAGATGAAAACAAAAAGCCAAACTTGCCAGTAGCGGAGTAAGAAGAACTTGTAAGCAAAAAAACCAAACCACTGGAGAAGATGGAACTTGCAGCGAAGGGTAAGAAGAAGGACAAAAGAGAGAAATATCGCGGTGACGAAGAACCAAACACCAGACAAAAAACATACCTGCAACAGTAGCTGCTCCAAATCCCCGATCCATGTCAGAATGGGTGATCATCATCACAACTTCACAGAGTATTCTAGTTAGCACAATGCCCAGGTAACTTGGAAACACAAACTTTTGACAGTCATGAATTCTGGCTCTCCACCAGTGGCAACAGGGGGGATGCTTATCGACTGTGGGACAGTTTCTTTCTTCTTCTTCCTTGTCTGTAGCTTAAAGGACGCTTGAACGAAACAACAAAGTTCTGCATCAGTAAGTAAACAATTGGTGTCAACGAGCACGTACCAGTGCTTCCAGAAAGACAAGGTGCAATTATGTGTAACACAATCCTGTCCAAAAGAAAAAGTGTATAGAAAGAGCATATCACGTTCACAACAAGGGCAGCAATAGAGTTCTCATAATCTGTTAAGCGTTTTGACATCTCTCTCAGATCTGGAAATGCAGCAAAAAGATTCACATTTTAAAACATAAGATCTGGAGCTCTTACCAGAGAGAATGGTGAAATCAAATATGTACAAAGGGGCTCTCACAAGTCACAAGCTGAGTGTCGATTCCTCCATAGGCATGTTGTACTAGCGGCTTGGACTTCATGGCTCTCCCGGAAGAATTTTGTTGATGGAAGTACGCAAGAATTTCGTTGAATACATTGATTTAAAAGAAAAGGAAGATCAGAAACGCTGGCAAAAGGTAAAACAAAAAGCACCTTGATAATGCCGGTACCAAGCAATCTCGGATCTTGGTAGCGGTAATCTCGGATCTTAAGCAGGCACCAGCCTCCATGGGACATGGTTCCGAGCTCATAGTGAAAATCAAGAACAAAAACTGGAAGGAAGAACTAACCTGTGCCAAGCTTGCTCGTAACTGAAGTAAGAACTCTTCACAAGCTCTACCTCCGCACCTTGTGTCTCCTCGTCAACTGTCTTGCTTTTACCGCCATGTTCTAGGTTTTGTTTTTCATGATAGTGAAATTCATCAAAGGATTTGGAATTGCTACAGTTCCAACGCCACTTTCAGGAGCACTTGCTAGCATGGACTTGGCTTCGAGTGGCTATGTCCGCATGTATCCTCTGGAGCATTCTGTATCTCTTGTGGTAAAAAAATTCAAAGGAAGGTACATATATATAAAAGCTAGAAGAAGGAAGTGGTCTTTTTGGATATGGATATATATGAAATTGAAACATGTGGCTGATGTAATCACTTGAACAGACCATGCTGCGGCCTAATATGACACACACATACACGTCATGCATGACCATGGTCACAAATCACTTGTTTATTATGGACTAATTGAAAGAGAAGTGCATTAATGTAATGCATCAAGAAATTAGTTAATTTCCTCTACTTTATGAGTTGTCGCAGTTTAAATTTCTTAAAACTACAGTCAACAAGGTTTGACTACAAGATCCAAACACCAAAAGAGTTTGTGCGAAGCTCACCATAATGGACACAGAAACAATGTTGGGCAAACATTGTGTTCTTCATAATGAGAACTTTTTCCTTCTTGAGTAGTGATGGAGAGGAATCTTTTGGGCGGTTCCTACATAATACAAATGAAATGCAAGTTTTTGGCACAAACACCAACATTTTTATCTTGATATTGTATAAGGAACTTATATAGTTACTGTGCAGCACTCTGGCACAATACACACAGCATACATAACCAACCACAAACATACACACACATTTCTTCATTTATGTTATTCATCCCCAATGGCTTCCAGATGGTGTGGTGTTGGTGTGCAATTTTCAACTTCAATTTTCTGTATCTCCTTGTAGAACTTGTCCACAACCCAGACTTCCCCTCTGTTGCAGCCAAAAGCTTGTCCTTTGACTATCAAATGATATAGAAAATTGGGGTCATTTGGTTCCCTATAGACTTTTGTATAAAAAGGTGGAACTTCACAGCAACCTAGCTAGGGGGAGCCACAACAACAAGGATTTGGGGCATGCATGCCCCAAAGAGCTGTTTTCATTTGGCTAGTTTCAATCAATGTCATGGCATCCTTATAATAAACGTATGGAGGATATGATGGGAAGCTTTTGTAAAGAACAAGTTTGGTTGGCTCAGTGATGGTTTTTGTCTTGACCACAATCATAACCCTTTGAGGCCAAGAGCTTATTGGAGTGGAGAACATCGCCAACACCCATGCTCAACACAATAGTAATAGCCTTGCTTGCTCCCACAATTAATGGTGCACCACTCCCACACATTTTGGCAGATCAAAAGAAGAATATGCAAAACAAGGAAAGAATTGACGCAGTGTGGGGAGGAGAGCATGCACATTAAAATTTATAGCCCTGGTGAAACTAAGCTTTGTCACAAAGTAAGGATTTGGCATTGCTACAACTCCCAACACCACATTCATGCAAAAGGACAAAGCCAAGATAGGTTAGCAAGTGGTCCTACTCTTGTCTTGTGGTATGTAAATAACTGAGAAAATTCAAAGGATGATACAACATATGACATGTATATCAAAAGTGAGCCTGGTGGTAGATATCACGTCTAATACAAGAAGATCTCAATTTGTTTAAAATATATAAATCTTCTCAAACAAACTAAATTGCATTGCATGCATGTCTTGAACACTTCATATATATATGGGCTGCTCTAAAAGGATTGTTGATTCGTGCAGTTCGTACACCTCTTTCAAAGAGTGAATCTTACAAGATCAGAACCCTAAATTCTCTGCCACGTGGCACACATTTGGGCAGACCAAAAGCAAAACCAGAAAAGAACGAAGAGAACTGAGGCAGTGTGGGGAGGAGAACATGCACCTTGCAATTTATAGCCTTGGTGAAACTATGTAATTCATCATCACAAAGTAAGGATTTGGCATTGCTACAGTTCCAACACCACTATCTTGGCTTCCGGTGGCCATCTCTGCTGGCATACTCGGTATGTAAATAACTGAGAAAATTTAAAGAATTATCGGTACAACATGTGGTGAGCTATATGACATCTATATCAAAAGTGAGCGTGGTGGTAGACTCCTTGTGCAAGTGGAAACGTCAAGGCTGCGGAACACAAATGTGGGTGCCAAACAATACAAGAAAGAAGATTTGAATTTGTTAAAATATATAAATCTTCTTAGACGAACTAAATTGCATATTGCATACACGTCCTGAAGTGTATGCATATTGCATACACTTCACATATATATGAAGTGATATAAGGATTGTTAATATCCATTAGACAATACTAAAGCTAGAATTTATTCTGATAAGGTTTTGTGGGTTTACGTAATTACAGTGCTTAGAAAGACCAAGGATCCATCGTGCGTGGGATCCAGCTCCAGAATACTTTTAGCAACACGTACACCTCTTTCAAAGTCAGAGTGAATCTTACAAGATCCAAGCAGTGCTCCCCGCACCACGATGCTTGGAGGGAAAGGCGAAAAATTAATCAACACCTCCGCATCTTCTAGCCTTCCAACACGTCCCAGAAGATCAATCACGCAGGAAAAGTGTTCCGCAACAGGTGCTAGCTCGTAGTCGGAGAGCATCGCCGTGAAGTAGTGGCAGCTGGAACTTACAAGTCCTGCATGGCTGCAAGCAGCAAGAACGCTCACGAAAGCCACCGCATTTGGGGTCACTGCTTCGAGCAGCATTTGGTGGAAGAGATGGATGGATTCTCGAGTGCGGCCGTTCTGGAGGAGAGCTCCCAGGAGTGTGTTCCAGGTAACCAGAGCAAGCTGCGGCATTCTCTCAATCATTTCGATGGCTCTACTCAGCTGCCCGTTCTGGACGTAAGCTCCGACCATGGAGTTCCACGTTACCTCGTTCCGGCTGGAGATCCCATCGAAAGTTCTCTTGGCATCGTCGCAGTAGCCGTTCAGCGAGTACCCCGCGAGCAACATGTTCCACGATGCGATATCAACTTGGAGCATTCTTTCAATGAGCTGCCTCGCTTCCATTAAGAGACCACTCAGCGTGTAGAGCTCCACGAGCGCAGCACAGGAGCTCGAGCTCACAAGAGGCATATTTTGAAACAAAACTGCGGCTTCCTCGAGCACCAAATTTCTACAGCACTCCAAAACCACGATGCTCCACGAAGACGCGGTTCGATGTCTCATTTCCTTGAAGAAATACAATGCCTTGAGCAGCTCACCATTCTGGGAATATCCCACCAGCATTGTATCCAAAGTCACCTCATCTCGCAGGGGCATTGTCTCAAGGAGCCTCTCGGCCTTGTCCGTACACCCGGCGAGCGTGTACGTCGCGAGCATTGTGTTCGCGGCCACGACGTCCATCATTGGGATCTTGCAAAGGAAAATATCCTCCGCCTGTGCAAAGTCTCCATGGCAGGAATATGCCTGGATCATGGCTGTCCAGGAGAAAACGCTCCGTGAGGGGCTCGTCTCAAACATGAGCTTGGCGTCCTCCACATGCCCGGCCATGGCATATGCCAAAAGCATCACGTTCCAAGGGACGAGAGTCCAACAAGGCATCTTGTAGAAAAGAAGTTTTGCCTCTTCAAGATGCCCAAGATCCGCATATACGTGCACCATTTCGGTCCATGTCACAACGTTTCTCTCCAGCATCGAGTCGAAAACTTTGAGAGCCTCTTCAATCTGGAAACATGCCGCGTAGCAGCTGATCATGACCGTACACGTTACCACATTGATCTCCGGCATGGAATCAAAAGCCTCCAATGCCATGTCAAAATTCCCGCTTTGGGTATATGCAGCTAGCATCGAAGTCGACGTGATTACATTCCACATTGGCATCCGACCATAAATCTGCTGGGCCACCTCCACTTTCCCTAATTCCGCCAGTGGCTGGATCATCGACGTCCAAGAAGCAACGCTTCTCTCACCCATAGCGTTGAAAGCTTTCCACGCGGAATCCAAATGCCCAGCCTTGGCATATGCTGCAAGCATGACATTCCTCGACACAAGATTAGGGCAGGGCAGAGAATCGAACAGCAAGCTCGCCTCGTTTAAACGACCATTAGCGGCAAAAGTTGCCATGATAGCCGTCCATGAAACCACGTCTTTTTGCGGCATTCTATCGAAGAGATTCTTGGCGCTGGACAGATCCCCATTTAGGGCAAATGCCTGGAGCATCATGTTCCACGAGTAGAGGTTTCGATCTCTGGCGCGCTGGAACACGGCGAATGAATCGGCCGCGCTGCCGCATTTGCCATACATCTCGACGAGGAGATTGGATAGGTAAGAACCGTGTCGGCGATCGATCCCGCGCCCATGGATCGCGCAATTCAGGCGTTGAGCTTGGCGGAGATCTCTGGCATTCCCGCAGGATCGGATGAGGCGAGCGAGGTGCTCTATCGCCGCCGCTGCCAGATCTTCTCTTCATCCCAAGGAGAAGTGGAAATATTTTGGGGGAGAAATCGTCAAGCCCTAGAACAGAGGGTTTGATTGAGGATGCTGGAGAAGATTGGACTTCCGCCCAGGCCGTCTGCGCGTGGCCGGACCTGGGTGGTGGATGCGTCGCACTGCCAGAACTGCGCCTCGCCTTTCTCGATCTTCAATCGCAAGGTATGGATCTAGAGATTGACGACGATTTCTCATCGCATTGTGGCTTCTAGCATCAGTCGCGAGTTTTTCTTTCTTAGTGTAGCATTGCGAGCTCTGAGCTAGAATTCCAGCGATCAAGATCTTTTGCTCCTGTTGTTTGCATGCCTTGCATTTATTTTCGTGGCGACTGTTTTCCTTTGGTTCTTGGTGGCATTTGCGATGATCTTCTCATCTCTTTTTTCACAGCACCATTGTCGGAGATGTGGAGGCCTTTTCTGTGGCAACTGTGTCCAATCCAGAATGTATCTCCGCGGCCAAGGAGACGCTCCAGTACGCATTTGTGAGCCTTGCAAGAAGCTAGAAGAAGCCGCTCGCTTCGAAGCTCGCCAGGGACGCAAAAAGAAAGGTGGGCAAACATCGTGTTCTTCCTGACGAGAACTAAACTTTTTGCTTCTAAGCAGTAGAGGAAACCAGTGATGAAGAGGACTTACTAAAGGCTCTTCTCGTAAACAAAGAATCGGAACCTGCTACCTCGGAACCAGTCTCGCCGGAAGCTTTGCGACAGCAGGCGCAGGAGGCGAGAGCTACATATTCTGCCTTGAAAAAGGAAGGGAAGGCCGAAGATGCAACCAAGGCCTTCAGGCGTGCCAAAGAACTCGAACGGCAGGCTGATGCGTTAGCATTGTTTCTTCGTAGAAACGTTAAAAAGGCTTCAAAGGCTAGCAGTGCCACTGAAGAGAATACTTTGCAAACAACGAAGTCCGAGAACTTTGGAAAGACTGTTGGTATGTCTTCCGAAAGGCCATCGAGAAGAAGCACAGGTGACGAAGATCTTATGAAGGAGCTTAGAGATCTTGGCTGGTCGGAGGACCTGGATAGGAAAAAGGCCTCTGACGCAGACATACTGAGCGAAGGCGAGCCTACTTCAAGCACCGCAGCTGGAACACTACAGATGGAAATTCTTGGTCTCAAAAGAAAAGCATTAGCTCTCAAACGGGAAGGAAAGATGGCAGAAGCGAAGGAGGAGCTCAAGAAGGCCAAAGTTCTGGAGAGACGGCTGGAAGAGATCCAAACTCTAGGTGAAGATGTATTAGATGAAGAGGAGGAGGACGACGGGGATGAAGTTAGCGCGGTTTTGAAAGCCTTGGAGAAAGAAGTGGATACGAAGCACAAAGGCTCTGGGAAGGAAGTTCCACTTTCTGCTGCTAGTCTTCCAGTCTTCACCGAGGAAGACGAGGCACAAGTTCACGTAAGCGATACGGACATGTCCGATCCAGATATGATCGCGGCGTTAAGGGCCATGGGCTGGGCTGAGGAAGCCGGAGTCCTGGAAAGTTTCAGCGCTCCGAGGACTGACCGCATCAATAAACAGGAGCTCCAGGCTGAAATTCTACGTCACAAACGCGAGGCCTTGGCTCTCAAGCGTGCTGGAAAGATGGCGGAGGCTCGAGACGAGCTGAAGCAAGCAAAGACCTTGGACCAGATGCTGGAGGCGTCACAAGTTCCAAAGCCCGAGGCTATGACGGAGGATGATGAGCACGTCGAGGTCAGCTATCAAGATATGCAAGATCCAGAGATGCTAGCAGCGCTGCAAGCGTTGGGATTCAGCGAGCCGGATATGAAGAAGGAAAAGCGCGCTCTGGAGGAAGAAGTGAGTGCTGTTAAGTGGTCAGCAGCTGCAATGCAGTCGCGAGAACAGGCAAAACACCAGACGGATCAGGCCGCCTTGAAACCGATGAAAATCCCAGCGACAACATCCTACATTATCGACGACGTTGACGATACTGGCGAGGCACTCACCATCCAAAGCTTAAAGTCCGATCCAGAACTTGCTGCTGCTTTGAAAGGGATGAACCTGGATGGCGAGGTTGGAGAACTTCCACCGTCGCACGCAGAAGCTGTAGACACACCTCAAAGACGGCCGAAACCGAGAGCTATACCTACCATGCAAGAACTACCGCAAAGAAGCAAGCGTGAGATTCAGAAGGAACTCCTTGGTAGAAAGAGGAAGGCGTTGGCTCTGAGGCGTGAAGGGAAAGAGGACGAGGCTGAGAAGGAACTCAAGGACGCCAGCGTTCTAGAGGCACAACTCAAGGCTCTGGAAGATGCGGAGAGACCTCCAGTTGATGTTCATGAGAACGAAGAAGTTGACGAGGATAACACCGAGCAGGCCGAGGTAACCGACGAGGACATGAATGATCCTGCTATGCTGGCCGCTCTGAGCGAGATGGGATTCAAAGGGGAGGTATCTACAAAAGCTAACGATAAGAAAGAAGAAGCAACACGGAGAGAGAGTTCTTTCGAAGGCGAATACGGAGAAATTGGCCTTCTGGTAGACATTGTTCCTCCGTTATTCTCGAGAGCTACACACACACCACCAGCCGCTCCCGTGAACCAACACCAAGACCTCCTCACTGGCGATATATTCGTACCATCGGTTCCCGAGAAGAAGACTATAGAGCCCCCGGCAGTTCTAGCAGCAGCGCAGCCTCCAGTGCCAAGCACGAACTTGAACTTGAACGTGCCTTCATCGAGCATCGAGCAGGAGATTCTGGAGCACAAAAGACGAGCTTTACAGTTCAAGAGATCTGGAAACGTAGCTGCTGCCAAGGAGGAGCTCCGACAAGCCAAACTTTTGGAGAACCACAGGCAAGCAGTGGCTGTGGAGGAGGTTCCAGTTCCACGTCCAAGTGGAGCAGCACCACCGAAAGATAGCAGCCGGATCTCTCCTCCAGCCACAGGTCAGGCACCTCGCTCGAAGGACAGGATGAAGATACAGCAAGAATCTCTTGCTCACAAAAGAAGAGCCTTGGCACTGAGGAAAGAAGGCAAGATGGACGAGGCCGAGGCCGAGTTTGAGAAAGCAAAGGCTCTGGAGAAGCAGATGGAAGAGATGGACCCTCCATCTCGAGTTCCGGGTTTGCAAGCGAGCGCTATGGACGGAGTGGAAGATCTTTTGGATCCACAGCTTCTGGCAGCTCTCTCAGGTCTTGGCTGGCAGGATGAGGAGATGAAGCTGCCGTCCTCTCGATCTCCTCAGCAGCAACAGCAGCAACAGAAGCAAAGCAGCTCCTCGCCATCGCAAGAGCTGCAAGATCGAGTGCGAAAGCTAAAAGTCCGTGCTGTGGAGCTCAAGCGAGCTGGAAGGCAGCAGGAAGCGCTGGAAGTTCTTAGAGAGGCAAAAGCTCTCGAGAACAAAAACAAAAGCTAGCAAAACTCTAGTATGGGCTGGCATATTCATTTTGGCATCAAGCCAAAAGATTCTCTGAATATACTAAAACGGCAACAGCTTTCTCTATGACTCGGCTTCTATATAAAACATTGACAATTCACCCAAGGTGTGGTTGAGATGAGGAGCATGTATTTCTTACTAATTGCTAGCCTTCTGTGGCTAGTGGTTGATTGCGGTAGATTAGGTTATATTGCTGGTAAGCTACACCCATTCAACTCCTTATTTCCAGGTGTACACCGGCAATGTGGCCCAGCCTATTTCCAGGTGTACACCGGCAATCGCCGCCTTGTTCACTTGTGCTTCCTGATTAATATTCCAAGAGTACTCTTTTTTCTTTTCTTTCTTTCTCCTCGTAATTACGTACGAGAAACAGTCATCTTCATCTTGTGCATTTTTGCTGTTTATTTTGAGAGAGCTATAACGCGAGCACTCCTCTTTGCGATTCTGTGAGGTTTCCGGCCAGCTGAGAGCTGCTTGCTCGGTTCTTGCGGCAGATTGCAGATCAGTAGTGCGATTGTATAACAAGAAAGAAAGAAAGACAACATGCCCCTTTCTCTAAGGCTTAATTAGACTCTTGTTTCGACTGCCGTTTTCGTTTTGAGGATGATTTTCACAGCCATGGCGTATGGTCTTCCTTCCTGGTACAGCATGACATTGATATGGAATGGCCAGGATTGAGCTAGACTTCACATGAACATGAATGGAGATGAGTGAAGCAGTAGAGGACACGATCATGAATACGGTCAGAAAAACTGACGGAGTTATTGAAGTTTGTTTGGTTCCTACAAAGAAGACTTTTGCGCATTTCTCTTCAATATTTTAGAGGTGCAAAATTGTTTTTGTTGAGAGCACAAGGTGGGAGTCAGGGGTGATGATGTGAGCTGTAGCGGTGCTCGGCCACCCGCCTGAAATTTGCCCCACATTATCAGTCCAACTCTTACTGGTGAAAGGATCAGACCAATCTTAGATTATCCTAGCAGTGTTGAGGTAAAAACATATTTGATCCGAGATGATCCAAGCAAAGGTGGCACCGATCAATGCTGACAACTACAAGTCGTGTAAATACATCCTAATTGCTGATTGAGATCTTTCGCCTAGGTTTGGCATACATTCGGCCAATTCATCATGCCAGGAGAAAGACGCACAAAGATAGCCAAGACAAATCCAGAGGTGAGGAGGTATCGAAAGATTTCTTATATTTGTTTGAAGAGGGAACCCATTGATTGTGTAGCCAACACAAGGGAGGAGCTGGTGAACCGTAATCTAATTCTTTTTGGGTGAAATTCTCTTAATGTAACCACTCAAATCTCTTTGCAACTCTCTGAGGTTTTCTGCCAGCAGAGAGCTGCTTGCTCGGTGCTTGCTGCAGATTGCAGATCAGTAGCCTGATTGACTTTACAAGAAAGAATTAGACAGGAACAAAACAACATTTCCCTTTCTTTGTTTCATGACTGTAGCTTCTTTGCTTACCTGGGCTTTCCTTGTTCAAAGCAGAGCAGGCTAGCATCTCTTGTAAAGAGAGGAAAATTTTGAAACAAGAGATTCTAGCCTGCTCTGCTTTGAACAAGGAAAGCCCAGGTAAACAAAGAAGCTACAGTTGTTGAGGTATACGCTCTCTATGACATGATCCTAGGTGGCAGGAGTGCCATTTCATTGATCCAGGTGTAGGCTAGAGGTGTGTCTCTTCATCATGTATATATAGCTATGATATATATGACTATACTGGGAGTCATCCACCATCATGTAGCTTCCGCTCTTCTTCTCTTCATGGTATCGGAGCCCTGAGGGCTTCAGATCCTAGGACGATGGCGCTGGCCAAGGAGGAGGCCAGCGAGGATGACGATGAGCCACCAGACGTGGCTGAGAGGTGCCAAGATTTGGCACTGTGCTGCATTGAGCGCCAAGGTAACGGCACTAGCAAGCTGAGCAAGGCGCTAGGGTGTGATCGAGCAGAGACTGGCCCGGAGGCACTGGCAGAGGTGCTGAGAGAGGGCTGGCTTGAGGCACCGAGTGGTACTGGAGTGCTGAGTGAGGCGCTGGAGAGCAGCCGAAGGCGCTAGCAGAGGCGCTGAGAGGAGGCACCGAGCAGAGACTGCACTAGGGCGCTGAGCAAGGTGCTGAGAGGCGGAGAGACTGCACTAGGGCGCTGAGCAAGGCGCTGAGGCGCTGGCACAGGCGCTGAGAGAGGGCTGGCGTGAGGCACCGAGCACAGGCACGAGCAGATAGGCACTGGCAGAGGCGCTGAGAGAGGAGAGACTGCGATCAGAGGCCGTGAACGAGGCGCTAGGGCGTGCGAGGCCTCGTAGAGACTCACCAGAGGTGAGTGCCGGGCCTAGAGGCACGAGGCACCGAGGGCTGGCCAAGCAGAGACTCCACTGGAGCGCTGAGTGAGGCGCTGCTGTGAGAAGGCATTGGCAGAGGCGCTGAGAGGAGGCACTGAGCAGAGACAGATTTCTGTCGTGGATATGACAGAGTGCTTGGATGCAGAGGGAGAGTGATCTCAGATTCATGTCATCGAGATCGAGAGGGAGTGTTGAGGTATACGCTCTCTATGACATGATCCTAGGTAGCAGGAGTGCCACTTCATTGATCCAGGTGTAGGCTAGAGGTGTGTCTCTTCATCATGTATATATAGCTATGATATATACGACTATACTGAGAGTCATCCACCATCGTAGCTTCTGCTCTTCTTCTCTTCATGTGTTATGAAATGGGGACTCCCAGCCTTGTGAGTGCAGCAGCGCTCCATGCTGGGTCCACCTTTATTGCGGAAGACAGATCAAGAACAGAATGTGTTGGGCGTGATCACCTACAGAACCTAAACGGATGTGTCCCTTCTGCTGACGTGGCATCCCAGCTTGAGATTGCGGCTTAAGTCCTCAACACTCCCACTCGAGCTAAGTTGGGGTCAGCCTCGAGCAACTGCACACCAAGAGCTTGGACATGCTTGGAGAATGCAGCTAGGGGCAGAGCTTTTGTGAAAACATCTGCCACCTGATCTCCCGTCGCACAATACACTAGCTGTATGTGCTTGGTACGTCCGTGATACTTCGGGTTCTTCTTGGACTTGCTCCCACTGGTTCCATTAGTTCACTGGGCCCAACCTGTCCCACACTGTTGCAGATCGCTTGCCCTTTGAAGATTGACCAGCAAATAGTGCTTGATCTTGAGATCCAACTCCCTCATTGGTCTCCATCAAGTTCTCTGCTGACTTCAACTGAAGGACCATTTGTCAAATTTCTTTGACGAGTGAGTAGTCGCTGTTGTCAGAAGATACTTCGCCACGCCTTTGATGACAACCGACTTGAGCTTCGGTTCACTCACTGGTGTCTTCGTGATGCGTGCGATCTGGCTTGCTACCTTCCTCAACCTTCCAACAAAGGCTTGAATGGACTCACCTTCATGCTGTCTTACAGAACCGAGTTCTGTCTCTAAGTCCAGCAATGTGGTCTCATTCTCCTTTCCGAGGGTTGCTTTCAGGTTTTCCCAGTTCTCGTGCGCAGTCTTCGTGATGTCGAGATGGCAACTGAACACCTTGCCCAGGCCTCTGCCTAGAATGCCCAAGGCCTTGATGTTCTTTCCATCCCACTCTTTGCAGTCAGCCTTGTCCGTTGTGGGAGGGCGCGTCCAGGAACCGTCGACCACTGGCCACAGCTCCTTCTGCATAAAGTAGTACTCGAGTTGCTCCTGCCATCTGCTGAAATCCTTGCCATCAAAGATCTCTATGGCGTCGCACACACTCCCCATCTTCAGGATCGTTCTTCACACGGGCTCCGATACCATGTTATGAAATGGGGACACCCAGCCTTGTGAGCGCAGCAGCGCTCCATGCTGGGTCCACCTTTATTGCGGAAGACGGATCAAGAATAGAATGTGTCGGGCGTGATCACCTACAAAACCTAAACGGATGTGCCCTTCTGCTGACGTGGCATCCCAGCTTGAGATTGCGGCTTAAGTCCTCAACAACAGTCATGAAACAAAGAAAGAGAAGTGTTGTTTTGTTCCTCTCGGGGCTCAGCATGAATTCTTTCAATATGGAATGGTGAGGATCAAGCTAGACACATGGGAGGATGAGTGAAGTAGTAGAGGACCACCAAGGGGCAGTTGTTAAGTATGCTTGTTTGTTTGTCTACTTCATACACTGCCCAAGCTCATGCTTTTAAGGGCAGCAAGATCGTACTTTCTATGAGTGTGCCTGCTTCAAGGTGGGAGTCGGCATGGTGATATTCTCGTAGCCGGTGGCTGATAATGTGGGGCAAATCACGCCAGGCAGGTGATTGGGCAGCACTACAACTCCAGCTCTTGCTTGTGAAGGAATCACTCATAGTTTTTTTTTGCCAATTATCATAACTTGGAGATTGAGTAGTTTTTCAACCTAAAAATCCTTTAGCTGGCAGACTGCTTTGCATTTGTATGGCATCTTCTGTGCTCGACTTGGTCACTGCACACTTACCACCTTTGCTACTTGATTGCAAGTGTTTGTGTTTGAGTGTTGGTATCTTCAATATAGAGACATGCCACTTGAGGCACTAGTTTGCACTCTTATTGCAAGGGGTGAAAGGATGGAAAAATGTACTTGGACAATATTTGTGAAAGTTATAAAGGTATGGAAGATATATTGCACTTTAGAGTTAAAGCTCTTTAGGAAGGAAACCACCTACACTAGACCAAAAAGCAACAATGCAATCATAGTGATAAGACCAAAAGGCAACAATGCAATTGTAGTGATAATGGAGATAAAGATGGAGTAAGTTTTAAATTAAACTTGCATTCCACCAGTCCCAAAGAGCAAATCGATGTGCAAGGAGACATTCTACTAGATATCGTAGAGTTCATCACAGAAACATGGCAGAATGTAAGCTACATTTTTCTCATGCTATGTGCTAAATCGATTTAATTATACAGATCCCTGAGTCAGCTATTTACTTCATTGAGGATGGAAAGAAGGTTCCTGCGTGCTGAAGTTTCTGTTTGATTCTTTGCATGAGGTTAATGCTCCAAGTGTCTCAATAAGTTCAACATCTAGGACATGTGACACTTTTTGTTTTAGCGACAAATATTTTTTAAATATGGCCTCTAATATATAGCGAGAACAGCACATGGCCAACCAAAAAAGTGGAGGCCAATGTTTCTTTTGGAAGTTATTCAAGTGTTGTTTTTAGTAAAATGGCTGAATTTCGCTATACACCCCTTCCAAAGGTCATTTTGTTCATCCTTTCAAAACTTTAGGGTTAAGATGTAATTTCACAACTGCCCAGTGCAGTAATTGTCTTAACCAATCCCATCATGCATTGACAATGCAATCATTTTGTGAATTTACAGTTTCCAGTAACATTTGTAGTCTGTAACATTAATAACCAATAAGAATAATGAAGTATAAAGAAAAACTTACCAGAAGACTGGTACAAAGTACTCCACTGTAGACTCCTGTTGCTTATATTCTCTATTATGCTTGAGCTTCCCAAAAACAATACATTTTATGGGATAGCTGCAGTTAGGATCATTGTCAATTGCAACACTAATAACATTGAGAGTGATATCTGCAGATATCTTCTTGTTGATATCATGGGCTTGGTGAAGAGATATCCTCAAAGTTGGTAAAACATAAAGAGCTCCAAAGTTAATACACCCTTCCTTCACTTTCTTTTGCACCCATTTCTTTGGCTCTGTCTTGACTATGGGCAATAACTTTGCCACTAAAAAAGGGCTAATTTATTAAAATTTAAATAATAAATAAATTAAAATTACTTTGTTTAATATATCAACTACCATTATGTCAATTTTTTATGACTTTTTGTTGAGTAAAGCACATAATTTTTTAAGATATCATTAGTGTCTTCATCCATTTTTTTCATTTCTTCCAAAGTCTTAATTATCCCAGATCCATTACCTAAAAAAAAAATTTATAAATTAAAATTTTAAAATAAAAAGGTATTACAAAAAAAAATAATAGTAGTAAATGGAGATTGCCTTGGTTGAACTAATTTTTCTGTTTCATCATGATATTTGTGATATGCCTCATATTTACCCATTTTCAATTTTACCACTTTTTTCTTTCTAATTGCATTTTATCCTAATATATTGAATGCATTATTACTTGGTGGGAATCTAAAACATAAATTGTTAAAACTATAACTTCATTAACAATTTCAAATTAATTTGATGTAAACCATATGTTAAATATGTAAAACATAATATGTAAAACATATTTTTCTGTGAATATATAAAACATATTATATAGTTTCCATGATTCCAAAAAAATCCAAGAATAATTGTGTTTCTTTTAAAAAAAATTAATCTGAAAAATAAGAATAATTAATACTATCAATAACAATGATGTAATATAAATAAACATGTATGGAAGAAGGCAATAGGAGTAACTTCTACTCAAGGCAACTCTTGCTATAAAGCATGTAATGGAGCACTACTACTTAAAAACTACGAAAACAAAAAAATATTTAGAAGAAAACTTTTGTAGTATGAGCAAGTTTTAATAAAGTGGAATCATGTGATGAGCTTGCCTTATAAAACATTAATAAGTATTAATGAACACTATTATATTAAAAAACTGATAACATTACTTATCTAAAGGGTTTTTGTGGTAAGAGCAAGCTCCACATATGCAATGGAATAAAAGTCATTAACTTTTAGTTGAAATAAAATTACTTTGTCCAATATAACCAACTACCAGTATGTCAATTTTCTATCACTATTTGTTGAGTAAAACACATAACTTTTTGAGATATCACTAGCGTTTCCATCAATTTTTTTAAAATTTTTTCCAAAGTTTTAACTATCCCAAAGCTATTACCTAAAAAATAAATTTTGTAAACTAAAAATTTAAAATAAAAAGGTATTATTAAAAAACTAATAATAGTAAATGGAGATTGCCTTGGTTGAACTAATTTTTCTGTTCCATCTTGATATTTGTGATATGCCTCATATTTACTCATTTTCAATTTTACCACTTTTTTCTTTTTAATTGCATTTTATCTCGACATATTGAATGCATTATCACTTGGTGGGAATTTAAAACATAAATTGTTAAAACTATAACTTTATTAACAATTTCAAATTAATTTGATGCAAACTATATGTAAAATATGTAAAACATATGTTTTTGTGAATATGTAAAACATATTACATAGTTTCTGTGATCCCAAAAGAATCCAAGAATAATTGTATTGCTTTTAAAAGAATTTGATTTGAAGAAAAAAGAATAATTAATACTATCAATAACAACAATATAATATAAATAAACCTATATGAAAAAAGGCATCTTAACTTGGCCTTGGTAATAGAAGTAACCTTCATCCAAAGTAACTCTTATTATAAAGCATATGATGGAATACTACTACTAAAAATCTACAAAAACAAAATAGTACTTGGAAAATCTTTGTAACAAAAGTAAACTTTGGTAAAGTGGAATCATGCGAGGGATTTACACTATAAAGCATCAACAATCACTAATGAATACTATTATATTAGAAATTTGATAACATTATTCATATAAAGGGTTTTTGTGATAAAAATAAACTTCAAAAGTGCAATACAATCAAAGTCATCAACCTTTGATGAGTAAAACACTAAAAGAAGAAAGGGGAAAAAAACTCATTTAAAGTGTTCAAGGGTCACAAAAAAGTCTGGAATGCCGCATAATGTGTTTTCATGATGTAACTCTTCCATTCCATCTTTCAGTTCTAGCTCTTCGAGTACAAGTTTGGTCCTGTGTGCCACCTCTTCGGTTATGTTTCAGTCACATGCCATAACCTCCAGAAGTTTCAAATTGATAGGTAGCAATCCCTTGAAATGGACTATGCCATCTGAAAAGAAAATCAATGGAAATTACAAATTGGAAATAGCTTACCAGAGATCAAGCGTTGGAAAGCACCACATCTTACAATGACGGCCAGAAGAGTGTTTGTACACGTAAGAAGATTAGGATGCCGCCCAAGGAGGGCAGCCAGAAAGAGCAGCCATCGTGTCCTTTCATTACTCGAGTAATCCTGAAACTTTTTGTAGTGGCTGTAGGAAAACTGTCGGGAAATTTGACAATGTAATCAATCTCTCACCTGGATAGAACCATCAAAATTTCTTGGTCTTCTCCACTGAAAATACGCTCCAGAGTTGGTATCCAATTTCTTAAGAACTGTGGAAGCGTACTAGAATCACTATTCACGAGTTTAAAGTATGGGCAAAAGAATCAACAAAACTAACGAAGCTCACCTTAGATTAATCACCCATAGAACCTGTGACGGCGTAAATGCGTGAACTCCTTTCCTCTCCAGCTTCTTCACGGTGTAGAGCATGCATGCCATCCAAATACGCTCAGCTTCATTTGCCTGAAATAGACGATAAAATTCTTTTGGAAAACCACCTGTTAAACAAGGAATTCATTTACGGTGCCACCCAACAAAGTGATACAATTGCGTGAAGCAGCACCAATGCTCTCTCCATGTAAATCTCGCTTGCCTGATCAAATAAATTTCGAGCCCTTCCAACACAAGAAAGCATCCAAACCTCGCAACACGGCCGGAAGCAGCGATCATTGCCATCGCACGACAGCTGGAAGCAGCGATCATTGCCAATCGCAAGGCGGCTGGAATAGACCCTCACCATCGCGGCATGGCCAGACATTACAATCGAGCCTTGCCATCGCAGCACCAGCATCGAGCATTGCCATGGAACTGCGGCCAGAATTGAGCAGCCTCCACCATGGAATTTCTGCCAGAGGCAGTAGCAATCAATCCATCTTGCTCTTCACTTGGTATTAGCGCCAGCGCCATGGGATTCTCCAGACCATTGATGCCAGGTGGGAAATGTTTCTGGCGCTCTTCTCGCCTAGCTTCTTCTTGAAGCTAAGCTTTGCCACGGGCAACCCGCGCGGTGTGACGCGGGTGGCATGTAGATCGGGGATGGGAGCTGCTGTGTCGGCAAATGCACACATAGTCGATCGCTCCGCCGTCGAATTCCAGGGCTGGCTCAATCATGGACGGCTCGTTGGGGAGGGAGAGAGAGAGAGAGAGAGAGAGAGATTTCTTTGGCAGACGGGATTGTTTCTCGAGAACATCCAGATCGGAGGACGAGTTTGGTGTGCACGATCGTAAATTCACACGGACGGAGTCCATTCGATCAGAACGCGCTTCTTTCGCTTTTTTTTCCAGGTAACGGTATGATGTTTAGCGACTTCTGTAGGTTTTATGCTTGACGCAGTTAAGTTCCAAGCACAGCGGGCGATCATTTAGACCAACACAAAAATGGAAGGGTGGCTTTTATTGGCTCTCTTCGAAAGCAAGGTGGCTTCTTATCGTTTTTGTTTCTCTTTCTCTTTTGCATTCCATGAGCAGAAAATTTGATTTGTTTTCACGCGCTTAGTTTTTGTATATTCTTCTTTTAAGCAGGCAAGGCTAGTAGTTTCATAATTCTCCACTCCAATGCCTCAATGGTAAGGCCAGATTGACATGTCAACTCAGCTGTAGATCACGGAAAAGGAAGATGGCCCTAGACCCTGGCCTTGCAGCCACTCACGAAAGTCCAAGCATACAGTTCTTTTCTACTGTTAGCGTTAGCGATCACATGAGCTGTGAACTGGTGTTAAATACGTTTAGCACAATGTGAGAGAAGCTATGGGCTTCATCAACTAAAGGCTAACGTTCAGTGCGATCATTCGTTTTGAATTGGCTTGCCAGTGGAATCAAGATGTCAAGATTCTGGCAAGATTGGTGTACCAACAACGTATTCTTAACTACGAATCCAACATCCTGTACCGAAAAATCAGGATCAGTAACGGTTTAATCTAAGAGGACAATTTGTCCTGGCATTTTAAGAACTCAATGTGCCTCCCCGTAAGAAATGGCCAAAACTCTTTCTATTCGAGTAGCCAAGGTGTCAACTCGGGCCATTTACACAACTCTGCCTCTCCAAACCAAAGACCTGTATAAAACATAAACATTGTTTTGAGAAACTCTTGCAAGCTGGAAACAAGAAAGTCATACCAATTTCCCACTCTCCATTCGCGACACTGTCACTGCCATGGATGACATTCCTGGCATAACTGAGCATGAAAAGTTCATTCCCGAGGGAGAGCTTTAGAAACCAGAACCTTACCTTCCAACACCAACAGCAAGATCCCCACGTATCGTTCCTGGTTCAGCTTGCAGCCACGACTCCAGGACCTTCCCATGCCTGGAATCCAAAAGCCTCACCGAAGATGCCGCAAGAGAAGAGAAACCTCTACTCGTGGAACATGATTCCCCATGCAATGGGGATCTGTCCAGCGCCAAGAATCTCTTCGATAGAATGCCACAAAGATTCATGGACGGCTATCATGGCAGCTTTTGGCGTTAATGGTAGTTTAAACGATGCGAGATTGTCTCTGCCCTGCCCTAATCAAATGTCATGCTTGCAAAATATGCCCTGGCTGGGTATTTGGAGTCCTGGCTCAGCTTTCAACGCAATGGGTGAGAGAAACTTTGCATCTTGGACGTCGACGATTAAGCCGCTGTAAAAATTAGGGAAAGTGGAGCTGGCCCAGAAGATTTACGATCGGATGCCAATGTGGAATGTAATCACGTCGACTTCGATGTTAGCTGCATATACCCAAAGAGGGCAGTTTGACTTGGTATTGGTGGCCTTTGATTCGATGCCGGAGATCAATGTGGTTACATCGATCCAATAAGATGCCTCTTGTGAGCTCGAGCTCCTGTGCTGCGCTCGTGGAGCTCTACACGCTGAGTGGTCTCTTAATGGAAGCGAGGCAGCTCATTGAAAGAATGCTCCAAGTTGATATCGCGTCGTGGAACATGTTGCTCGCGGGGTACTCGCAGAACAGCTACTGCAAAAGAACTTTCGATGGGATCTCCAGCCGGAACGAAGTAACCTGGAACTCCATGGCCGGAGCTTACGTCCAGAACGGGCAGCTGAGTAGAGCCATCGAAATGCTCGAGCGAATGCCGCAGCTTGCTCTGATTTCCTGGCACATACTCCTGGGAGCTCTCGTCCAGAACGGCCGGACTCGAGAATCCATCCATCTCTTCCACCAAATGCTGCTCGAAGCAGTGATCTCATATGCCGTGGCTCTCGTGAGCGTTCTCACTACTTGCAGCCATGCAGGACTTGTAAGTTCCAGCCGCCTCTACTTCACGTCGATGCTTTCCGACTACGAGCGAGCACCTGTTGCGGAACAGTTTTCCTGCGTGATCGATCTTCTGGGACGTGTTGGAAGGCTAGAAGATGCGGAGGTGTTGATTAATGTCTTGCCTTTCGCTCCAAGCATCGTGGTGTGGGGAGCACTGCTTGGATCTTGTAAGATTCACTCTGACTTTGAAAGAGGTGTACGTGTTGCTAAAAGTATTCTGGAGCTGGTTTTCCTAGGCACTGTAATTACGTAAACCCTCAAGCACCAAGAGAATCTTTGATTCTGTCAATCTCAGCTAGAAGAGGCAGAGGGGGATTTGGGCTAGATCTGGAGCAGGTTGTCTCAGACCCGTTCCCAGAGGTGGAACAATGGATGCCCACTGCTAGAGTTCTGTCATGCATCACAACATGCGGCAACTCCACGGATTCCATGGGCCACTACATTGCTACAGTCCTGGGCCCCCTAGCGTGGTTCTTCAAGCAAGTTGAGAATGGTTGAGGGACACTTGAGAGGTAGTCTATAACCTATACTATCCGACTGCAAATCCAGACTCCTGCTGACTGCTCTGATGTAGCAAAGAGCGATATTGTTAGTTCCTGGGTGTAATCCCATGATCCATGACCATAAAAAAAAAAGGGTGTGAATTCTTGCTGGGCTGGAGCACAGTAACTTTTAGTTCTCTTCTGTTTTCTGATCCAAACTTCTTGACCATTTGCGTTGGCGGGGCTTGGATAAGCGCGAGAGCGAATATGCGATTCCACGATAAAATCCTTACCTGAAGGAAACTTGATTAGAAAACTTGGCCTTGGAACTCCTATGTTGAGATGCTGTGATGTTATTGCTTTACTTGTTTCTTTCCTTTCTTTTGCTTCTCCGGCCTGCCATTTTTCCTGGAAGCGTTGAGCGAGACGTGTTCCCGTAGCTGCTCTATCCCTGGCCTCGACGGATGAAAACAGGGCCGTGGACTCGCATGCGGCCACCGAAAGAGTGTTTCTTTCAGTTTTCCCAAGAACCAGTAGGAGAATTTATCGCACAGTAGCTCGTGACTCAGCCTTTGCAAACATGTTGAAGGCTGCCTTGATGCACGGATCTTGAACAGTTTTCAGATAAATCAAACGGGTTTTCCACCTTAAAAGAAAACGAAAATTGATTCATTTCTTCGAAAAACTTTTAGTAGATCTTGCTCACCAGCAGCGCATAATTCTTGCTTTCCCATGACGGATCGGTGGTCGTTTTGTCCACCCACTGTCCACGGAAAGTACACACAGCTAGACCTTGAATCCACAACTCCTCAACAGCCGAAAACTACAGAAGGAAAATCCGGGATCAGAAAGTTGATAGCAAAATCCATAATACCTGGCCAAAAAATGACACGAACAACTCTGCAACTGAGCTAGTGTTTCCCTTCCCAAAACCTCTTTCTGTGAATTCTGCGATCCTTCTTAGATACTGAAAGCCATCAGCTCCAAGCAGCAACTGTCAGTAAGCAGAAAAAACCAATGAATTATTGACTTGAGGCACCGCCTTGACCGATGGTAGCGCAGCTGCCACCACTTCACGTCGATGCTCTCCGACTACGAGCTAGCACCTGTTGCGGAACACTTTTCCCGCGTGATTGATCTTCTGAGACGCGTTGTAAGGCTAGAAGATGCAGAGGTGTTGATCAATTTTTCGCCTTTCGCTCCAAGCATCGTGGTGTGGGGAGCACTGCTTGGACGTTGTAAGATTCACTCTGACTTTGAAAGAGGTGTACATGTTGCTAAAAGTATTCTGGAGCTGGATCCCACGCACGATGGATCCCCCAAATTCTCTATATCGTCTGATAGTCAAAGGACGCTGTGGCGGAGGGGAAGTCTGGGTTGTGGATGAGTTCTACAAGGAGATACAGAAAATCGAAGTTGAAAATTGCACACCAACACCACACCACATCCTCCAGAAGGCACCACCACTGACAACACCTGTCCTTAGGGATGAATAACATAAAGGAAGAAATGTGTGTGTATGTGTGTGGTTGGTCATGTGTATTGTGCCAGAGTGCTGCATGGTAACTATATAAATTCCTTATACAATATCAAAATAAAAGTGTTGGTGTTTGCAGCAACTTGCATTCGTTAATATTATATACAAACTGCCTGATAAATTCCTCTGAAGAAGGAAAAAGTTCTCATCATGAAGAATGCAATCTTTGCCCATTGTTGTTTTCTGCGTCCATCATGGTGAGCTTTGCGAACTCTTTTGGTGTTTGGATCTTGTACATGCATCCAGTCAAACCTTGTTGACTGCTTTCAAGTTTTAAGAAATTTAAACTGTGACAGTAGAGGGAAATTACTGATGCATCACTAGCTATTAGGTCTTATTCCTGTACTATTGGTATTATGATGCTAAAATATGTTATCTTCTAGATCCTGGCATTGCAGCCACTCACGAAAGTCCAAGCATACAGCTCTTTTCTACTGTTAGGAAAGTAAAGTATCCTGCCTTGATGGTTAGCGATCACTGGAGCTGTGAAATGGTGTTAAATACGTTTAGCACAATGTGAGAGAAGCTATGGGCTTTATTAACTAAAGGCTAACGTTCAGTGCGATCATCGTTTTGAATTGGCAATCAAGGTGTCAACAAAGATTCGTGTACCAACAACGCGCAGACGCAAAAGAGTATCTATTCTTAACTACGAATCCAACATCCTGTACCGAGAAATCAGGATTAGTAACGGTTTAATCTACAATGTTTTATTCCGTGTGACGGAGGCATTTTAAGAACTCAATGTGCCTCCCGTAAGAAATGGCCGAGATTCTTTCTATTCGAGTAGCCAGGGCGTCAACTCGGGCTGCCATTTACACAACTCGGCCTCTCCAAACCAAAGACCTGCATAAAACATAAACATTGTCTTGAGAAACTCTTGCAAGCTGGAAAAATGAAGCCATACCAATTTCCCGCTCTCCATTCGCGACACTGTCACTGCCATGGATGACATTCCTGGCATAACCAAGCAACAAAAGTTCATTCCTGAGGGAGAGCTTTAGAAACCAGAACCTTACCTTCCAACAGCAACAGCAAGATCCCCACGGATCGTTCCTGGCTCAGCTTGCAGCGGGTTCGTCGATCCAATAAGTTTTCGTGCGGAAGCCACGACTCCAGGACCTTCCCATGCCTGGAATTCAAAGGCTTCACTGAAGATGCCACAAGAGGAGAGAAACTTACCATGCAAACAACAGGGCCAGAGGTTATGTACTTCACAAGCTTGGGAAAGAATGGCTTCTCTTGGAGCTCCTCATAATGCTTCTGCAAAAGAGAGAAAAAGAAGAAAAAATTTGAGAGCAAGAGCTTTAAGCTTTACGTCACCTTTGCAAGATCCTCGGGGCACTGGAACATTTTCAATCCCGCGAGACGAAATCCTTTCTTCTCAAAGCGAGAGATGATTTCTCCAACCTTACAAAAGAAAAAAAAATTCGTTTGTTGTCATAGCTATTAGGACGCAAAGGCTCATCGAAAGAAATGTACCAGTCCGCGTTGGACTCCATCAGGTTTCACCATCACATACGTTTGCTCTAGCCCTCCCTGCCAAGATGGAAAGAAATCCAGCGGAAATTCAACAACTACAAACAAACCTCTGCTCTGGGTTGAGCGACGACCGAAATTTTCTCCTCGCTCGACACAGCAGCTCGCGAGGATGATGCGATGCGCCATCGAATGGCGCTAGGGCGCCACGAGATCCGGTGGCAGTGGAATGCCAGCGCCGAACGATTCCTCCTCGGCGAGCCGGTATCCACTCTAGGGCTAGAATGCGCGACTATTGGAGCTAGAGAAGAAGAAGCCATGACTCTCGCGAGAATGAAGAGAGAGAGGAGAGGACGGCTTATATCCCTGGGTCGGTCTACGTGGCAGAGAGATGGATTAAAGGAAGGTATTACGTGGGACCGGATTTTCTTACTTTAGGGTTCGTCTATTTCATGGCGGGGACGATTCAAGCGCCGAGAGAGTCTAAGGTGCGTCGCCGCTCGATTCTTCCGGGCGCTTGACGTGAAATGGCGCTGGACCGTGACATCGCTGCGACCGCCGCGCAGCTGGAGCACCAGCGCGTGGATGACTTGAGGCGCTCCAATGCGGCAGCGCTGTTCGAGGGCTTGCTGATGGCTACTGCGAATCAGCTCCAGCCGACGCAGCAAGATTTCGAGGCCAGAGTAGATATTTTGCGGCGGCTGGAGTATTTGATAAGAGAAATCGATGTTTGCAAAGGTATGACCATTTTACTCTTGTCAAACATCAAGCACTACTTTCTTTTCAGGCTTGGCGATTAAACCTTTTGGATCGTTCCTGTCAAACTTGTATACGCCTTGGGGAGATTTAGATATTACTTTGATGCCGCTTGAGTCGGCACCGCTTTCCAGGAGCAAAAAGACCAAAATTCTGAAGTCTATCCATGATGCTCTACTTCAAGCTGGTAAAGTACACCGTTCTTTTTTCCTGTGCTCGTGCCACCTCCTTCGATTTGTTGTTTTTTACCTCTAGCTTTCAGGTGGAGCGATTCGTGTCCAAGTTCTGTTTCGGCCTCGCGTTCCACTCTTAATGTTTGAAGATGCATGGTGGAGAATCTCATGTGACATCTCCGTGAGCAATACCGACGCTGTTTTCAAGTCACACGCCCTGGGCCTGATTGTTGGTATGGATTTAAGGTGCAGGCAGCTCATCTTCCTCGTGAGTGTAATGAGTTTTCTTGTGTTTGGTTTTTTCTTACGCTCTCTCCTTTTTCCCCAGGTTAAGTGCTGGGCCAAAGCGCAGTGCATTAACGATCCAAAGATGGGGACCTTGAACTCGTATGCACTGTCTTTACTCGTTATATTTCATCTCCAAGTAAGCACATGACAATTGTATATGATGTTGATAAACCAAAGCCTCTAGACTCGAAATCCACCTATTTTGCCACCATTGAGCGCTATCATCGGTCAAGTCGGTGCCTCAGGTCAATAATTCAATGGTTTTTTCTGCTTACTGACAGATTCTGCTTGCAGCTGATGGCTTTCAGTATCTAAGCAGGATCGCAGAGTTTACAGAAAGAGGTTTTGGGAAGGGAAATACGAGCTCAGTTGCAGAGTTGTTCGTGTCATTTTTTGGCCAGGTATTATGGATTTTGGTATCAACTTTCTGATCCCGGATTTTCCTTCTGTAGTTTTCGGCTGTTGAGGAGTTGTGGATTCAAGGTCTAGCTGTGTGTACTTTCCGTGGACAGTGGGGGGACAAAACGACCACCGATCCGTCATGGGCAAGCAAGAATTATGCGATGCTGGTGAGCAAAATGTTTCCGAAGAAATGAATCAATTTTCGTTTTCTTTTAAGGTGGAAGACCCGTTTGATTTATCTGAAAACTGCGCAAGATCCGTGCATCAAGGCAGCCTTCAACATGTTTGCAAGGCATTTAGGCTGAGTCACGAGCTACTGTGCGATAAATTCTCCTACTGGTTCTTGGGAAAACTGAAAGAAACGCTCTTCCGGTGGCCACATGCGAGTCCACGGCCCTGTTTTCATCCGTCGAGGCCAGGGATAGAGCAGCTACGGGAACACGCCTCGCTCAACGCTTCCAGGAAGAATGACAGGCCGGAGAAGCAAAAGAAAGGAAAGAAACAAGTAAAGCAATAACATCACAGCAGGATGTAAATATCTCAACATAGGTACGTCAGAGAGTTCCAAGGCCGAGTTTTCTGATCAAGTTTCCTTCGGTTCAGGATTTTATCGTGATGCCGTGGTCGAGCGAGGAAGTTTGGATCAGAAAACAGAAAAGAACTAAGTTATACCCAGCTTTTCAACCGAAATACGGGTATGTAGCAAAGAATTTACATAATGGCAACTCCATTCATGGGATTACACCCAGGAACCAACAGTATCGCTCTTCTTTCTCCTAGTCAGCAGGAGTCTGGATTTGCAGTCGGATAGTATATAGAATGCCATTTGCAAGAAGCTCAGTAGCCTGCGTAGCAACAATGAAGAAAGCTACTATTGAGCCAGCAGCCCGAGTGTCACGCACATTGGCGGAGTTCTTGAACCCTGCAAGCTACAATCTGGCGCTTGCTGGAAGGATACAAGGACCGTGGCCATGCTAAAAAAGTGCGAAGCTTTTGCTTTCACTCGCCGTTTCCTTCTCGAGCGTCTGAGTTACCTTCTGCTGGTCCGACTCTGCTGAGCAGCCAAGCGGTGATTGGATTTGAGGGAGAGCATGCCTGATGAACAAACTTGAGCAGGATTCTGCAGCAAGGCTGGCGCATCCCACTCTCAACCAGCATGGCCACCTTCAATCCACAGGAAAGGTTTCTGTACATGGCCGGTGCAATCTGCAGAGCAGCTGGACAGATCAGTAACAGGCCCTAGGAGCGAAAAGTCGGCTCCAAAGCGGAAACTGTTTTCACACTCGACAAAGATTGCACACATCAACAAAAAGTTAAGACCTCAAATAAATGCAAGGATCATATTGTTTAGAGGAACACTTCCTTTACCGACGTGGAATCTGGGCATATTAAATCAACACCAACACGGGAGTGACTCTGGAAATGGAAAGTTCAAACTTTATTCTTCTAAAAGTTAGTTAGACCTAAGTTTTTACCTAAGGTTTGTCTGACACTTGATCACAACCTCTTTACCTCACACAAGATTCCCCATCACATCAAACACCATCTTTGCCTCCATTTGGAGTAAGCATTGTAATACCTGCATTTAAACTCTTCTTGCAAAGATGCATCGACAACACCTCTTGCAGTTACCAGCTTTGCGGTGATCATGGAGTCCGCGTGATTTCAAAAAACACCTCTGCATTATCGACTGCGAAGAGTGACCGCATGGAATTCCAGGAAGCCAGGTTCTTTTCTTGCGAATCATCAAATATATTCCTAACATTCTCGATAATTGTGTTCCACGAACCACATCATTCCATCAAAAAACCACCCCACCACTTCTATGTCCTCATTGAAAGAATCTCCGGCACCTGAAACCAAATACCTCTTCTCCCTAACATCAGTTTTCCACGATCAAAAGAGCTAGATCCTTCTTCCGCATCGATCAAAAGAACGCGATTTAACATGGCACTTCACAAAACCAAGCCCGTAAATCTCCTTCCAAATGCCCGTTCTTGGCATAAGCCGAGAGCATCAAGTTCGAAGTGGGGGATCACACCATCGAAGACTGAGCGAGCATCTCCAATTTGGATGGGAAGAGTTGAGAGATAAGTGGATCTGCTTGGCTTGAGGAAGAGACGCATTCTTGCAGGCTCAGCGCTGCCGAATGCGAGCGAGGATAGCATTTCGCACCGACAAACAAATCTTCTGTTAGCATCCCAGGAACTAAAATGCCTCAACTTACATGGAGAGAAAAAAAAAAAGGCTTTTCCCTCGAGACTATATCACGGCCGGATCTTGTGTCACGAAAGGGTTGGCGATTTCTTCGGTACCATCGGTTGGAGCGACGAGCATCACCGCAGTACCTCTACAAACCTGAGAAAGAAGAAAGCCAAAACCATCAAAGTTTTCGCTCTCGAGTAAGAAAACTTACCACTAGGCCGAGAGCTCTGGTTTGATCCGTTGTCTTCAATGGATCATCGTGATCTATTGACAGAAAAGTTTAGCTCCTTCCAGAGCAAATTCCAGACTCATACCTCTCAAGTACTCGACTGCCTCATCCAGGACGAGATTGAGTAGCTGGTCATAGCCTTTCAAGGTCCCGATCACTGCTCCATTCCACGATTTCAAGCAAAATCCACCCGAGACTGCATTTCATACCTTGGCGCCCGCCACTGAGTTTGACGCACACGCCCTTGTCGATGAACTTGGCCAAATCGAGCACAGTCTCCTTGCGATTCGACTGCAGGAACGAGAGATTCACACAGGGGTGAGTGGAAATCCGCGACGATCTTCCATGGAGTGGAGCTCACCATGTCTCTTCTAAAACCCTATCTTGCCCTAAATTCCCCGATTTAAAAACTTTGCCCTGAAAGAGGGGACGCGAGCTCGAATCCCGGGAACTCTCGCGCCTGTCTGTTGCAACTCCCGCGGCATGCCGGCCGAGCTTCACCACTTTCGCGCGAGAATTTCTTGGGCGAGGAGGAAGAAGAAGAGAAATGGGCGTTTCTGGAATTCTCAGCTATCTCGAATACGCGCTTCTCCACAAGATTTTCGTCATGAAAATCTTTGGGTGAGTGCTTTTGATCGATAGATTGATGAGAATCCATCGAAGGGAAACAATGCGCTGAGCGAGAGAAGGGAAATTCTTGCAGGAGGCACGTACGATCGGAGCAAGCCATGGCTGAGGCTTCGGATCTGTCGCCCATATCTCTCACGCTCAATGACTACCGCGTCACGCTCGACAATGGGCAATGGACTTCGGGTAAGCTCTAGAGAAAATCCTCTCTTTTCGATCGATTCTCCTCCTTGTTCTCTAGATTACCCCGACGATGGGAGGACCGATCACGCGCCCCCATCGGGTGCCATGGAGAAAGAAGTCATTCGCTTGCGGAACGATAAGCGAAGATTGGTATGGCATTCCCGCGAAAAGAAAGTGGTGTTTTTCACTCTCGATCTCCACTGAAAGATGCGAGACCTCGAGAAATTCAAGCGCCAAGCTCGCGAGATGGACGAGCTCAAGGAGCGATGGAGCAATCTGGATTTCAAGTACCAGCTTCTCATGGACATGGTACAATCAAAACTTCCAGAATTCTCTCAAGAGCAAAGCTATGATTCTTCCCAAATCTCTCTCCAGTGGACGCTGAAGCAGCTCGATACCGAGAAGCAAGAATCCTCGCGAGCGCACAGCCCCACATCCAACAAGAACTCTCCTCGCGCTGGAACACCACCCTAGAACTCGGCTCTTCGTCCCCGCATTTAAAATTAGGCCAATGCTCTGTTTTTAGGGCAAGCCTAGGTTTGTGTGATTCTCGGCTATGGCGCCTCCAGCGCTGAGGCTGCCGCGCCATTCCTCCGGCGACGACTCCAAATGCAGGCCCGCGCTGCTGCTCATCGCGGTCTCGGCATGCGCCGCCATCGCGACTTACTTCGCGCTGTCGCCACTCTTCCAGCCGGATCAGGGCGCGATCTCGTCGGATTCCAGCGACGGCCGCTCCGCCAGGCACCTCGTGGCGATCCGCGAGGAGAAGGCGGCGTGCTGCCGCGGGATCGAGCACCAGGAGCTGTGGGGATCGGTGGTCCAGTGGGGGACGAGCAATAAGGTGAATTCCTCAACCGCGTGCTGCCAGGCTTGCAAGGCCGCGCAGTGTAATTCCTGGGTGTATTGCGGGGATCGAGTGAAATGCGGGCCAAATTTTGGAGAGGTAGTATAAAGTTGACTCCTTCCTTGTCCGAGCGTGTTCTTTCTCATCTGTTTTCATTCTCTCCACAGTGCTGGCTAAAGAACCAGGAGGATCCTCTCTCCCCCGACGTCCAGGATTCTAGCAAGGACGTCTACTGGACTTCTGGGCTTGTCTATGCGAAGAATGTGGTAAGCTCTAGCTAGATTTCGATTTGGACACTGACAGTCTTGCTAAAGTAAGATCTTCTCCTTGTTTTTGACAGGGTCTCGTGCAGCTAGAGACCGAATATGGAGCGATCAGGCTCCAGGTAAGAAGAGAAGTTTAAGTTTGAGCTAAGTTGAGAAAGAAAACACTTCCTTCACAGCTTCTTCCAGACTGCGCTCCACTTTCAGTCGCGTTTGTGATCGAGCTCTTGAAGTTGCGGCACTGCGCAGGTTGTAACATCTACCGAGCTGAGACCCGCGGGAATTCATGGGATGAGGAAGGAAATCCCACAGCGAAGGTAAGAGTTGCACATTCTTTTCAAATTTATGCTCTATGTTTCTCATGTGTTCTTGTTTTCTTTCTTAGAACTTGAGAGGACCTCCTCACGCTATTTTACAAGGCACTCTAGAGGCCGAGGGCCTCGGCTTCAAGGAACTCCCCAGAGAAGCTTGTCCGATGATCCGCAGGGGTATGGTAGGATGGATCGAAGGAGGCCCCGATTTTTTCATCAGCCTCGCAAACCATGACGATTGGTACCCGAAACACACAGTTTTTGCCAACGTTCTTCCAGACGACCTTCCTCTAGTTGAGAAGCTCGCGAGCTTGCCAACGTCAAAGACCATCTGGAGCGGGATTGATGTCGCTGTGCTGAAGAAGCCGATCAGCTTGAAATTAACGAGGGCGAGCGTTGCATCGTCCTGACTTTCAGTTCTATTTTTTTTTCCTTGTTCTCCCATAACATCACGCTGCTGCTTCCAGATTCACGGCAGAAGTCGCAGGTTTACTTCCAAACAGGCTGGTGAATAGTTTTGTAGCCATAGGTGGTAGTACCATCGGTTCAGGAACCATGAAATTTACCAGTGGCTCATGGACAGTGTATCTACACAAAAAATCAAAGTTTGAGATGACCAAAGTGAGAAACCAAACTCTCTCGCTTGCCTTGTCTTTCGGCCTTTAGAAGCGCGACGATCTACGTTTTTCCTTTTCTTGCTCCGGAGCTTTCGAACTGCGTCATGGTCTACACAAGGTACAAGCACAATCAGAACATTCTCACTAGAGAAAAAGCTTCTTACCGAGGCCAGTGGGATTTGAAGACTCGAGAAATTCACGTAAAAGCTGCTGATAGAACTCGGAATCATCAAACACCTTAGTTTCATTAGTCTTTGCTTCCATATCGTTTGTGTCCGTCTGGAAAAAGTTGATAAGCCTACAAGACTGTAAAGAACGAGCAAAGATGAAAAACCTGTGTTTTCAAAGGTTCGGAGCGCATCATTCTTGCTATGAAACGCGGCGTGTCCTTCATTGCTGCTGCTACTTGTTGTGAAATACTCTGTAAAGACGTAAAAGGCCGTGTGAATAAAAAAATACAAAAAGCCAGAACGTTTAAACCTGATTGAAAGCTTTTAACTTCGATCGCGATGCCGCAGCGCCTGAAGATATTTGAGTCTTTCTGTGCCATCTATCGACCGTACGATCTCTATACGGAATAAGCCTGCAATACATGTCTAGTGTCATCAGCTCGTAAAGCAAGAGCTCAATTACCTTGAATACGAGTTGCTTAATCTTTGCCAAGCTGAGTCCAGGCTATCTGAGACGCTATGGGTTTCCTGTTCCACGTCCGAATCTGTAACAAGATAAGTTAATCTGCTCACCGTAAAAGAAAAATAATTCGAAACCTTTTCTGTAAGCATCGAGTGCCTCCCGGTTTTGTTCCAGCAATGCCTGCAGGACCACAATTTAAGCGCTAGAAAAGAAGCATCAACCATCACTATACCTTTTCTAGATCCAGAAGCGAATCAAGGGTCTGCAAGGCCGCCGCTTTCAGCGTTTGTTGTGCTTCGCTTGGGCTCGACGCTTCCTCCTGTCAAGCTTCCTTTCATACCATAAAAAGAAATACGGAAAAAGAAGCGTCACCTGTGGTAGCAGATTGGATCCTGCAACTATCTTCTGCAACGCAATTCGCATATGCAAAGCGCTGCCCCACAATTCCTGCCAGGCCATTTCTCTTGAAATCATCCCATTGTCAAAATCATGACACATACCATCTGGTTTTTCACTGCTCGGCCTTTCCGTATATCCACATCATTCTGTCCTCTCAAGCTCTTCAACATCTCTCTGAAAGGACGTAAAAGAACACCAAACGTGGTTAAAGGACGAAGGATGACGATACGACGCACTCACTGTTCTTCTTTATTAAGATCTTCGTATTCCTTGTTGACGGCTTCAAAATCGTCATCAAGAACCTGCTCCAACATCAAAGCTCAAAAGATTGGCGTTAGAGGTGCAAAAAAACTAAATCACATTCCTTACGTTCTTTTCTACTTGTTTTTCGTCGTCGTCCTCCTCCTCGCTGAAAGCTGGTTGTAGATCATCCCGATCGTGAAAATCGTCGTCACTGATCCCATCAAAAGCATTCTTTCTGCTGCTCTTGCGACCGGAATACTCCTTCCCTTCAAGTGATATATCTGGCCTCAACCGGAGCCTTCCATCCCTGAAAACGAGAGAAAAGAAAAGAGTGATCGTCGGAAAAAAAACTCATTGTCCTATCACTCACGACTTCGAAAAGGTTTCCACTTCATCCGGGCCATCAGAGCTTTGCTCCTGGAGCAAATGCTGCGTCTCTTGCCCGAATCCCGCCTCCTCATCTACAAACTCCAGTCACAAACACCGCATTCTTCCAAGAATCACGTACCGTCCCAGGAATCCTCGTCCGAATCCGATGCCACGGCCTTCGCCTTGGCCTTCGCAGGCATCGCGCGATAAACCCTAACCCTAATTTTTGCAAAACAAAAAACCCTGTTAAGTGAAAACGATTCGAACCCGCGCAAAAGTAAAAGCTTGTCAGATTTCCAGTCTGATGCTCTATCCAATTCAACCTCAACGAGATCCCTGACACAGCATGCCAGAAATCTCTAATGCTTTTTCCCCCCTCCACCATATAATTTTAAAAGAATATCTGATCCATGGGACACAGCCACTGCCGGGTTTCGAACCTGAGAAAAAGATATAGCCACCAGATTTCCAGTCTGGTGCTCTATCCAACTAAGCCTCGGTGTGGTCCTTTGTTCTATATCTTTCACACGTTTATAATATGGTGTGTACTCGTAGCTGCGATTCGAACCTGGAAAAAGGAAATGCAGGTCAGATTTTCAGTCTGATGCTCTATCCAACTCCACTCCAATGTGGCCCCTTGATATTATGTTTCTGTACTCCATGTATATGTTGAAATCATATTTTTCTTTGTACCATACAATGATTTGAAATGCACAAACCATTGACATGGTTTGAGTGAGTGAAGCTTCGGCTGAGATGTCAGACTTAAAATCTGCCAGAACCTTTTGTTTCAGGTTCAAGTCCCTCTCTCTCTCTCTTTCTCTCTTTTGTGTCAGGCCTCTTTTTGACTCGAGTTCGAAACTCTTTTACAGCTATACACCTGTAAAGAATTGCCACTATTTTGTTTGGCTACACCTTTTGTTTGGTTACTACCAGTTAAAGGCTGGCCCCAAGGATGTGATTTTGAGTTTTTGGTCCAAAATATTGAAACATTATTAAATAAATAGAAATTGGATGTTGTTGAAACTTGGCACCAAGAAGCAATCGTTCTCACTATTACTTCAATCTCCAAACCAGAATATCATTTCCATCCCAAAATCATTCAAATATATGCCCGCTTAATACTGCATTGCCCTGAATCCTGAATAGCCACACAGGGATATTTTCTGGAGAAAACGATTGACCTCGACCCGACGTTTCGATATACCACCCCGATTTTTCGGTCCCCATATCCGATTTACTGCTAAACAATGCCACTAGGCAAGATGACATAAGCCGATTCCGATATAAATTATAGACGTATATCAGGAGTATACGGGTGGCCAGCTTTTAGGAAATAAATTCTTTTTAAAAAAACAAGAAAATAACAGGTCGTTTGCTAAGAGGTGACAACCCAATAACTGGTACAAGAGATCCAACCAGGAAGAAGGCAAAGCGGCACTCTAATAAGCAAGGGGATGGATTCCCCTAAACAAATACTAAATACAAAGATCCAATGTTCAATGCGCAGCCCATTTACAAGTTGATACTTGACAGTAAACTTGTGTGAGTTTGTGGAGATCTTTCTGGCTTCTGTGTCACTTTGTTCTTGGTACGACTCGAGCAAGAACCAAAGCCAGTAGTCACTTATTGATGCCATAAGCAACAACAGCAAGGAGATATTCCTTAGATAGTGGATGGAGCGTCAAGTACCTTACTTATCAGCAATCCAATCAATCAATCAATTAAGCCCTTCATATATTCAACGAGACAAAAAAGGTTAAAAAAATAAAAACATATTGTATTTTCATATAAAACTGGTTCTCATAGCTTTAGAAATTTTCCTGGCTGCTGTACAACAATGAAAAATAATAAATTCTGAAGAGGTCAACGGTGGTCAGCAGCCTGTTTAGCAGCGGCAACCGCCACCTTGTCCCTGGCGAAGATCCCCTGGCCTGGGGAGAGTATGGCATTTGGGTCGTACTTGATCTTGTTCGCCAAAAACTTGCCCCAAGACTCTCCGAAGTGTTGCTTCCACTCAGTGTCGCTGTGGTAGTGTGGAAAGTATTGCTTCACGTTGAGGCCGTTGATCTCACACCTCCGCATGATCTCTTCGTTTTGCTGGAGGTGGGCTTCTAAAGGCTGACCGCCCTCCACCACATAGCGCAGCAAACAAACAATGTAAAAAATGGACTCGTCCGGCACCACCACGGATGATCTAGTCTCCCACCTATAGAATATAAATGGTGTATATTATATGGATTTTCCTTGGGAAAAAGATAGAAAAAATTCCTAGAGAAAAGTGTAGACTTACTTGGATCTGTTGAGTGGATAGATGAGCATGGGTCCATTGACGCCTTTGCAAACCATGTCCCGGAAAACTATGTCGTTGAACTTGGAGATTTTGCTCTTTGGGACGAACAATGCAAGCCACGGGTGTGGGACGTCCCACTGCTTGACCTTTCGCAGCACCTCCTCCACGCCGTGGACGCGATTGAGGAAGTCGAAGTACGTTAGATCCGTGGTGAAGGTCAGGCCCGGGACGAAGGAAAGCGAGCCTAGCAACCTCTCCAACCGCTGAAAGCAAGTTTCCGTATCTTAGATCCAAAAACTTTGGAAGAGAACTCGAAGAACTTACATCTTCCATGAACGCTTCTTGGCCATGGTTGTAATACTTGGCGATCTCGATGCAGTAGAGGACGGGGCCAGAGGAGTCCGGGATGAGCGACGGATCGATCGCCTCGCCATCGAAGGGGACCGAATTGTATCCCTGGTATGGATCGTCGCAGCTGGGGATGACGATCCCTTCCACGTAGTTGACGACATCCTCGTTCAAGGAGATAAGCCGCTCGATGTCCTTTTGGAACGCTCCAAAGTCGGTGTAGACGAGACGCTTGTACCTCGCCTGGAAGAATAGAAAGCCTTTTAGACCGAGACAAAGACCAACAAAAAGAATCAAAGATCTGAACTTACTCTCGCGGGAGCTTCTTCCAGCGGGATCCGAGCTTTGGTGATGATCCCAAACTGTCCAAGTCCGCCAAGAACAGCGTAGAAGAGATCCGAATTCCTCGTAGCCGAGCAAGTCACAGTGTCGCCGTTGCCTGCAGCACGAAAAAAGTTCCTTTTTAAATCAAGGAGAAGATAAAAGAATGGCTTCATACCAAAACAAGGACCCCAAGCCAAGAACACAAAACAAAAACAAAAGAAACAAGGAAAATGTGGAAGACACACACACTTCTCTTCTTCTTCTTCCATTTTCTTTGAGCAAGAAAGGATCTAAAGGAATACCAGTGACGACTTGGAGCTGGAGAACGTTGCTGATTTGGGGGCCGTGGCGGAAGGCCTGGCCGCTCACACCGGCATTGGAGAGCGTCCCGCCAACGCTGAGGTAGAGATAATCCGTCCAGGTCCGCGGCGCCAACCCACACTTGAGCGTCTCTCGCAGCACATCGATCCACAGCACTCCTCCGGATGCCTCCACGAACGGGCCACCACAGAAAAGATCGTCATCGCCGCCACCATGATCCTTGCTTTGATGGATTTCTTCTCGATGATCCTGGTGGTGATCGTGGTGTTGGATTGGATTGACGATGCGAATGGCGTTGGTGGGCATCCGGGGCATGTCAATTACGATTCCATTCAGGGCCTGCGCTTGGCCGTGGACCGAGTGGCCGTTGCCCCTGGCGGCGATGGTGAGCTTGGCGGTGGCGTTGGCGGCTCTCACCAAGCTGGAAATTCCATCGCTGGACGAGGGACACACGACGCAGTAGGGCGGGCTGTGGATCAAACCCCCAAAATCTCTCGCAGCGTCTTGTGAATTCAGGCTCTCCGAATCTGCGGACAAGACCACCATCAGCAAGAGAAAACTATATCAAAGAGAAAGTCTCTCCAACGTTTTTGCAAAGTTCTTCTTCTCTCTCTCTCTCCTCTTCCTCTCTTTTTCTTTCTTGCTCTTTTCTTTCTTTAGTTTGCATGTTTTCATGGAATGGATGGAATTAGAATGGGTGGTTCTTGTGATATTTTTCCTACCTTGATCAGAGCTTTTCCTTGCCACTTCTCTGCTCTTGAGCTTCACTTTCCCCATTGAAATTCCCTCTCTTTCCTCTTGTTCGGAGTGCAGATTATCCTCCCCAAAGAGAAAAGGATCCCACCCTCTTATAGGAAGACTTGTTCTTGCATGACAAACCTTTTGCTGGTAGGCTAAGGACTCACAACAAGAACACACAGCCCAATACCAACACCAATAGCAACTTGCTAGCTTGTTGGTAGATGCTGCAGCAACATCAGTGGCAAAAAAAAAACAGGAAAGAGAGAGAGAGAGAGAGAAATAAGGGAAAACAAAGGTAAAACTCCTCCTTGGGATCAATCCCCTGAAAAAAGAAAGGAAAGATCCCAATCCCAAACAGGAGGAGGAGGAGGAGAGGAGAACACTTGGTGTTTGAAACAAGCAGTGTATATACCTATATGCATATATATATATAAGTGAACACTCACACACCCCTCCTCCATTACCATGGGGGAGGATACCAGTTGAATCAACTAACAACCTAACAAAAGCAGTTGAGTAACTCGTCCCTTGCTCTGGTAACAACAATTATCCCTTTAGTTGGATTTGGGTTGGAAAAAACAAAAAGAGGAATTTAAAGAAAATGGATAAAATAACCAAAAAAATATCATTTATGTAACGATAATGTAAAAACGTGAATTTCCCGGGTATTGGGACACAAAACAGCAACAAGGCAGCAGTGCTGCAGCAGTTACAGCTGCCACTCTGCATTGGCAACGATAACAACAGAACAGGCTTTGCGAAAGAGACGAGATAACGATAATGTCAAGTGAGGATTTTTGTGGCGGATAGTGGGGCAGGATATAACCCCTCCCCTCTGCAGAGGAGGAATTATCAAAAACCTCCCCTGCAGCACGTGGATCTTGCGCAAAGCTGCGAGGGTTTGCGAGAGGGTTAATTCATGGTACGTGGAAGAGGTGGTGAGTGTATTGCCACGCCTTTCAACCTGGGCGAAATCTTTCCCAGAAAAGTGTAGCGTGGTGGCAAGCAACGCATGGAATGCATTTCTCGTAATAAAATACGAACAGAATAAATTGTGGTGAATGTTTGGCGGGTGAATTCTTCTCTCGGAGCTTCTTTTGTCTTGGAGTGGGTCGTATTGTTTCCTTTTTCTTGTCTACCACCTTTCCCCCTTGTTCTTGTTCTTCTTCTGCTTCCCCCTTCTTGGTTTGCGGAGGAGAGAGCTTGATTGGATTGATTGGTGGGTGGCGGTGTGGTGGCAGTACGTCTACGCGCCGCCGAATGCCTTCCTTGCAGTGATCTCATCCCTGCAAACGTCACGAAACAACGCGATGCAAGCGACCAATTGCCCAAAAAGAGAAAGAAAAGATCCCACAGATTCGAAAGCCCGAAAAACTAACTCTCTTTCTTTTCCTTTACATAGCAAAGAACTTTGGCCCCGGGCGGCGGCGGAGGGAACAAATTTCCACAACCTTTTCACGTGAAAGAAATCTCGCCTCATTGTAGAGCGAGTCCTGCGTAAACAAAACGAAATATTTTATGCTCTGATTCGAATCCGTGGAGATAACGTAGATTATTGCTGGCTGTGCATGGCTAGGAATTACAGCTCTTCATGTCTCTCCGCTGTAGTTGACTGGGGTAACACAGCGTTGCATGCGCGACACAAGACCATCAAAGTCTAAACCAAATCAAATAAAAACTCCATCAAGCACCAAGGACAGGGATCGAACGAAATGCCGCAAAATTCCCTATGTGCCTACCTCGAGCTATGGATGATCATCGTTTTAACTTCTCGATGCTCTGCTCGATCGATGTTGCCGTGTCGTGTCCCTTGCCTGGAAACAGGAAGTGGAAAGCGGACAAATGCAGGATCCCAGCGCAGATCTCATTTGTTCAGACATGAGATCACCATATCCTCCTCATATCTTCCACGCAATTAGGAGGACAAAACGCAGAGGGGACCCAACCAATGACCATTTGCCAAGGCGGGCACGCAGACGACAAGGCGTGCTTCCACAATACCACCCCATACACACGCCAACGATCGTCCTTTTCCATTATTTCTTTCTCATTCTTCCATCCTCTTATACGATGTTACGAACAAGACGCCTTTGCTTTTGTGGCATGGACAACGAGTATAATGAGAGGAGAGGTCCGGGTTTATTTGACTTGCGTGCAAGGAACATTCCTGTGGGGTGTGTGTCACTCTGGTCAAAGTCTAAGATCCCCTGTTCGAGCACTTACTCTTCCCTAAAGTTCCAGAGATTTTGCATGTAACCACAGCAAAAAGTTTTAAAAAACATGGTCTTGTGTGTGTGGATGGCATTTATGCGCAGGAGGACGCAAGAAAAGCAGGCCATGCTTCTTTGTTCTTTGCTTTTTACTATTCAAATATTTGTTCCTGGGAACATCTGCATACCTCACCTATTGATTGGATGAATGAATTGTTTGGGACTCAAGTTGGCCCCCCAGTGAATAATGTCCAAGGTCAATGTTTCGAAGATACCACCAGTCAACGAGAGAAAAAGAAAAAAAGGAACTGGTATGGTTTACTAGTGCATAGTGAGGTGGCCTTTTTAGCAGCGAAGGCCAGGAGCCAGTCAATGGTCTCCACGTGAATGCCCTCTGTTGGTGCTGGTGGTACACACAATAAGGAACAACCAGAAACTGGGCATCAAAGGCGCCACCACCTTTCTTTTCTTCTTTCTTATCTCCGTAACTAGAATGATGAATATGCCCGTCTCCCAATTTTGAGAGAGATAGTTTGCTGTTGGCTGGCTCTGTGTGTTTGCCAAGAGACAGGACACGCAAACAAACGCCCAGCACACATACGCATGAACATGAGCGGATTTTCGTTTCTAGATTTCCTTTATCTCTTTGTTTTGTTTGGCTTTGTTTTTAGTCTCCGTTGTCTATGAGGTACTATCCCCAGGACGATTGCATGAAAAGGAGAGATTGGGGTGGCTCCATCCAAGCCCAGAAGTTTGGACTAGTCCTACTACTACTACTACCTAGGACTTCTTTCAGGGGCATCGAGCAAATGTGTATGAGCTGTTTCGCCATGACTTGTTGGCTCCCAGTGAAGAATACGATGTCACCACTTTATATATTGTGTTGGGCAGCGCAGCGCAGAAGGCCAGAAGGCCAGCACAACAGTAACAGCAACAGCTTTTGCCCTCTCCTTCTTCCCCCGCCGCCACCCAAAAACCCAAAGGACAAAGGATACCAAGGGATCTGATATTGAGGTTTGCGCATTTTCATAGCTTGATTTGCCATGGTTTGTTTCCATCAGACTCAAGTGCTTAAAATAACAAAACCAGTTAATTGGTACCCCTTAACGGTACTTGGTAATAATTGTGCTTTAATCGGAGCCCTAAAAGGTTAAAACCCTAGGTACCTTGCCTTAAACCCTAGCTACACAGCGATGGTGGTCAAGTGGTGAGTGCTTGCGCAATGGCGCATGTGAATGGGCTCACAGAGCGTTTGCTTGGATTCTAGGGTTCTTCACTGGCAGCCGTCGGCGGGCGCTCAGGTGACGAGCCAGACGCTGGTGGATTTGTTCCGGAGCATCGAGAGCATGAATGGCGTGCGCACCGGGCGGTGGCAGATCACCGCCGCGCAGCACCGGCCTTTCACTCGAGGTATGTAGGTTCGTGGGACCGTGCGCTTGAGCGAGCAAGTCGGATTGATTTGGAGCGCACTGCGCTGCGCTTGGCACAGACCAGGCCATGGCGATCGACTGCGCAAAGGAGCTCCTGGGTGTGGCGTTTAGCGAATTTGCAAGCAAGCACTACTTCGTGCTACGCGCCGAGCGAATGGTCGTGGAGGCCGACTCGAGCATCCAGGCCATCATGGAAAAGCTCCAAGTTTACAGGAACAGGCTTTCCATGGTCTTCGAGGTGGAAAGACACTATTTTTTTTCTTGGATTTCCCGTTCACGATCGTTCTTTTCGTTTCCGTGGCAGGGATTTCAATACCAGCTCGGTGATTTCCAGCTCAAAGCCGGCCGAGCAGTGCTGTCACAGGCAGAAAATCTCCGAGGCATTGTCCTCGAGGTATATTTTCTTCTCCTCTCTGGAACTCGTACAGATAGTTCTAAAGTTTGCACAGGTTGAGTACTCGCCGGTTTCGTCGATCGAGAAAACACGGCAGATGATGCAAGAGTTCGTGGATCTCTGGCAAGAGGCGATCTCAGCACAGTCCATGAGTGGACGTATCTCGCTCCTAGAACCAAATTTTGCCGAGTACGCGCTCTCAGATACTTATACTTGGCAGCACACTGCACTGCAGTACATTTTTTTGTTTGCTTACTTCCTGTCGCAATCCCAAAGAGCATGATCGCAATCAACACATCTCTCTTCTAGTTCGAGGTGATTTTCTTTCCTGCTGTCCAAGTATTAACATATATCGCTCCAGAACATGTATGTTAGTTAGAGGTTAGACAAAGCAATGTAAGGGGTATCATCTGATAGACTAGCTAGACGCTACATCCACACACAAAGAGAAAGAATTCGCAACTGGTTAATGTTCTCAATGCATCCTGGAATCCTGATCATCTTAAACGGGAGTTCAAATCATTTAAGGTTAGTGTTTGCAAAATTCTTGTTTGCTCCAGACCTGCTCACTAGATTACGACATTTTTTTAATACAATTATTGAAAATTTTATTATCAATGTCACATTTAATAGACTTTCAAATGTTAAAATTTAACTTTGTGAGGGCCAAGTGTACGGCTACAATGCCATATATTAATATTAATGTAGTGGGATTTTGGTAGTTGTCGGATTGATTTCAATTCAAACCACTTGCTTTTGTATATAAGTTAGGGTTTTTGGGCTAATTGATATGCACATTTTCTGTATTCCCTTTTCATATTCCAAGCACTCACAATAGTTTTATTATAAAATAAATAAAAATTTAATTATAAATATAATTTATTAAATCATAACACATATAAAAATGTAAAAAGAAATTTTTTTAGTTAAATACAGAATGCATTTTACCATATTGGCATTATAATCTCCTTGAAGAATCACTCATAGAAGCTACACACTATACAAACTCAAGCAAAAGTCGTGTTTGATATTAGGAAACTAGCATGAGATAGGTTAGATGCTAAGGGCACTCACTAAACCCTAAATACAAATTATATATATGTATCAAAAGAATATACTGATTTCCACATATAGTGCTCTCTATTGGGAAATTCATCTCAACATTAGTATAGATAGATAGTATAGATAGTATATGTCTAAAGGATAATAGGATGACCACAAGGAAACACTAGTGGTATAAGCATAGCCATAGTAAATTTATTTTCTAGCAATTTCAAGCACTCTAGAAAATCAATATTGAGCAAACAATCTTTAAATGGATCTAAGAATATATTATTGTGTTTTTTCTTGTGATATGTACTTTGTTTTCTATATTATAGAGCATTTTAGATAATGTGAAATTATACTAGGTATGTATTAGCAAATTCTAATCATAGCTCATTTCTGGGATATCATGCTACAACTTTCATATATCTATTCTAAAGATTGGATATGAGTAAGCAATTTTAAAAACACTCAAAATAACTAATGGATGCAAGATTTCTCAAAAAATTATGTACAAAACAAGAATAAGAAACATACATTTCCTTTTAACAACTAATGGACTATGTGATATTTAAATCTAAATATAACATATTTGATGATCATATAATTATTAATAGACACATGGGTTGATGAACTCAATACAGTGATGAGGCTCCATCCAAACCACTATCACCTTGAGCTTTAAAAAAAAACAAATCCAATAATATTAATAAAATAGAAAAAAAACCAATAAGGTTAGAGGCCTATTGATTTAATTTATGGCTACCTATATACCAATTAAAAATCCATACCTTTTGTTATGAAATCACTTGCTATTTTGTTTACTTTCAATTAAAGAATTGTCTATAAATCAGTTGTTATTCAATTGTAATTACCATTTTTTTTTTGTTATACAACTGTTTCACCAATATTGGCCTAGAATACACCACCAACTTTCATCTCTAGAAGATCAAATTTAGAGATACTATTAGTAAGATATTGGATATATGCTTCTCTTATATAAGACATTTGCAACTAAATATCTATAGCACATCATAAATTCTATGGTATTTGTTCTAAACTAGAGAATTATCTCCTTGTTTGGCATTTTTAACTCTAATCCTAGTCATTCTAAGCTCTTGCACCACTACAATAAATCCAGTCCTTTGACAATATAGTTAATCATCTATAATTTCCTTTAGATTGGCCCCTCCTTTTAGAAGAGCACGTATGATGCAATTCATATGCTGCCATAGCCCTCTCATCTTCTCAACGTGGGTGTGTTGCCCATGATCATGACTAACTTGATTAATAAATTGTTTAATGAGTGTTAAATTTCTCCTTGCCAAGAGGTTTGACCAAATAGCAATAGTAGAAACATTTGGATCAAGAAAAACCTATTTGTATTACAAAATTTTGATGTTGCAAGAGATGAAATGGTTGCTTGAGCATTTAATAAAACTTTAGTAGAACTTTTGGTGGGATTATAACAATCTAAAAAGATGTGGAGTAGAAAAGCTTATTAAATACTTTCAATATCATTCCTCCTTATTAACTTGTTAAAGAATAAATATGGCATGTTAAAAACAAATATAAACTCATTTTAAAATTTTTTTCCCTCTTTTAGGATCTTGTATTCGCATTTTGGTTCTTTTTCCCTTTTTTAATCAAATCCTTTATCATGGGAAAGTCAATCTAAAAAGCCCCAAAATAGCCTAGTAAATGAAGGTTTATTAAGGCTATTGCTAAAATGGTTTTCTATACATGATTTGGGCTTATAAAGATATCAAGAGAGCAATATTGATAATTATGCCTTACTAAGCCTCCTCCATAGGTATTTGAGATAAAGCATTAAGAGTGTAGATTAAGTTGTTCTATTTATAATAGTCTCATCAATTAGGTGCCAAACCCACAAAATATATTATATTCAAGAGTTCTACATATTGACTTTAGACATGCAACTTACTTAATCTTTACTTCTTTAAAGATATTGTGATGTTTGATATGGTTCTCACAACTTTATTAAAAAAAGTTGGTAATCTTTATCATACTATAAAATCTAAAGGGTATAACACAACTTTGTAAAATTAAATGCATTAGCAAATTTATGCCTTAACCATTTGCATACTATCAAACATTGTGTAATATATTATATATCATCCACTTTTAAAAAGATGAACTATGTTTTTGCTTTTAAAAAAAAGTAAAAATTTAAATTTTTTAAAAAAGTAACTTTCAATAAAAATTTTTTTTTATACCTTTTATATGAAATAAAAAAGTAAAATACATAATTTCATATATTGTTTTATATAATACATGCATATATATTTCTATACATATAAAAGAATATTCCTGACTATTTTAAATGCTTAGTGGGGAAGGAGATTGGGGAAAAAAATATTATCTTTGTCCATTATACTATTAGTAAAATGGTATTTTAGTGAAAGAGTTACTATTGTAAAAAGAAAAAAAAAAAGGCTCCTATAAATAGTTATATTTGTTTTATCCACAAGATATTTACCACCACTTTGATAATCATCAATCCTTTGATATAAATGTTTGTTATATATATGGTACATAAGTTGGTATATTTCATCCCACAAGAGATAAAGACTGCTTAAGATCATATAAGTCCACCAGTCATGAACACTAACAAGTGGTCCTTTTAAAATTGTAGCAATGGCAACTTATTACTTTGTGAAGAGATGAATTTCACAAATCTTAGTTTCATCAAAATTTGGGGCATGCAAGTTGCAAGGAGCTGTCTTCACTTGGTTAATTTTGGTTAGTGTCATAGCATCTTTGTAATTCACATATGGAAAATATAGTGGGTGATGTTTGTAGAGAACAAGCTTTGTTGGTTTGGTGCTTGTCTTCTGCTTGACTACCAAATAAACATTATAACCCTTTAAGCCCAAAAGTTGATTGGAGTGGAGAATATCACTAACACCTATGCTCAATATAATAGTCATAGCCTTGTTTGTTCCCACAAGTAGTGCACCACCCCCATATATTTTTGTAAACCAAAGAAGAATATATAAAAACTAAATGAATTATAAACAAGAGGCAATGGAGGGAGGAGAGTATGCACCTTGCAATTTATAACTTTATTGCTATGACTCCCCTATATTAAGTTGTTGTGAGGCTCTACTTCTTTTTGAAAAGACCTATAGGGAACTAAAGCTCTTAAGTTCTCTTTCTCATTTGATAATCAAAGGAAAAGTTTATAGTTGCGGCAAAAGGAAAGTCTGGGTTGTGAATAAATATTATAATGACATATAGGAAATAACCATGGATGAGAAGTTTGAGCTTGATGCATACAAGACATCTACTACTCTGGGTAAATCTCTTGAGACTACTATTATTCCATGAATAATATAAATAGAGAAATATGTGTATGGTGTTTATTCTGCCAAGAGTGCTACATAATAACTATATAAATGTCTGGGTTCTTACAATATCAAAATAAAAGCATTGGTATTTGTGCCAAATCATTTTATCTTTTGTTTTAGTCTAAACTTTTATTAATTGATGTTGTGCTCATATATGATGGATTCAGTCAATGCTTCAAGGCCTTCTTTTCCTTTTTCTGCCTCTTGTGCTTGATTTTGAGCCTCCAGTATTTGTTTTTTTACTAATGGAATTTCTTGTAAAGTTCATAAAAGAGAGAGGGAGAGAGAGCATCACAAGTACATATGGTAGCTATTGTTGTTAATGGTTGTTTCAATTAAATAAGTTTTTTTTTTCACTTTTATACTATGTAATTAGATTTGTAGAAAATGCCTCTTATGGGCTTATCTCTTGTATATAGCCCACTACAAAGAGTATCCTTTTGTGATGCAAAGTATTTACAAAATTAACAAAGTTTCAAACAATTTATCCTTTATTTTATTCATGTGTGTAGGGAGAAGAAGAATTTGGTTTTAAGTGTAAGGGATTTTTTCAATAAGGAGATATACATGGTGTATAAGTTTATTTTATGGATTCGTGGAACATAATGATTAGGCATATCAAGAATGGCTTCCTAGAATTCTATACTATCACTATTTGCAAAGTTGATAATGCAAAGGTGTTTTTGAATGTGGACTCACATGATTACTGTATGCAAGCTAGTAACCATAAGAAGTGTGTCCAATCCTTTTACGGAATTTAATTATAAATCTTAATAATGTTAGCAACATGCCTTAAGAGTTTAAATGAAGTACTAGAATGCATACTCCAAACTTAAGTAGGCAAAGATGAGGTTTGAAAAAATCTAAAAGAATAAAGTTTTAACTTGAAATTGAACTATGAAAACAAGAAAAAAAATTAACAAATTCTTTTAGCTATGGGTTCTCAACCCTATAAATGGTCACGTTTAATTATCCATGCACCACCCTCTGATATAAATG